TGGCTCTGATGGAAGTTTCAGACTAAAACATCTGGAGGACACCGGGTTGGTGTAAGCTATCCTAAGAGTTTAGACAGCACTAAGCAAGCAGTTGAATGGGAAGTTCAGTGTCCACAAATAGAACTAGCTGTACTCTCGATTGCCTTTCCAAGTGCTGGATGAAGAGTCATCTGCACTGAAGAGTCTGTGGCCTTTATGCAAAACGTGGGTGGAGCCATTACATCAGGGTGTATCATGGGAAGGAAGGCCCAGAGCCTCTCCATCAACACAGCTGAGAGGCCAGCAACCTTTGCCTGCATTGGAGGACACTGGACTAAATGACCCTTTGGGATCCCTCCCAACTCCGGAAGTCTGATTCTCCTTGATTTCCCCCCATCCCAGCAGACTATGATAACAACTTGTAGCTAAGAGCTTGAACCTAATTTTGCTTATTTCCTCCTCCTTCCCACTCCATTTTCCTTTTGAGTCCTTTTATTTTTAGATTGCAAACCTGAGGGCATGGACTGTCTGTTTTAGTTATTTGTAAGCTGCTCTGGGAACCTTTCTTTTTTTGGCTAAAGAGTGGGATTTAAAAATTCTGCACAGAAATAAAGTAAAAATAGAATTTCCTCTGCGTGGGAGACACAGCAATTTGCTTAGCGCTCAATACACATGATTTTCGCATATTTCACAGGGGAGGTGTGGCTGTGAGTACTTGAGTGCTGTTCACCCTCAATTGTGAAGCTGGAGTCATGCTTTTGAGATGTGAGCTCCTCTTCTCTGGTGAGGTTCTCCCATTGTTTACCTGAAAGGGGCAACTTCTCCCTGCAGCCCCACCTGTTGCAGTGGAATTGAGGTGGGTATTTGTGCCAGAAGTCCTGAAGCAGGTTACCTGTGCGTACTCTGAGAACAAAAGAGATACCCATTTGCCCTTCCTGTTTCTGCTGCTAGCCTTGGCTGTTGGACGATTGTGCAAAGTGTTCCCTTTGGACAAAGTGCGTTTTTATCAAGTTCTCCTTCAGCAAAGTCCACATGTGTGTCCAGGTTTACAAATACGGGGACAAAGTGATGTTGCCCCATGTTGTGTGTGTTGTTGTATGAGCTTTGTTCTTGGCTGGAGCTTATATGCCCCTGTTGGTGTGCCATGATTGGCTCTCTAGTCAGAATCCTATCTTCTGATCTGGCTGTGGGACAGAGGAAGTGAAGGGCAGTCAACTAGGGTTTCCCATCCACTACAATGGGACTGTTTTTACTTAGTCATAAGAACATGAGGGGCCATTGGTCTGGTCCAGCTGGCTCTTTAGTCCAGCATCCTGTTCTCACAGTGGCCAACTAGATGCCTGTGGAGAAACCTACAAGTACCACCCAGGAACAACAACAACAACAATAATAATTTATATTTATTTAATAATAACAAATTATTTATTATTTATTATTTATTATTTATATAGCATTCGCCCTTCCTGTGATTTCTGGCAACTGGGATTCAAAAACATTACTGACTCCAGCTGTGGAGGCACAGCATAGTCATCATGGCTGGTAGCTATTGATAGCCTTTTCGTCCATGAATTTGTCCAATCCTCTGTTAAAGCCATCCAAGTTGGTGGCCATCACTGCCTCCTGTGGGAGAGAGTTCCACAGTTTAACTATGTGCTGCATGAAGTCTCTTTTTGTCCTGGCACTGGGGACAGGACTGACCTCTAATCTTCTACAGGAATCCACACCGTAACATTTCCAGTCCTCTTCATCCTCCTCTATACTCCCAACGCCACCCAGTTTTGCCCCTTGCACTGGTGCTGATCTACTGTCATAGGAGTTATGCTGGCACAACAGTATCAATACACTACTGTAAATCCACTATGTAATATTTTGTTCCTCTGGCACAAAGATGTTTGAGATCCTATCCCTGTCCAGTTGGCATAATACAGGGATATCCGATAACCAGTAAATCACTAACAAAACTACAGACAAGGAATTAGGGCTGCCATATTTTTGAAGAGGAAAAAAGAGGGCACATTTGCCAACTTCTACTTTTAACTATGGATCACTATGATGAATCTACCCATGAAAAAGAGGATGTGTCCTGCAAAAAGAGGACATATGACAAACCTACACAGAATTCTGTTGTTTCTTTGGGAGATTCTTTGCTTGCTGGTATCAAGGATAAGGAACAGTCTTTCCCATCCCCACCCCCTCAAATAAGGTTTGGATTTTCCTTTGGAAAATTCCCCAGTTAAGTTTTGCCTCCTGGCAGAGTTTCAGCATGTGGTCTCCATTTTAGCTTACGGTCTCCAGACCTCTCACTGTCATAAGTTGCACTGCACTGGAATACACACACACACACACACACACACACACACACACACCTCCCCATCCCGTTCCGTCCCCCTGGGTTTATTTGTGCTAGGCAAACTCTGGTTCTGCAGCAGGTTGCAGATCCCTATCTGCCCCTCACCCAACTTGAAGCTCTCCCAAAAGTCCTATTCTTAACTACTAACACCACACTGAGCAGAAAAAAGTGACAAGCAGTTTAAAGTAGGATTTTCTGGGGGAGGAGGTGTTCCCCTCCCCACGATGCAGTCACTGCCAGCACCTTCATCAGTTCCTGTTGCAGCACCTTCCTCCAACATAACACCAAGGCAGCTTTTCAGCTGCAAGCAACATGAATTAATCTCTGCAAACAACACTGAAACATCAGCAGAATGAACCAGGGACTAGTAGAGAAAATGTATTACTAATACATCCTGCAGCTCTTTTAGGCATCAGATTGTTATGCAATCTCTCTCTCATTTACCTACACAGCAGCCATGCTATAAATTGAGTTATTAATACTGCAATCTTGTGCACATTTTCTTGGCAGAAAATCCCCCTGGACTTTGGAGGACTTACTTCTTAGTAAGCATAGGCAGGATTGGCCTGTACAGTAACGAGCTGGGATTACAGGTAAGACCTCTCCCTTACAGCAGGTGCTTCTAATCTCAGCTCCTTACATACAGTGAAGATACCAGGTAGCCTGACATCTGGCTGGTTGATAGGGGATCAAATACTTATTTCACTCATTATAATGCACATCAATCTCTGACTTTTGTCTTCGGAGATTCTGGGGTTTTTCCTGTTGTCTCTCACAGCTACAATAAACCTACCATTAAAATTATGGACAGGTCATTTCCTTGTCAGAGGGCAAATGGGCAAATTTAGCAGCGGATCAAATACTTTCCCCCCTCACTGTAAGCCTGTCTTCTCTAACAAAGAGACTAGGGGTTTCCTTACAACCAAGGAACTGTAACTTTGCTGATTTATACATGCCTTGTCCTTCACAGAATACATGGTCGGAAGACAAATATCACATAGGGCTTAGAAATGGGGGGAGATCAAGGGACAGGGGAACCACTAGGACCTGGATAACTTACACAGGGACCCTGTGCTGATGTGGAAGACCGTTCCAAATGCTGGTTCAAAATAAGAAGGCCTAACCTACCTCACAGGATTGTTGCGAGGATAAAAATGGAGAACCAAGTACACCACCTTGAGCTCCTCGGAAGAAAGGTAGAGTATCAATGTAATAATGATGGCACCCCCCACCTTGTAGTGCAATAGAAGACCACAATGGATGCTTAAGCTTCCTATCTGGGCATGAATCATGTCCATTGTGCATCCAACCTTCCTGGGTTTCTCAAACCAGTGAGAATGTGCACTTTGGAGGTACTTCTGCACAGTCATCTCCTTCGCCAGATGATGAGGGCATCCGTTCTTACAAGAAATCACAAACAGTATTTTGCATGTTAGCTAAACCATTTATTTTTCATTCTGGCAGCTCAATTATGTGGAAATAAGCTCTAATTAAGTTAATTGAGCTTTACTTCCAAATAAATTAGTTTCAGATTGGGAGGTGCCAGTGGTTTTTTTTGCCAAGCTTGTTGTGTATTGCAGCACAATCCTATTTGTTACTTGTAAGTAAGTCCCATTGAGCTCAATAGGGCTTACTTCCAAGTAAGTACACATAGAATGAAACCGTGTAGGGTGACTTACTGGTAAGTCTAATTAAGTTTAACGTAATTACCAAGTCTGGTTTGGTGCAGCCATGAAGTACAACCAAATGCATGTCTGCTGGAAAGTAAGCCCCACCGAGTTCACTGAGACTTACTCCCAGGTAAACACATGTAAAACTGCAGTCCTTTTCAGGGATTGTTACTCAGGGATTGATCTGCCCACCTTCATGTCTTTGTACGGCATGTAAAAATGTGCATATTAAATGTCAGGTGGCTCACAGGTTACACATTAAAACTCATTCATTCAAATACAATTAGGCAGGTTGCAAACATTTTTATTCCAAGCTAAGTTCAATTGGGTTGATTCCGTGGTATGCAAGCACATGGCTGCAGTAGCACTGCAATCTTAACCATATTTATTGGAAATCACGACCCACTGGTCAATGGGGCTTCAGAGTACACATATTTAGAATCGGGCTGTAAGAGCATATCCTCACTACCAACTTAAAGTGGTTCAACTGTCTTGTCACCTTCCCAGAGGACCCTGAGAATTGTTGATTTGAGGCTTCAAGTGTCCGACAGAATTCTGAGCATCGCATAAAAATAAAATTCCCACATTAGGCTAAGACAAATGAAGGCTGACAGGTTAGATATTTCAGATATTCTGAACTTACTGATGAAGGTCTCGTTCATTTCCAGGTTTATCATTTTTTCCTTTGAGTCTGTGCTCCTCCAGATGGCGTTGGACTCCAACTTCCATCAGCCCTGGTCAGAATGGATAGGGGTGACAGGCCCAGCAACGTCTGATTTGTAGACTGACCTTCTAAACTGAAGGCCGTTAGCTGGGGCAAGACAGCTGCTGTTTTATTAATAAAGCAAGAAAGGACGTTAGATAAGTATGCAAAACTCTGTAATAAGATTGCTAACATGAAAGGCAGGCCTTTTTATTATTGTTGTTGTTTTAAAGTGAGGGGCAATTGCATAACAGGGAGATGAGAAGGCTACAGCTATCTCCCCTCAAACCCGGGGCACATGCAGAAGATCAACATATTTCCCTTCAAGAGAGAACCTAGAGAAGGTGATCTCTTTACTCGCCCTCCCACTAAGCTGCCACAGCTGGAAATGCATCCTGCGAGAGGAAGAGCATCCACCATAGCTAATAAGGCAGCAGGAACTGTAGTCTGTGTCAGTATGAGAAAAAGAAGGAATGCTGTTGTTGGTGTGTTTGTCAGGAAGCAGGGAGGGAGCGAGCAGCAGGGCTGCCAAGTGTCTGCTAGAGGGAGCCACAGGCAACCAGAGCCTGATCTCTCCACCAGCATAGTACAATTTCGCCATAGCACGCCTGTATAGTTTCCCATCTGAAGCTCTCAACCAACGCTAGAACACACACATACATAGCTGATTATAAATACTGTAGTTCTGGCCTTGCTTACACTTCCATTTGAGACTTTATTTGTATCGTTCTCATTAGCTCTTCATTGTCTTATAAAAGGGAATTAGGCGATTTCGTGGAGGAAGATAGATCAGTTCCAGACCCTCCAAGTGCTCCTATTTTCCAGGGACAGTCCCGGATTTACAGAAGCCATCCCAGTTTCTGATTTGATCCTGGGATGTCCCACTTTTCCTTAGGATGTATCTATTTTGGCTGGGTCGGGCTGATATTGGATGGGGGGGCCAACTCCCATCTCTTGCAGGGGCGCAATTAGTGCCAGCACCGTCCGTTAAGAGTTTGCGTGTAATTTTCGACACTTCCCTTTCCATGGAGACGCAGATTGCAGCTATAACAAAGGCAGCATTTTTTCATCTCTGCCAAGCTAAGCAGTTGGCTCCTTACCTCTCTCGCCCTGACCTAGCCACTGTGATCCACGCGACGGTCACCTCCAGGCTGGATTATTGTAACTCACTCTACGTGGGGCTGTCCTTGAGACTGACCCAGAAACTCCAGTGGGTACAAAATGCCACGGCGAGACTCCTTATGGGGTCCTCGCTGCAGGATCACATTCACCCAGTGCTATACCAGCTGCACTGGCTCCTGATGGAGTACAGGATCAGGTTTAAGGTGCTGGTTTTAACCTTTAAAGCCCTATACAGCCTAGGACCCTCGTACCTACGGGACCGCCTCTCCTGGTATGTCCCATGGAGGACCTTACGGTCTTCAAACAAAAACATATTGGAGGTCCCAGGCCACAGGGAGGTTAGGCTGGCCTCAACCAGAGCCAGGGCTTTTTTGGCTGTGGCTCCGATCTGGTGGAACGCTCTGTCACAAAAGACTAGGGCCCTGCAGGACATCTTTCCACAGGGCCTGCAAGACAGAGCTGTTCCACCAGGCCTTTGGCCAAGGCACAGCCTGACCCCCCTCCTTTGGTAATCCTCACAGAACTCTAGCCCAATGGTTGCCATTAATTTGATTTGAACTGATTTTATAATGAATTGATTTTAGAATGCTATATTATTTTACTGTTTTTAGGAGGGCGGGATATCAATAAATAAATAAATAATTTTCAGCGGAGAAATTTTGGAGGGTATGGAGTTATGTGACCCCGGAGATAAGTAACTATACAACCTTTAGAAGACATCAGAAGGAAGTACAGTGGTATCTCGGGTTAAGTACTTAATTCGTTCCGGAGGTCTGTTCTTAAGAGGAAACTGTTCTTAACCTGAAGCACCACTTTAGCTAATGGGGCCTCCTGCTGCCGCCGCCGCTGCTGCACAATTTCTGTTCTCATCCTAAAGCAAAGTTCTTAACCCAAGGTACTATTTCTGGGTTAGCGGAGTCTGTAACCTGAAGCATATGTAACCCGAGGTACCACTGTATAGGCAAGTTCTTTTTAATGTTTAATTCTTTATTGTTTTTATATATGTTGGAAGCTGCCCAGAGTAGCTGGGGCAACCCAGTCAGATGAGTGGGGTATAAACAATAAAATAAAATAATAAAATGGGGGTTGGACTAGATGACCCTCAAGGTCCCTTCCAACTCAACAATTCTATGATTCTAAGCACAAGGGAAGCCCCACAGAGTTTCGTTTTTGTTTGTTACCATGTTGTGTATTTTTTGTGTTTTTATATTGTAAACTACCCTGTGATTCTCAGGTGAAGGGCAGTGTAAAAAATTTATAAACAAATAAAAATAATGCAAGTAACCAATGCATGGATTACTGTGGCCAGAATGTAAATATATACATATATAAGCACCCCCACCCAGTCTCATTTCTCCCACAGGAGATGTCTATGTTCCCTAAAATGATATTAATAAAAATATTTTTTCTTATACTGTATTTATATTATTAATGCATTATTTCTGAGTAGTAGCCGCACCAGCAGGATTTCCTGAGCCCCTCCTGCCCCCTCTCTTGCCAAGTCCTTTGCCCCGCCCACTCCCCCCACGCAAAAAAATGGGGCGGGCAAAAGTCTTCCCCTTTTTCAACTCTCCCCCGCTGCCAACCACCCACTGACTCCACCGCTCACCCTGCCTTCTGACCAATCAGCGAGCGGGTGACAAATATGCAAATACAACCTCCCTCCTCTCTTACCTTATACCACCCGTAACCAACCACCACCTCCCAACCGCCAACAGACATACACGCGAGCCCTCCTCCCCCGAAAAAAGAAGAAGAAGAAGAATTAAGTGTCCCCTCCCCGGGTTGGCTGGGGTCGCGGAGCAGGCGGTTGGCGGCGCGCGCGCGGCTTCCCTCTCCCTCTCTGCCCCTGTCACTTCCCCTAGTGAGAGGGAAGGCGCGCGCGAACTAGAGAGAGAGAGAGAGTCCGTGAGGAGAGAGGAGAGGGAGGGAGGGGGAGCGGGAGGCGAGGGCGGCTCCGCCAATAGGCTATTGGCGGGCGACGACGAGAAAGGGAAAGGGGAGGGGACGGGGGAGTCTCGGGGTGAGCAGGGAGAGGGCGGGGGCAGGGAGCGAATCACGCCGCGTCGCGCCCCGCCCCCCTTTCCCCTCAGCCACCGCCGCCGCCGCGCCACCTCCTTGCCTCAGGCAGGGCCTTTGCCAGCCTGCCAGCCACCCGCCCTCCTCCTCAGGCTCAGCCACCGCCACCGGGTAAGCGCTTCCTTCTCTTGCCCTCCCTCAGGCAAGGAGGCGCTGAGGGAAGGAGAAAGCCCGGGTGGGCGGGAAAAATTAGGCGGGGTGGGTGGTGGTGGTGGGGTGGGGTGGGAGAGAAATGGGGGGATTCCCTGAGGAAGAGGGGAGTGGCCGCCTCCTCGCCCACTGCTGCCGCCGCCACCGCCTTCTCCCTTGTGCCACCCTTAACCACATGGAGGAGGAGGACCGCGAGTCCTCTCAGGCGGTGGCCGCCGCCGGGGTCGAGCTGTCAAGCCGAGGCGGGCGTGGGGCATCGCCTCAGACGCCACCTCTTTCACACGCGCGCGCGCGCAAAAGGGAGAGAGAGGGCGAGGGAGGCTGCCCTGGCGGGCTTGGTGAGTACGTGAGAAGCCGAGGGCCTGCCGTGCCTTGCCCTTCCGACACGCACACCCTCACCCTCATCCATCTCCAGGGACCGACGCGGCCAGCCTGAGCCCTCTTGCTGCTCCCACTCTGCGTTCACACGAGGAGGAGGAAAGGCGCAGCTTGGGCCTTGCTGCTGCTGCCGCCGCCGCCGCCGCCTCTCTGTCACACCTTCTCTAGCTGTCTTTCCCTCGCTCTCTCTTCCACCTCTTTCTTTCCCCGCGTCCTTTCTTTGCTCTTCCCTCCTACCAACCCCCTTCTGCCTTCAGTGCTTTCTTCCTTCACCAGTTTTTAGCCCAAGACTGTTTAGGGAAGGAAGTCCTTTTACTTGTTGGAAGTGGGGGGGGGGGATTAATGAGCAATGATTGCAACCCTCTTATGCCACACAGACTCTCCATTCTTCTTTGAGTTATCCCTGGCTTTACCTCCATATATATATAGTCAGGTGTATATTGCCTACAGCATACCTATATAGTGCCATATAGTGCTATTATAGCAGTATCCCTCTGAATACCAGTTGCTGGGGATTAGGAGCTGGAAAATGTTATTGCCCTTATGTGCTGCTTGTGGGCTTCCTGTGGCCACCATGAGAACAGAGTGCTGGACTAGATGCAAGGCTAAATAAGGCCTAAATAAGGCCTCCGGTCTGTTCCATCAGGGCACTTCTTACCAGTGTATAGGGTAGTAATGACAAAAGAAAAATATCCAGTTGCACCTTAGAGACCAACTGGAAGGATTTTTTAAATTTTGTTTCGACTACAGCTACCTACCTGTAACTAGGGTAGTAATGAGCACAGATCACCACCCACCCAATATATATATGTGTGTGTGTGTACACATAGGGGGTGTAAATGGTGGGCATGTGCTTCACATCAAATTTGGTGAGGTGCTTTTTTTCCTGAAGTGGGTGTCACAGAACGTCCAAGTTAAAAGGTAGAATGCCACTAAATCACAGCTGCTGGGAGAGAGAGAGGGCTGTTACTTTAATGCCCTGTTTGTGGACCTTTTGGAGGAATCTGATTAGCCACTGGGAAACAGGTGCTGATCTAGATGGGCTACTTTAATGTTTCTGCAGGGATATGTTTTGCATGGTGAGGAGGTCATTAGGGTGGTTTGAAGTAGCTTTTTAATCACCACCCCACTTTCCAACAGGTTTGAGAGCAAGGTATACTTCTCTGTTGGCCTTGGATGTAGTTGGCTGCCTGCTACATTGGTTGGCAAACATTGTCCACTGGTCATATCTCCAGATCAGAAAGTCGTATATGCATTTTACATACTCTCACATGGTCTTTGGTGCCACCTTCTACTACTGGTAAATTGGCAACTCTTCTCTATAAAATGTATTTACTATCTTCTGCTTGTCAGGAACTGGTTGTCACCTGGTACTCCAGTCTCTAACACAAGACCCACTTCCAAGAACCCATGCAGTCAAGAGGAGGGGCTGACTGATAAAGGGGCAGAGCTCATGCTTAAGGGTTGAAGCCATGCACCCCAGGAGGAAATGGAATGTTAAGGAAAATGCTGTGTTTAAGGTGTGCTTTTTCTTGTGCTTTTGAATCCTCTGCCACCAAGCAGCTTCACTTTACACATTGTGCTCCATGACCTGTTCACCTACCTTCTTCCTTGCCAACCCAGCACTTTGATGTCATTGTACAAAGGAGGAGACAAGCACCTGGAGAGCCTCTGCCCAGTCCTGGTGGGATATGCAGCTATTGCTACCCCCATTCTCCTGTCTCTCATGACTTGGAGCCAAGCATAGGGATATGGGGATACAGCATCAGAACAAATGGGAAGAGCCCTTTGGGCATGTACATTGTGCCACACTCAGGCTTGCACTGTGCGAAGGGACAGTAGAGCTGCAGAGGGAGACACAGCTACCAAATATACCCATGGAGTTACATTTTAGCTTAAAAGTGGTCACTCTCTCTTACATCTCTTTTCCTTCTGAGTGTGTGCTGTTCCACCCACTGTATTCTCCCTGCAGACAAATAATTGAAGGAGGAACAGCTTTTCAGTAGTGCATGCTCCAAGCAGGAGGAGGCTGCTTCTCTTCACAAAACAAAACAGCAGTGGCATCTCTGCCAGGACCATCCTGAGATTGGACCTCCAGCCCTGAGCCACCTGTTGAGGGCCAGTGTGCTATTGTAATAGAAAGGTGGTCAAAAGGTGGAAAAGTTACTTACAGCTTGCTGGAAAGTTGGGATAAATGCATGTTGATTTCAGTTGGGGGGGGGGGGACCAGAAGTGTAGAAATTTAGTATTGGATCACAATGTAGCAAGTAGAGTTGAGACCAGTGTGGTTGGGAATGTTAACAAAAAGTTAGAAGAAACTTATCAGAATGAAAGTAGCAGCCCCAGTGCTCATTTTTATTTTGAGAATTGTACTGGAATTGCTTTAGCACTAGATGGTAGAAGTAGTGCAAGTAAATGAGTGCATAATAACCTTTGGCTAAAATCGTGTAAAAACATATTAATTTATATATTCTTTAACAGTGCTTTACCATATTTTTATTGAATATGACCATAGTCTGATAAGATTGGATCATTATTTTTACAGATGGGGAAAGCTGGTGTAACCTGGCATTTCTGAACTGAAATTTGAATTCAGGCCCAGGTGCAGCACACTGCTCCATGAATCATCTAATCAGATAAAAAGTTGAGGGAGTATGTGGGAGTAAAGTGTAATAACATACTGTTTGGATGGCACTGTCTTCTGCTAATGAGGAAGCAGGGATAATGAAGTTGCTTATGCCATTTGATAAAGGTCTGTTATGTAGACCAAATAAAAGGATGAGGTATATACTCTTCATCATATAGACATTTCTGTTGATGGAGGTTATTTAATTGGAGTAATGTAGGGATTCCAGACTGTAATCCTCATGTGCTAGATACTGACAAAATTTAAAGGGCTTGGAATGTGAGTGGTTTTCCATCTGTAGCATTAGTGTAGTGAAAGTAAAAGTAGTTGGCTGGTATCTATTGGCCAATATTTGAAAAGTCTGAAAGTTGATTGTCCTTGAGAAAGGTTGGTGAATATTGAATAAATTTTCTAGAGATTCAAAATCCAGGGCAGTCATGTTTATCTTTCCCAAGAACCTTCTTGTATTGCTGCTTTGTAGCTCCACCTGTTGCCTCGTGTCTTTTTCTTAATTATCTTAGGTTATAGGGTTTACGGACAGTTAAACATTGATATTTCTGACACTATGTCTTGTATGTTTTCTTTAAGCGGTAGATTAAACTTTTGCATGTGGTTACAATACCACAAATAATATCTCAATCAGATGCATCCATAGGAACATCTTATCCAGAAGAGGGACTGGAATTTTCCTTCTGGTCAGCATGTAGCTGCTTCCAATAATAACCACATTGATACTGATATTCTTTCTCATTTTAAATATGTGGAAAGTACAGAAATGATCATTCTCATGAAATTAATAGGGAATGAAAATACACATTGACAAAAACTCTGTTTAGAAACTTAGTTTGTGACTATTGGCCTGCCATTTGTATTGATATCTCATAAATGAAAGAACTATCAGTAGTGTATATTGCATGTTGTTACATTAATGCTTGGTATAGAAAGGAAAACTAGACAGATTCACACATTTTTGAAATATATATTGTGTTCAGTAGCTTTTTTGTACAAAATAGTGTAATAGACTGTTTTATTGCTATTAATCAATATAGAAGTGAGACTTTGCAACTAAAGGGCCTCCCTGTGCTATAAGAGGAGTTCTTCTGTTCAGTGTGCCATTGAACCTCAAATAGGAACCTTGTAGTTCAGGTCTCTCAAGGGTGGATGATTTTCTTTCAGTCAAACCTCAGCATTTCATTGCTATATGGGTGGTAGGGTTTTGTAGAGTGGAAAAGGGAATACATGTCATTTCCCTATTTCCTGCCCTCTCCAAGATACCTGCAATAAGCTGTCAGGGGCTTGAGCAGGCTAGTTTCTTCTCCTGCCCTTCAGTCCCCCTTGCCCCACCCCCCACCTAGCCCATAGTCAACTGAAACCCTAATACTTAAGTGTCTCTATCTGCCATAGACTTTACTGAAACTCACATATTTTGCTTGGCCTCTGCTTTCAGTTCAGACTCTCTTCTCCCCCTGGACAGAAATAAGAGCTGCCTATAGAAAGCAGTGGTGAAATCTAGGATTTTTGGGCAGCATTATGTGTCTGCTTTCTCCAAACAAATAAAATGTGGTAGCCAAGACAGGAATTCCTATGTTTGCCATATAGTGTGAACCTGGAAGTTCCATCTGCAGACAAGGAACTGACTTACTCTAGTATTTCTAATACAGTGGTACCTCGGGTTACATACGCTTCAGGTTACAGACTCCACTAACCCAGAAATATTACTTCGGGTTAAGAACTTTGCTTCAGGATGAGAACAGAAATCGTGCAACGGCAGCTCAGCAGCAGCTGGAGGCCCCATTAGCTAAAGTGGTGCTTCAGGTTAAGAACAGTTTCAGTTTAAGAACGGACCTCCAGAACGAATTAACTCTTAACCCAAGGTACCACTGTATAAATAGGCCAAGCTATCATCAAAATACTGTACCTGAAAGCTCATGGGTTCTTGTTGGTCAGGTTTGGGTAGTTGTTGTTGATTTAAAACATTATTTTAATTTATATTTGCAAATTTGCAACGGGAGCTCACCCTGTCATGGGGATTCAAACCACCGACTTTCTGATCCGCAGAAGAGGCTCAGTGGTTTACACCACAGCACTAATTGGGAGGGGAAGGCTATTGCTTGAACTCAGAGTTTGTAGAATATTTATTTTTCTGATACCTGAAAAAATTGAAGAAAGAAAACTTGATATAAGGAGTACTGTATTTCTGTGATGTAATTATGTTTAGGTTCAAGTCTTAGGATTGCACCCTTAGGGAATCTGCCCTTTGATGTAAGGGTTCTTCTTAATAAAAGTCTGTTCATGTTTTGTAAAGTAAGTAGCACACTGCACATGCTATTTTAAATACACAAAATTTCAATGGCTTTCCTTTCATTGCTTGTTATGAAATACTTCCATCTCTATATCCCTGTTTTGTAAAAGGTCTTAAGAAAACATATCTGTTTTTTAGACCTTGGGTCAGATTGTATAGAAGACAGATGAGTGCCAACAATTTCTCAGTCTCTTAGGAGTTGGATGGCATTATGTTTTCCTCTTTTTAAAAAAGCTTTTTTTTCTCAAGTGACAGATGTTTGAATACAAGAATTCTGAGTGATTTCTTAAGGGTTTATCAACTGACTTGGTTTTGGAATCAAAGTTGAAGTGAGTGTAGAGCCTGCCATTTCCCCCCATCCAGGAGTCAGATTAAAATCTCCCCTGACTATCCACAACAGAAGCCTAAATTTTCTGTTGGTGGCAGTAATTCTAGGATACTTTGCTAATGGTCAGTTCATGTGCACTTGAAAAAATACTTGGTAGGTGGAAATAATTTGAACCATTGGAAACCTTTACCTAGCATTCTTATTGTGTGTTAGAATATTAGTCTCCAACTTGTTTAGCTTTTCTGTAGCTAATTTTGCATTGGGGGTAACATTCATGCTGAAGAACCAGTACTCACTGGCTTAAAATGTAAATTGTAACTAATTATACCATAAGCAACATGTTAAATAAATGCATCTCCTATTCCACTTGGAAACTTTACATTTAAGTGTGGTAAGAAAATGATTTTATAGCCTGTATGTAATTAGCATGTAGTATATAATGAGTGAATGTGTCTGGTTTGGAAGTAACAGGGAGGAAACATACATGAGGAATAGCTCAGTTGGTAGAGTGTGAGACTCTTAATCTCAGTGTCTTGGGTTCAAGCCCCACATTGGGAGAAAATTCTTGCATTGCAGGGGGTTGAACTAGATGATCCTCATGGTCCCAAGGTCTAGGATTCTATATCTAAACGATTTAAAACTCAAATGGATTACAGGGCTAAACTGCCCACGCAGCAGATGCCATTAGGGCCAATTATAATTTCCCCCAAATATTCCAGTTGTAAAATCATCATCAGTGATTCATTTTATTCCACAATAAATTGAATATTGACATGTTCCTCCCCCCCCCCCCCATAATTTGGGAAAAGTTGACTAGGAAAAAATGTAGACTCTCTTACTGTTTATCTTAACTGCCAGATAAGTAGAATGTGAGTGAATCAGGAAGAATGTTTCTTTGCTACAACAGCTTCCAAACTGGCACAGTGAAAGGTGATGGGATGGGCCTTTTGCTGTCACATGACGACAGGAGGGCTAGCTCTGGGTCCAACGGATTTTGCACTTGGCCAGGTCCACCTCTCTGCTCTGGAGGATACCTCTATCTGCCAGCAGAAGCTTCCCACTAGCCAGGTGCACTGGAGCATTCTGATAGAGCTGCACAGAGGGGAATCTCCACCTCATTCAAACCCCATTCAGCATGGTAGATCCAGGATTTAGAATGCTAAGTAAGAACCTTCCAAAATTACTAGAAAATAAAAGTTTGTATGAAAACTTCTAGCCACAACTTGTGGAAATAAAGGAAGGAAGCTGGCTCTTAACGTTTTAGAATACCATATGTAGACAACTTTACAAGCCTTTCTGTTTTGTTCTGGAAATGCTACAAACAATATTTCATTCAGTAACAAATAAGGTAACAATCTTTCTTTACCAGTAAGCTTGCAAGTATAATGTTATAGAAACCCTTGTCTTGGTTTCTGAAAAACTTACATATATCATTTAAGAAAAGACCTTCTGAGTCAGATCACTGGTCAGTTTGTTTCTACTTGTAGCTGTAGCCTTAGATTAAGTTTCTAACAGTGCAAGACACTTTGAATATTTTTATCTCAACTGACAGCTAATGTTGGGGGAGTCATTGAGGTTCATTTCATCAGTTAATTTCTTATAGTTTTAAACATCTTAAATATAATGTTGTCAATATGTCAGCAGAGTGAGTCTCACATTCCTGTATTTTCCACTGGGGGTGGAAATAGAAGTAATGCTGATTTACAAAACTGTCTTAGGAGTCAGAAACCTTCCAAAATTTGGTTGAAAAAATAATAATTATAAAAATACTACCAATATAATCATTAAACTTAATAAAACAGTAAAAAAAGCCTATATCCAGTTGTTATTTATTAAAAGCTTGAACCAATAAAAAAACAGTTAAGCAAAGCAGAAGAAAGCATTCCAGGACCAGGGTACCGCTCCAGAAAAGGCTGTTTCGTTGGTTGCCACCTGTCCAACCTTTGAAGGCACAAGAATCTCTCTCTCTCTCTCTGACTCATCTGCCTTTATTCAGTAAATAATTATCATTGAAAAATATTGATTTGACAGAATTGGAAAATATTGTTTGCACCAGAAGCTAATAGCCAGGTATATTTTTTTGCTATCATATGTAGGCAGTACATCCTGAGTATTTTGAGGACTAAGCATTTGACTTAGTATTACTAAGTATGGTGTAGGTCTTGGAGAAATTTTGTCCAAAGCACTTGTATTCATGCATGTATTATGTATCTCTTGTATTTTGTGGAGGGAAGAGGAGAGGAAAATTTGGCCTCTGAATTTCCAAATATTTTATAATTTCCTGTTCATATAAACCAACTTTGTTATCATTTCTGAGTGTGTTCAAATAATTGTCTATGATCCTTGCTTTGTTAAGAAAAGTTTCTCACTCTTCTCAGACACAGAAATGGGGGAAATAATGGGTCCTAATTAAAGAGCTTGGAATTAGAGGACAGCTTAAGGCATATAATGAATGTCATGTTAAAATATTTACAGATAAATATAGATCATAGTATAAGCAGAAATGTAAATTGTAGTTATATATTTTTCTTGAGAACTTCAAATAAATATTCCTGAGGTTGTAATGCATACATACATGATCAATGTTTGATATTAAATATATGTGTATACACACACATTTATCTGACTAGCATGTTATGTATTTTGCATATCACCTCAGAAATACTTATTAAAAAGGCTACAAGGTTATTTGCAGACTGTTAGCTGTTTTTGTCTTGCAGATTGGTTATGTGGTGGCTCTATCTTAACCTTCATAATAATCTGGGTTTTCCCCTTTTTTCTTTCCCAGTTCTTCTGCTGTACTGACAGTATTGCTACAAGGAAGTATTTGTGATTGACCACAATGTGACACAGTGTAACCCACCAAAGGGAACCAATTTTTACACCAAATGGTATGGTGATTGTTCTGAAGCTAGAATGTATTTATCAAGCATCTGTCTTAGAATCATTCAACAAAATGTATTAATTGCTGAGGTGATTGCAGATCTATATTTTAACTCTAGTAATGTTGAATAGTGTGTGCCACATCTAGGTGGTTATTTTTATTTGCTAAATGACAAGAGGGAGTAGTTTTAAACTGACTGTCTTGGAGATTTATGGGTCTTTTTTTATAAAAAAAATGATATTTATTGAAAAGATTTTTTAAAATTACACAAAAAAAGACAAGACAGAAATAAAATAAAATAAAACCATCATTCTCAAATTCTCCACTTTCAATACCTTCTTTCTTTGACCTCCTCCTCCTCCCTTTTCTTGTATCCTGATTAATAATAATCGCAGCAAATCCTTTCCATAATTCATAGTATTCTGTCATTACATTACCTTAATCTATTTTCATCTTATCTTATAAAACCTTAAAGTTTAAAACTTAAATCTTATTTTTACCAACTTCTCCTAACCATAACATTCTTACCAAATTCTTTAGACATTTTTACAAGAGCCAAGTAATTTCATTTCAACATTTTTCTAACATTCATCAATTTTATAGAACAATCCTAATGATAAAAAAAAGAAATAAACAATCCAATCTTCATCCAGCGTCCCTTCCTCCTGGTCCCGGGTTTTGTCAGTCCTTTTTATCCTATTAATCTAGCACATTAACCTGGAAATCTTATATCCGAGATTTATGGGTCTTCAGTAGCCTCTGCCTAAGCAGGTAACCAAACAGTGTCTCATAGGAACATATCTGATAGAACATATAAATACTGCATCCCTGACATAAACCATGGCTTATGCACATGAGGTCATCTTGTGAACCTTACAGCTGAATGACATGTCTTCCTTGATTACAAGAAGAGGCTCTGGGACAGTATTTCCCTGTAATTTCTGATAAAGGTATGAGTTGGACAGAAAATATATGCTAAAAATTTTTTGTAGTTTGATTAATTCATCACATTCTTTTATGATTTTATATGTTATATTGGCTTAACACCAAATCTGTTATTATGCATGTTACTACTATGGAAATTCCAAATCTGCGGTTCTACAGCTCCTATTTTGGAAATAAGTTGTTTGCTGTCAATATGGTTAAAAAATAAATTAAAAAACTTTTTTTAAAAGAAAAATAAAGTAGTTTAATTAGTTGCTACTTTGTATGACCCTGCTGCACGAGGACAGCCAGGATCCCTAAGTGTTACTATTAAAATAAATTGTCATCAAGGCTGTGAAACATAGGGCTTAGAAGGAAGGATGAATCCTGAGAAGTGCAAGCAGGGTGCAAGCACTCTTGCAGTGTGGCTTCCCAACTCCCTCTTCTCCACTGCAGTTATCTGCAACCCTGAAAATTCATTCATGAGGTTTGGGGGACTCTCTTCACTCATACACAGATTCTCCCCACCCACCCCAACTCCAATCCCTTTAAAGAAGGGGAATCTGTAGTGCTCCATATATTGTTGGATTCCAGTGTCCTTACTGGCTGGAACTGATGGGAGTTAAGCAACATATGTTGGGGCCAGATGTTTCTCTTCCCTGCTTTACAGCATTGACCATGGTACAGCATTATTTGGCATTAATGCCAACCATGGTTAATTTTAACCAGAATGTGCAAACTTTAATCCTTCTTTAAAATTCATGGGAGGAAGTTCATAAAACCAAAGGGTACTCTCAATCTCATAACCTCTCCTTTTTTTATTTTATTTAAATATTGGTTAATTTTGTAACCTCATTGTTACAAATACAGTGGAACCTCTACTTACAGATGTAATCAGTTCTGGAGGTCCATCCATAAGTCAATCCGGGTCACTGGTAGACGTGCCGTTGTGCGCAGGCGCAATTGGCAGCAGCGCACTTCTGTGCATGTGTAGACAGCGGCGGCTGCATCTACACATGCGGAAACAGCGGAAGCTGCTTCTGCGCATCTGCGAATCACGGCAAACCCGGTATTTACTTCCAGGTTTGCCACGGTCGCAACTTGGATCAGGCCCAACTAGAGGCGGTCATAAGTAGAGGTTCTACTGTATGGATTTTTCAGGAGACTGCATTTTTAAAAATTAAAATTTAAGTATTTACTTATTTGAGGTTTGTGGTGACAGGACATGTGCCATCATTGAGACCGACTGAAGTACAGCTGTTCAACCAGTGCAATAATGATAAAATGGGATGATGCACTAGCACACAAGTTCTTGTTTTCTTTTGTTTTGATCTGAGTGAGTCTGTTGTCAGTTATAGTTCATATTTGTACTTGTGGAATGTTTAGTTTGGGCATCCAGTTTTTCTACTTTTAGGCTGTGATGTATTTCAGATAGCATTCCTAAGCAAGTATATGGTATTTGAAGTCAACTGAAGCAAGCAATTAGTTTGAAAATTTGTGTTTTTCTTTAATACAGTACTGTAATTTGTCTTTCAGATCACTAATACTAATGAATTACCTTTTGGGGGTCAATGATTTCCTAGGATTATGTAAGACATTTGCAATGGAAATGCACTTCGTATTAATGGGTAAGGATTATTTTGATTATTTCACCAAATTTAACAGCAAATGAAAGACCAACAAATTCTACCCTATCTGAGCTCTAAGCATTGTATACAACTTCTGTCCAGTTATATTGTGGTTCTGCCAGGTTAATTGTCATCTAAACAGGTGGTTTCAAATTACCGTATTTTTCGCCCTATAGGACGCACTTTTTCCCCTCCAAAAATGAAGGGGAAATGTGTGTGCGTCCGATGGAGCGAATGCAGGCTTTCGCTGAAGCCTGGAGAGCGAGAGGCGTCGGTGCGCACCGACCCCGCTCGCTCTCCACGCTTCAGGAAGCTATCCGCAAGACTTGCGCACCCGGCAGGAGGTCCCGCCGGGCCCGCGAGGCTTGGGGCGGCAGCCTGAAGCCAGAAGCACGGGGCGTCCTCCGGAGGATGCCCCGTGCTTCGGGGAGGTGTGCACAAGCCTTGCGCGCCCAGAGGGAGGTCCCGCCAGGTGCGCAAGGCTTGGGGCGGCAGCCTGTTCTGGGGGTTGGGGTCGGGAGAAGCTCGGGCCTCTCCCGCCCCAGCCCCGCGGCTGGGGGGGGGAAAGAAATTTTTTTTATTCATTTCCCCCCCAAAAAACGAGGTGCGTCCTATGGGCCAGTGCGCCTTATAGGGCGAAAAATACGGTACCTATTTTTCTACCATGTCATTGAATTACAAAGATGACATGTATAGATTCCCGTGGGTGATAGATAATTTGTGTTCCTGGCCTTCAATGTTTTCCAGGGACAATTGGCTAAAGTAGGAATCGATGTTGTATGGTCTCTTTTATGCAATTCTGTTCACCAGTAATTCCAGCATGGAGTAAACTAAGGAACTGGTTTTTTATCTTGCATTCTTTGCACTGATAGATGTGGATATTTTCTCAAATTTCTCATTTCAGGAAACTTTCAGATCAGTCAGTGCAATGGATGTAAGTTGAATGAATGGATGCTAATACACTTACCAAATAAAAACAGGATTTTTAAAAAAGGCAGAATGATACTTCCTGAATTTTAATGAATGCCTTTTGGGAAATACACATGCTCAAGCAATTATTATCACTGTTGGACATTAAAAGAGTATATATGATTAACTGATAATCCTCAGAATACTATGCTTTACACTGCCTTCTTAAAATTTAGGCTTCTAAGACTCCTGTGCAGATGCTCAGGCAATTCCAGTCTGTCTTTTTTACACACACACAAACACACTGCAGATTTTCCATGGCTTTTCGTGCTGCATGTGTTGTGAAAAGGGGCACAATGACTGCAGTGGGAAGGAGTAGCCCCTGAACTCCATTGAACTTGCAGAAAATCTTCCTGCATCTCATTGAAGTTCCAGCTGAAGTAAATGCCAGTGATTTAAATAAAACTTGATTCTTAAAGTTTGCTCTGTGTCACTTGGAAGTAAGTTACATTTGAAATTCCAGGAAAATTATTTAGGATAATAATGCGTACTTTTGTAGACTGAAATGTTAAGTGATTTAATCTTGGATAGAATTCTCTGGGATGTTGGAGCAGATGACACTGATAAATCTTTAGTAATTTGGATTTTGTGGATTATTTTGTTGGTGATAATTTAGCATTTTAAATGGAGTTTCTATTCTGGACCTTGTATAAATCCTTGTAACATAGGAACTTCAATGATAAATGCTGTTAGCATTGATCTATATTTCTTGGAACAGTTTCATTGTTTTACATCTCTGCAAACAGAGTAGTACTTTCAGATAGTAAGTCCATACTGATATGCATGCCCAGTTTGCAGGTAGAGAAAAAATATAAACAGTGAGATCAGATAGAAATGAAATGCAAAAAATACAGTGTGGTATTCCATAAAGTCGTACAGTTAGTGCAAGGACAGCTGAAGTTCCTCTCTGTCTTCTTTCCCCATGTGCCCGCTAAATCTGTTCCTGGGGCTCCCCCAAATCTCTAGAATAGATTTGGGTAGGGTGCCGGCAGAGTGGAAGGGGTACAGAGCCATTGTGCAAGTGGAAACTTTGTGTTAACACAATAAGTGCATTGGATACTATCCACAATTGGTGACAGTTATGTTAAAACTTAATTGTATTCAATCTAACTACAGTGGCAATTCATAACAGCAGTAGCTTCCATTGGCTAGATATTTCTGGATTAAGCAGAAATTGGATGGCCATCTGTCATGGATGCCTTAACTGAGATTCCTGCCTTGCAGGGGGTTGGACTAGAGGACCCTTGGGGTCCCTTCCAATTCTACAGTTCTATGGTTCTATGGTCTTGGACTTGCTTATTTGCTTTTTTACATATGGTTAACTGAAAAGCCTTAAGTGACTGTACTGAAGTTAAGGGGCATTACTTTAGTCAAGAGCTATGAAATGGATATGCTGATATAGTTTGTTTACGTAGGAACTACCATGGTAGCCAAATTAATTGATATGGACAGTTTTTGTGTTGCTGCAACATAAATTATAATGCAGAAATGTTAGATAATGTGTAGAATGTATTATGACTCTACCTGAGGTGGAAGATTGAACAATTATGTTAAATGATTGTATACATCCTCAAAATGTGAGTAGATGAACCTGATAAATTTTGAAGATTTTTTTTCCTGTAAAACTGCTTGAAAGTTCAGCAGTTTGGTAGGGATTAAACTATAAAAACCCTCCACTTATCTTAAGATCAAAAAATGTCACAAAAATGTATCAAACCAAAGTTTTCACAGTGCCAACTCAACACCTATGGGAAGCCTGCAAGAACAGCATTATTTCCTTATGATTTCCAGCAACTGCCTCCAACAGTGATGGTAGTACATAGCCAGCATGGCTAGTAGTCATTGATTACTTTACCATCCATGAATTTGTCTAATCCCCTTCTAATACTGAACTGAGTCACAACAGTAATGTCACTGACAAACAAAAACATAAATAGTTAAAATCCAGTATTGATCCACATTATCTTGAAGTTTCAGATCATTGCAAATAAAATAGATTTACAGAAACTTGTTATAGCCCTTTTGACAACAAATCAACAAATTCCTTGAAAGAATACATTTTTAAAAAGTAAGAAGCTGTAATAAATCTTATTTTAAAAAGTAGCATGAGCTTCCTAAGCTAGGATTGTCATGACATTTACTGAGATGATGGGAGGAGACAGCCTGCAAATATAAATAAACTTTATAGTTTTAAGTATGATGTACCAAGGAGGAAATCAACAGAAAGACACTGGCTATGTTCAGACATCATATTAAACCATAGTGTAACATGATGTGAATGGTCCTAGGCAAGCCCTTGGGTTCACATTTTCTCCCATCTGGTAGGAATTATGGATTCTGGGGGTTTAGCTTTTGCTTAACAAGTAGTTTCATCAGACCTGATAAACTAGGTTTACAATGACTTTTTTCAAACAAGCCACATGGTTAATTTGACATCATTGTTTAGAAAGCTAGCTTGTTTCAACAAACTGTAGTTCAGATTAACCAAAGGTTAGAATTATGATCTAATGCTAAACTGTGGTTAAGTCAAATCAGAAGAGAAAGCTCACAATCTCCTACTTGCAAATGCACTGAAAGAGGAGGGGGAGTGGCAGGGATGGTGATGTTAGGAGGAAACATTTGAACCTTAAGTTCTTTCCCATCATGCTAAACCACATACTTCACATTATATATTGGTGAAATTTACAGCTCATTTATTTTAGAGCAGTCATTTTAAAATCCATATTGATATGGTTGAAGATTGTTTTGCAGTCACTGTGGAAGCCCTTTATATGATACTTATGATAACACAGCATTGCAGTCTGTCAACTTGTTTGTGTCCCAATAAACCATGGTGAATAAAAATCAATATTTTTGAAGCTAGTTTTTTTAAAGATTGACAGATTTATTTAACTATAATAAAACATCAAACTCTACAACCATCTCTTAAAATTGAATCCATGATTGTTTGTCAAACATTTATTTAAAGGCTCCTTTTCTATGTAAAAGAATGAAGTGGTGGCAAAATAATGTTATGAAATCAAGTGTTGTAGATATGACACAATTGATTGTTAACTGCATGTATTATTATGCATACAATGAGTAGTTACACTCTTTTAACCAGATAGTTACTTTCAGTATCATGGACAAACACAGGTTTCCCCAGTATCTACAAACCCTTCCTTCTGAAATGTTCTGGGCATTTAACTGAAGATTAAGTTATCCTGCTTTTGTCTTTGCTTTTGTATATGGAGGTGACTAGAACTCTTTAATAACTGCTCCCCTAAGCAGATAAGATTTCTGTGTAAAAGGCATGACCTGAGATTTCAGCTTGTGTTCCTATATAGTAAAAAGGTTACGTGTCTAATGCAAACATATGTATTATTATAGCAATTGATTAGTGGCATGCATATTCAGGAAATATATCAGAAAGTTGGAAATTTGGGTTCACATCAGTCCATCTGCAACAACATTTCTGTATTTTAAGTGTCACATGACAGGAGACAAAACATGATTTGGGGGGCAGTGGTAATTTAAAATACAGCCCCATACATTAACATTTTAAAGTAACCGCTTAATTGCTTTTTTCCCTCTTGCCTAGGGTATTTTAAACACTTCAAGACATTATTTCTTCAAATGTGCTAATGGATGTGGACATGGCTTAGATAAGGTGTTGACCACTGCAAATTCTCTGTTGCTGTGTGCTGCCGAAAGGCTAGCTACTCCATTTGGAGTAGTGTCAAACTAGCACAGATATATCAAGATGACAGATCCTATGATGGACTTTTTTGATGATGCCAACCTCTTTAGTGATACCTTAGAAAGTTTGTCTGATGATGCTTTTGTACAAACTGGACCTGTTTCACTTGTTGATGAATTGAACTTGGGTGCAGAGTTTGAACCTTTACACATCGACTCGTTAAACCATGTGCAGGAAACGCAAACTCAACAAAAGATAAATGAATTTGGGCAGCTAAATCAGTATGATTCATTGAAACTTCAAGTAAACCAGTCCTTCAGCAGCCCAGCTGAAAATGTTTTATCACCACACTCTGAGTTTAATTGCTCACCCATCCATCCCCAAAGCCAAACCAATGGGATGTTTCCTGATGTGGCAGATGGAAGCCCAATGTGGGGACACCAAACTTCTAGCAGTGTTTCAAATCAGAATGGATCCCCTTTTCACCAAGGTCGTTCACAATCTATGCAGCAGAACAAAAGCTTTGTAGCACACCATGATTTTGCCTTATTTCAGGCCAGCGAACAGCACCATCCGTGTGCCTCATTGCAGTCGCAGCAAAACAGAAATGGCATCAATGCAGGAGAGGACACTCAAAGTCAGTCAGAAAACTTCATGGAGGTTAATGCGTCTGTTCCACATAGAACCAGTGTTTCTCATGCACCTCAAGGTGCTACTCTTTCAGACTCACAACAGTCTATCTCTGTGCAGTCATTTTCTCAGACTGCAAGTGACTCACCTCACTTTTGTGGGACTCAGGACGGAAACTTTGATGGACACTCTCCTACTATAACTCCATGCTCTGTTAATACACAGTTTTCACCTCCTTATTCCTACTCTAGTAACCATGTTTCTCCTACCAGTCTTCTACAGTCTTCGACAGCTCTTTCTGTTAGTCAACAAACTCATTCTCTATCTGATTTTCCAGAGAGTGATGCCTTTGCTTCTCAGATAGGGACCAAGCAAGAAAATACAGATAACCTCCTTAACTCAAGTCCATCTTTAAATTCAAATAATTTCCATGCGTTGCATTCAGCACATCCTCGGGGCAGCTTCAGTGGTTCAAAACTGTCTGCAGTGAACATTAATTTTTCTGCCCCTGCTGGCTCTGGTCCTCAGCTGAGCTATTTCAGTGATCCTATAGAAGGCAATGGTTTTTCGTCTTTGGATGAGAATTTGCTTCATCAAGTCGAATCTCAAGCTGAATCATTTACGGAACTTGATCCAGAAACTCTCCTTCAGGAAGATCTCCTTCCCCAGTTCAGTGAATCTACATTTGTGCAGGACAGCTCAAGTAATGAGTTAGAACACCACCTAGAACACCATGTTACCCCACAAGTGACAGAGCCCTCCCACCTTGTTCGGACTCAGACTCAAAATTGCAATCATCCCTGGTATCCTCCTAGTTCTAATCAACACCTGCAAGAGCGAAAGCGTGTAAATGCTCAAGGGCAGGTAGGTAATGCTTTTCTGGGAGGGTTATATTTTGCTGTAGCTAGTTCATTTTTACCTTGCTATTAGTCAAAAGTAGTTAGTAGTTCAACCAATATAAGGAGGCAGAACCATAATCCATTAGTAAGAAGAACTATCCTGAAGTATAGGATCCTGTTTAAAAAGGGGGTTGGGTTGGTGAGGTTTTTATAACTTTTCGGCTGTTTGAGATGGAATACTAAATAGCATTTAAATCTTAGCTCTAAATGCCTTTTGCACACTTCACTTTACAGTGTCTTCCATCTCAGAAAATACAGCATTCTGCCATATCTTCCAAAATTGAATACACATTTCAGTTTGTTTCTGTACGACTTGGCAGACTGTTATTTTTGCTTTCGTTACTGCCAACTGTTGAGTTTTGTGGTATAAACTGGAAGAAAAAAAATTACAAAAAAGTGTTGAGAAATAAGCTTTATAATGCTGCTTGCTTTGTTTTTTTCTCCCCCATATCAAATTAATTGAAGTTATAAAACACCTTTGTGGTCTTTTTAATAACACATAGAGGTATGACTCTAGCTTTGAACATTGTTGCCATGAAGAGTTGTATATATAACTATTATTGTTTAAATTTATAAGCAGAATTGAATATATATGCGCGCACACACACATACATACACACAAACACACACACACACACACATATATATATATATAATGTAACAAATATCAGCAATATATAATATTGATGGAAATACTGGATTCTGTTTTTTCTATTTATGTAGGTGGCTGTGGATTTTAATATTTTATTATGAGAACCTAGTATTTACTTTGAAAACATTTTGGAGCAAATTATGGTGTAATTTATAGTAGTGAGCATAAAACACCCCTTTGATTTCAAATCTGTTATTAATAGTGACTGCTATTTGAGCATAAATTTTCCAAGAGAGTATGCTTTTTGACATTTTGGCATGACCAAATACTAGTGTAATATATTCTTTATATTTCATTTGTCTATTTCCTTTTGGGCTGTAAAATACTTTTTTCTCATGTGTTAAGCATAGCATGAATCTAGAAGAATGCATCTTTCTTTTCTTTGAAGGCAGGTGTTGCTTAGCAGTAGTTAACCACATAACAGTTAGATGGCAGAGGTACTTGATGCTGTTAAATCATTAAGTCTTTAAGGTCACAATGATTAATATGGTAGAATGTCTAGGGAACATAAATGATATTGCTCATGAGCCCTAAATATGAGATCACCGAGCATTCAAAATTCTGCACAATGGGTGACAAGATAATCATTTGTATGAACTGAAGTGATATGTCAAACACTAATTATTATGCTGGCCATCCTAATCTTCGATTTAAGCAAGGGTGCCTAACTCACAGGCCATTTATTTTCATTTACAAATTTGTAAACCACTTCATACCCTGAAGCCACTGACCATTTTTAGTAGCCAGCTAAGCATCAAGACTTAAGACGCCTGCCTAATTTCAGCTGGTAATTGATTCTAGAGGGCTAGAGTTGTAACACAAAAGCCCAGTTTGGGGTGAACATCTGGGGCATGCAGAATTCTCAACCATGCCCCTTCTGAGGAGTGCATTGGCTGGGCAGGGATATATGGAACGAGGCCATCCCTTAGGTAGCCTGGCCTCAAGTTCTTGACCTTCAAAAGTTTTATGTGAACCCCAGAAACATGCACACCAGCTTTGTGAGGTCATGTTTAACTCTCTTTGCACTTAGCAGATGGTTCCTGCTGTGTCCATTCCATTCCCTGGCTCTTTTTGTCCCAAAACTGCATCCCTAAGCTTTCTGACCTTGCTGATATTTTGCATTTCCACATACTGGTAAACTTTCTGCTAATGTCAGGTGAACTGCATTTTGCTGATTATGTTCTGGGGATAGCGCGTAAACCAAATTTCATATAGTCAAAACAGATTGTGTTCAATGGCAGGTGGGATTGGCAAAGTCTTTTTTCCTGGATGCCCGCCCCCTTTTAAAATGTTTTTATTTTTTATAGCCAAGCATGTATAGCTGAATCCACATGAGTAAATGTGTGTAAGTTGCAAGTTACCTGTATTATTAAAAAGATAATATCCAGAGTGCAGCTGAAGCATCTGCTCTTAGGGACAATCATGAGGTATCATCTTTTCAGAATACCTCAGTGGGAGCCAAATGAAGCAAGCATCTCAAAGTAACATTGAGGTTTGTGATAAGGGCTGAATGAAACCAGCTGAGCTGAACGATAGTGTATTTTATCATCGTCAGGGCAATCCTGGTGTAGGATATCCTCCACTACCAGTGCTGCCCTGAGAAAGAAAAATGCTGAATGAGTATGTGTCTACTGAAACAATCCCCCACCCCCGTTCTGACTGCTTGCTTGCATGTTTGCAGACTGCTCATCCATCCCCCTTCTCTGCTGAGCATGTGGATTGTAGTGTGTGTGGCATGTGGCAGTTTAGGTGTGGCCAATCCTCACTGCATCCCTCAGGCCCAAAAAAGTTAGTGCACCTGAGTTAAACCCATTATTTAGTTGCTTACATTCCAAATAGTTTTACTTTCCCACCTGCACACACATACAGTGGTACTTCAGGTTACAGACGCTTCAGGTTACAGACTCCGCTAACCCAGAAATAGTACCTCGGGTTAAGAACTTTACTTCAGGATGAGAACAGAAATCGTGCAGCGGCAGTGCAGCAGCAGCAGTGGGAGGCCCCATTAGCTAAAGTGGTGCTTCAGGTTAAGAACAGTTTCAGGTTAAGAACGGACCTCCGGAACGAATTAAGTATGTAACCAGAGGTACCACTGTATCTACATTTGTTTATGTTTTACCCGAAAGACAAGAAAAAGCAACTCTTCCAAAAGCTTACCTGAATGTAATTCTTAATTGTCAGTTATGCCCAGGTGAGCGGTTATTTTAGAAGTTTTGAGTTGCAGAGCTTGCTGTTCCTAGAATGTCTGTTAGGAAGTACACCATTAGGAGAGGTGAAATCAGTGTTTTGCCAGTAACCTCATCAGCCTTGAAAATAAACTACTAGCCTGCAAAAAAAAAAAAGTTACTCTGCCTGCTAGAGGATGACAGAGTGAGTAGTGGAGAGCCCTGCTGGATTCAGAGGAGGGAACTTCCCTTCTCTAGTAGCCCTTTTGGTTTCTGTGCTTGGTGCAGAAGAGAGATGAAGCATTTCATTCACTTGCATGGAATTCTGTGCACTCACCTGTCTGCTATTTCTTTTCAGCTATGACTACCAAGCTAGTGCTAAAATGCAAAGCTAAAGCTGGTGAAGGCTGCTAGTGAAGCAAATTTTAGCATGAGAGAAATGAAAATGTGGTAACATTGACATTGCTTGAAATATTACTGACTTGGTGCTTTTAGACGTTGGCTTATGTTATTAAGCTCTGATGAAAAAATAAGCAAGATAAATTTCCAGTTATGTGGATGCATCTATGGATGCTACAAAATGACATGGATATGTAAATGAGACCTTATGAAGAAGGTTGATGGGTGCTACGATGGTTAATAGGTGTCAGTTAAAAGTCAGAAATTGCTAACAATATTTTGAAAGTTATAAATGCAGGTGCAAGTTTCAAAAAAGCCTACAGTTTTTCATAAGCGGCACCTAAAATGTCAACACCTAATTTTTCTCATTAATATCAGTGCAGAGAGGGAGATAACATTTGCTAAATATGTTAAGAAATCAGTGACATTTAATTTGTCCTCTTTTATTATTCAAAATAATAAAATTACTCCATGACACCATGTACTGTAGCCCATTTTTTACTTGTTGCTTTAAATTTCGGCCTGCACAAATTAAATCCTGCATATAATAATGTAACATATTTAAAAGCAAGCAGATACAAATTCTTCCCAGTAATGTTCTTTACAAACTCTTTTGGTACATGGGGTGTGGACAAATTTCTAAGTTGTCAGGTCACCTTTTACATTGTAAGTATATTACAAAAATGTTTTATCCATTTTTATTAATATAATGTTTCTAAAGTCACAAGTTAGACCTTGGTGGTTGTTTGTTGTCTTTCTTGTCAATTCTTTGTTAGTATGAGTCCTCCGTGTCCTGGATTTGCATGGAATGACTGCCAGCAGTGAAATACGATCCTAGCTATTACTTGGTGTACTGCACTGCACAGGCTGCCTAGCACTCTGCCAGGAAACTAAGTAACAGAAAGCAGAGTTGTTAACAGTAGCTTTCGTCCTATTGGCCTCCTCCATGCATACTCAAAGCAGAGTACAAACAGGAAGTGGATTCCAGGAAGGGGAGGGGAGGCTGGAATTTGTGGATCACTCCAGTATATAAGGAGGATGTGGGTAGGATCAAAGCCAAACTAAACTGTATGTTTAATTTCTCTGGAACTGGAATATATTAAACACTGTACTCAGATCTTTTGCAAAGTTTAAGATTTAAAATAATCCAGTAAAAAATAATACTCAGAAACAGCTGTAAAATAAATTTCAGTACCTATAGCACGCATTTTGGGGATCATGATAAATCATGGTTTACTGTAATGGGAGCAAGCCACAATGAGTCTTAGGCTCATTTGTTTTGGTCCCCTTTCGTCTAAATCACCTTTATAACCCATGGTTTGAAGTTGATTTGTTAGAAACAAACCGAAGTTAATATTAATCACAGTTCATCAATGACAAGCTGAAAATAATTGGGGGGGGGGGAATAAATGTAAACGCTTCCAATATCCTCATGGATATGTTGGTGCAATAAAAGAGAGAGGGGAATACACAAGCTCAAGGTTCACTGTAGCTCGTTTCAACAACAAAAAATTCCAGTTTATTCAACCAACTCACAATCATATGTCTCTTACTTAGGAAAGTAGAACTGATTCTTGTCCTTTCTTCCTGTTAATATTCCTGAGAAGTGAAACTTACTGAAGTGTTCCAAAATGCATAGCTTATGTTATGTGAAGGAATATAACAGAAGTTTTCAAACCGTGGTTTGTTGAAAGGTGGGACAAACTCAATTTCTGCACTTGACCCTAAAATTGATTTTTTTTTTTCTTCTGGCAATAAAGATCAAGGCTCTTTTGACCAAGCCCAGGTTAACAAGCATGCTAACAAGGCCCTGGTTTGATTTTCAAACAAAAAATAAGTGGTCCAAGACCCCAGCAATGTTCAGTTGGTCTGCAGAGGGAAAATTAAAGAACTACTTGTATCTAGTATATAACATACATATATGACAATGTTTCTTCCAAAATAAATTTAACAGAGCCAATAAGAGGAAAAACAAAGCTTTATATTATGACCACAATCCAAAATACACTCATAAAGGAGTAAGTCTCATTAAATTAAGTAGGATTTGCTTCTGAGTAAAGAGGCTTGTGATTGCACTGCATGTGTTTAATTATATTGCAAATTTATCGAGAAAGCTGTGAAATAATATAAAATCCATATTTTGAGTATAGGTGGGATAATCAAGATATTTGCTGGTAGATTTTTTTATTTTAACAACATACAAGTTTAAATATCAAACATAATGTTTCACCCAAATCTAACATGAAATGGCACATGTAAAGTTCTTTAAATGGTCATGTGATTCATGCCAATTCAAATACAGTGGTGCCTCGCAAGACAAAATTAATCCGTTCCGCGAGTGTCTTCGTCTAGCGGTTTTTTCGTCTTGTGAAGCAACCCTATTAGCGGATTAGCGCTATTAGCGGTTTAGCGGCTATTAAAGGCTTATCAGCTTAGCAGCTTAGCTGCTAAAAGGCTATTAGCGGCTTAGAAAAAGGGGGGGGGAAGCGAAAAAAAAATCTCAAGACTCGCAAGACATTTTCGTCTTTCGAAGCAAGCCCATAGGGAAATTCGTCCTGCGAAGCAACTCAAAAACGGAAAACCCTTTCGTCTAGCGGGTTTTCCGTCTTGCGAGGCATTCATCTTGCGGGGCACCACTGTAACGTTAGATACTCTTGTTAAGAACAATGTAAATTTTGCAGACAATAAATTGCTCCATCCCATCACATTTTTCTCTCTTGTAGTGAAAATGCATTCTACTGCAGTGTTAGAAATTAGCAAGGCAGCAGGTGCATTTTGCGACTGGCGCAGGTCCAATTGTGATCACATGGAGATCTATGGACACCAGGTTGGCAACTGGGGAAAGCAAAATGTCACTTAGAGAAGGATCTGAAATATTTTCATTGAAGCTTCAATTTGCTTTATTCTGGATTGTTTTATTTGATGTTTGTTGTAATTTGTTGTAAACCACTTTGATATTTGTTATTTAAAATATAAAGCAGTATTTAAATGAAATGAATAATAATGACAATAATAATAATTAACACCTCCCCCAGTGGCACCTAGACATTCCATTGTGGCGACCGTAACCTAGGTTTAAGGTGCCATTTGATGATTAGATTATATATTTGAATTTCTAACACTGTTAAGGATTCCTAAACTGTCAGCACAATCTGTTTTGTGTGTTTTGCAGAAGTTCATTCTTTGCATTAGATTATGGTATCCTCTCTTTTGTAGCACTACTCTTCATTGTTTTTCTTTCACAACTCTCATGATTTTATATTTGATCTATGTGGTTTTGCTAATGTAAGATACTGTAAATACACATTATTTTTTGTGAGAAAGTATCCTGGAAAATGAGTGATGATGATGATTTCATTTATTAAATTTGTATACCACCCTTCATCCATAGCTCCCAGGGCAGTTAACAACATAAAATTACAAAATAAAAACCACAAAGTACATAGTAAAAATAAGAACAACAGCAAACCAAAAATGTGAAAGATATGCAGTGAGGAAATCCATCCAGTGTTTTAAGCAATTACATGCACTAGTACAGCTGTTATGGCATGAATGTGAGAGCTTTGATGCACGCTGGGAGTTCTGCATGATCAGAGGTTTTCCTATTCACTTCAATGGTCTAATAATGCTCCATCCTCATAATCCTTTTGTGGAGGATGAGCTCTATACTGACTATGAAGTTCTGTATAGATTTGTATTGAAACTAAACCTTGATCTTCTCCTTGTATTGTTTATACCATATAAAAATATAGTTTAGCATTTGAAATTTATACTGATAGTTGCTTATATTGTGGGACTCCATTTGTTTAATTATATGTAGCCTACACTTAGAAACTATAGCATCTTCCAACAATTAAAACAGAAAAAATAAAAATAGTTTATTATTTTAAAATAATAAAACCACACATCTAACCAGTCAGAATCTAGCAACATTTAGTTAAAAACTTGCATATACAAAAATGAGTTCACTTTCATGTGTTACAAGGAATTGGAATCAATCCATTAAAGTTCCCAGCTAGTAGGAGATTGGATCAGGCTCTCTTCCACGATCTTATAAGTAGATAGGCTCATTTGTGAGAAGATGTAGTGAAGATATACCAGGTTTAAGCCCAAGTTGTTATTGTACCAGGAAGGTAGTTGGAAGTCAGTGCCATTAGCTTAAGTTTGCCTATCTGGCATATGATTCCAGTTAAAAGATGGGCAGCTGTGTTTTTGCACACTTTTACATTAACTTAGTAGTAACAAAAGCATTGGCAGTGAATGAAATCTATTCTTCAGATAAGTGTAAAGTGGTACCTCTGGTTACGAACGCTTCAGGTTACAAGTTCCGCTAACCCTGAAGTAGCTGCTCCTGGTTGCGAACTTTGCCCAAGGATGTGAATGGAAATCATGTGCCAGAGGCATGCACGCAGCAGGAGGTCCCATTAGCGAAAGTGCGCCTCAGAATAAGAACAGTTTCAGCTTAAGAACGGACCTCCGGAATGGACCTCCAGTATCACTGTATAGCCTTCTTATTAGGTTTGCCTGTGGGAGGAAGGGCAGGATATAAATTTAATAAATATATATAATAAATAAATCTGGTAAAATTTGTTCTTGAATACAGCATCCACTTGTAAGTCAAGGGTGTGCCTTAGATCCATGGGTATCTGATTCCGCAGGGAGAATGCTAGAGAAAGGGTTCCTAGACTGCAGGACCACATCGTTCCAGATTTGTTTTTTTTGTTTTTCCTCCTCATTCCAAAACTTTTTTCCAGAACTGAGGTCACCACTTGTAGATGTGGTAATAATGCTGGAAATCAGAATATTTCATATTTACCCTACTTGTGGCTTCATAATATTTATTTGTTTGATACTTTTATTCTACTATGTAGTCCTAAAAGACACACAAAGCTGCTTAAAAATATTTGCACAATACAATTACATTCAAAAAGATTTGCACAGATAATAAATTATGCCAGGTTTTTTTGTCCTCATTTTTTGTCTTCTCTGGTGTCTGAGGGTGTCCACTTAGGACCCCTGAGGTTAGTGAGTCTGAGCAGCCGGATCTTACTCAGTGAATGTTGAAGCCAACTGTGCTGGAAGTTAGCAGTTCACATGCAACAGCTCTTACTGAGCACCTCTGAAGCAAGGGAATGAGGCTGAGTTGCTGGAAGTCACTTAGCCCATTATGAAAGAAAGAGCTCCCACTGAGGACCTCTGAAGGCAAGTCTTGATAGTAATGTAAGAACTGTGTCCATCCTGGTGCATGCAGGAAATACACAGGCAGGGTATGAGGCAGCAGCCCTCTCCTATATGGTTTCCCCTATCTGGTGTTCAAATTATATCATAGAATCTTAGAATTGGAAGGGACCCCAGGGTCCTCTAGTCTAACCCCCTGCAATGCAGGAATATCAGCTAAAGCATCCATGACAGATGACCATCCAACCTCTGCTTAAAAACTTTCAAGGAAGGAGAGTCCACTCCAAGGAAGGAGAGTCTCCTGAGGGAGACGGTTCCACTATCAAAAAGCTCTTACTGTCAGAAAGTTATTCTGTATGTTTAGTTGGAATCTCCTTTCTTGTAACTTGAAACCATTGGTTTGAGTCCTACCTTCCAGAGCAGGAGAAAACAAGCTTGCTCCATCTTCCATGTGACAGCCCATTAGATATTTGAAGATGGCTATCATATCTCCTCTCAGTCTCCTCTTTTTCCAGGCTAAACATACCTAGCCCCTTCAATAATTCCTCATAAGGCTTGGCTTCTAGACCCTTGATCATCCTAGTTGCCTTCCTATGCATATGTTCCAGCTTGTCAACATCCTTCTTAATTTGTGGCTCCCAAAACTGGACACAGTATTCCAGGTGTGGTCTGACCAAGGCAGAATAGAGTGGTACTATTGCTTCCCTTGATCTGGACACTATACTTCTGTTTATTTATTGCATTTCAATCTTGCCTTTGTAGTTCTGAAGAAGTGCTAAAGATGTCTAGTGTCAATAATGAAAACAGAACAAACGGGGGGATAAACCATGAAAAAACTTCTTTAAAGAGAGTAGCGACCAAATAATAGAAGGCCAATAAAATAATTTTAAAAGCTTGGTTCCTTTTTTATGAACAGCACTGAGTTTGCTTTTGTCACAGAAAAGCAGGATATAAATGTCCAAATAAGTAAATAAAATTTGAGTAGCAGATAAACCACAAGTTCATTGAACTGTACTGTTTTGGAACATGAACATTTTATATAGTCTACTTTCCAATTAAAGCATGATCTTTCTGAAGCAGTTTGTAGTCCTAAAATAGCATATTAAACATAATTTGCAATCATACAACACAGAAAAAATACAATAGAACATTGATAAAAAATATAACAGCATCTAGTTCTCATAATTTAATATAGATATGAAACAGTAGAGAAAGTTGGAGCCATAAGAAAGTACCCTTAATACCTGCTTAATTCCATTGGTTGATCCACAAAGTGTTTTAACCTGTACTGATAGATCCAAAAGAATATGCAGGAAAATTTCCTTTTGACCTTCAAATGAAGATCATCAACCAAGACTACTAAAGCAATCTCTGTCCCATGGCCAAGCTAGAAACTACAGTGGCGTCATTTTCAAAAGCATTGGTATTAATATTTTATTGAAAAGGTTTCAATTATAAAGTAATAAAGTGATGCATAAAAATAAAAGGCACAAAAATGTGTAGAAAATATATATATAAGAAAAAACATCCTCACCCATACATTCTTTTCAGCAAGTACCTGCTTGGGACACCAGCTGAAAGACTGAATTGTAGGATCCAAATTCAAATGATTATTAGTATATTAAAACTATTTTTCAGACTCATTATTGTATGTAGCACCTTGACATCTGGTTGTGATCTTTAGGTGCTTGACCCATGAGTAGAGTTAGGTATTTTCCAATCCGTTTATCAGTGAACTAATTTCACTGGACACATTTCTTCACCATTTTGGGACAATCTTCTGCCATGCACACTTAAGTCGTCTCCCCTGCTCTCTTAGCTCTTTTTGTCGCCCAATAAATAAAGGCATGCAGCCCTGCTATGACATAGAGAAATTTCATGGTGCTGCTGTATTTATGCCCAAGGTCAGTCTTCATTGCAGAGGCGAGTAAGGCCAACTGCACAGAAGTTTATTAAATCTCTCAGAATTTTGGAAAACAATTAGATCTATAGGTCTCCAGGGATAGGCAAACCTAGCTCACTTCCCACTCGGGGACCACAAATTCTGTGTGGCCTTGGTATCTAATCATTTTCTACAAGTCAGCTGTGAAGTATATTCCTTCTGTGAATGATATGGTGCACATTTTCAAAACAGATACAGTTTTCATCAGATGGAATAAAGCTGTGTATTAATAACTTTGACTTTTATAAAGATTAATACTTCTTAAACTTTTATTTTCAGTCTGTTACCCATTTCATGGGTTTTGACCATTTCCTCTCTTTATAATATTTAAGGCTGGCCTCCTCTTCCTTCTGCAACTGTATTACAGAATTATTATTATTATAAACAATATTACTTTTGTGGTGTGGACCTCAAAAATATGTGAGTAGTATGGATTTTGATCAGTAAGGTCTTACCTACCTGTTCTGTCCAAATAGATACATTACAGAAAGGGAAGGAGAGTAAAGGAATATAAAGCAGGCATGGCTCAAAATAGCTTCCGCAAAAACACCTCTGTACTGTCCTGCTAAAATATCAAGTGTTCACATGGAAAAAAATGATGCATGTCATTTTGTAACAGTAAATATCTTATATGGTCCTTGTGCTTCTGGACTTCAAATATTTTTGCTTGTGGACCTAGTATTATAAAACTGTAGGAGGGATACTTTGAAATGGATGTCAGATTTCAGTGTGTTACTTGAGTGTGGTGTGGAATACATAGGTATTATTTTCAACTACTGTAGCAGCTGGAAGAGTAAGAGTTAACTACTGTACCACATGTAGGGAAGAACAGTCTATTGAGGGTTAAATTACAGAGTCTAATGGAATAATAACTGGTAGCACCATCTGCTGGCCTACTTCCGCAGAAGGAGTCAGTATTTTTAACGACATCTCTAATATTCATGCTGATGCATTTTGATGCTTTGTGCATTCATTTCTTTCTGTGTTTTGTTGGAATCTGGCTATCTGCTTACAGCTATTGTTGAAATTCTGCTGTTCCATGGAGGTTGACGGTTTCTCATACAGTAGATAAACAGAGGACTCTTGCTTGTCAAGGAAGGAATATGTTGATAATTCACAATGTGTATTTGTGGAAGGTTGTGTCTATCCTGGCTTTCGGCTTACTAAATAGGCCATTTAGCAATCTTCTTTCAATGCTTTTCTCTTGAGCACTACCTCGGGTGGTGAAAAATCAGAGGGCAAGCCTTTGTCTAATGCCAAAAATGTCTTCAGTGAAGAGGCCAAGAGGAAGGGTAAGTGAAAGCTTGAATGAGTGGGAGGAGGAGGGGTTCTTTGGGCTAAAAGGCTAATGGGATTGAATAACCTTCCTTATTACTGGCTGCTGCTGCGGGAGTCGTGCTGCATCGCCATCTTGAGCTTGTTGCTGTTTTCTCGAGTCTTGGTGATTTGTTGTAGCCTGCAGGCCTTGAGGTGGCATTTTACTTAGCTATCATAAACCCTGCTTTCTTCTTCGTGCTGCAGCACTGCTGTTAAGCTTTGATGAGGCACGTATAGAAAAATGTATCCAGTAAAGCGAACTGGATCTGGCCTGAAAATGTGTTTGGAAATTCCTGGCTTTCCCCTATGCTGTAGTCAGAGGCACATTTATGGGTGAGAACATAGCAGAATTGTTATCTGCTTTTTTTGTCTGTTTGGATAGGAAATTCTTTCCATTCCTTACGTTTGTTTTTTTTTAAAGCTGTCCTCCGTCAGATCTTCGAGAGGCTGCTATAATTATTTGTGCTAGAAACAGGAATTTCAGTGTGCGTACATTTAGAAACAACAACCAAACAAAGGAGCTGTTTAACTGTTTCCTGTGATCAGTTCTACATGAATTTCTAAACAAAGGGTATTTTTTGTAACTAATTGACTGAAATTGTTTTAGCGTTATATGCCTAGTTTACCTGTGAAAGCTAATTTGGCTTAAATATATTACATCTGAATGTTGAACATTGTATTATGTACAGATTTTGCTATGACGTTAACTTTTATGTTATGTAAGTTTTTATAAATTTGCTTTTGTTTCATCAGTATATGGTTTCTGTATCTGGCTAGAAATTCAAGATTTATAAAACAGTATTTTTTATGTATAAACATTCTTTTTACATGGGAGTTGTATAGAACTATTTGGCTTATCCTGAATATTTTTTTAATCAGTGTGCCATAAATAAAATGTTTTATTACATTTAAAATACAACTTAAATGGTCACAAAAAATTGGTAACTGTATGATGAAAATTCTTTTAAATTATGTTTATATTTTTATTCACACTGGTGAAGGGTGAGTAGGTTGTGAATGTAGATTAATTTTCAACTGAAGTGAGATAGCGCATAAAATATGGAAGTAAAAAAGAAGGTAAACAGTAAAATGGAGAATGTGAGTAAATGCAGTTGGAACAGGAGTTGTATTATGGCCCACCCTCATCAGTACATGAAGACTGTAAACTGGACCCTCCCCAGGCACAGATGCTAATTTAGTGGACACCCCCCCCTTTATTTTTACAAGGTTGTGAACAATTCAGCCTATGAAAATCTTATGGATAGAGAATTTTCACACTAGACAAAAGTTTTTAGAATTTAGAAGTTACAATTTTTAAAGATTTATAACTTCAAACAACACCATTTTTACCTTTTACTTTTCTATAGTACAGCTGCCAGCTCTATTAAAATGAGAGAAAAAACTTAGAATACTTCTTTGAGTTTAACATTTATATGTCTGTTTCCCAAGCCCCCTTTTATTGCACATGCAAAGACCTGGTCTAATACACAGTAATGTAGTAATTTTACTATAACTTAAAGCTACAGTATCCCCTCGATTTTTCTAAATATTGTCTGTGACAAAGAATGTCACAAAGAATGCAGATAAAAAGTTGGATAGCCCCCCCCATACCCACTCAGGAATACTATAGCTTTAACAGATGGTGTTTTTATACTGACTTCTGTATGATTTTATGATAGAATGAAAATGTTTTATTTTTATTGCATTTGCATGGATTATCTAACTATATTATATGTGATTAGGGCTTCAATCTGCAGCATACTTATTAGTAAGCCTTAAAGAACACAGTAGATCTTATTTTAAGTATAGATGTGTAGGACTGTGCTGCATGACTGCAGTTAGACTATGGAATAAGCACTGGGACTATCTCCTGAGTAAACATGTATAAGCCTGCACTGCAAATGTACAGTATAAGACAACACATTTGTTTCAGATGAATAACGTATATATATATTTTTTTCTTGCAGCCTCCTTCCTCCAAGAAAACAGATGGTTCTGGGACATATGCTAAGTTGCAGAATACCCAGGTGAAATCTATGTCTGAGAAAAAACAGAAAAAAAAGGTGGAATCTGAAAGTAAGCAGGAGAAAGCTAATCGCATAATATCGGAGGCAATAGCAAAAGCAAAAGAGAGAGGGGAGCGAAACATTCCACGAGTAATGAGTCCAGAAAACTTCCCAAGTGTTTCAGCAGAAGGAAGAGAGGAAAAGAAGGGCAGGAAAGTTAAATCAAAACCAAAAGACAAAGAAAGCAAAAAACCCAAAACTGGCTCTTCATCCAAAACTAAAGAGAGAGCAAAAATTGGGTAAGTGGGCTAACATTCTGTTGTCTGACAGTTTAGCATCCCAACCATAGCCAACGTTTATGTGGAACTTGATTTCAGCAGGGCTTATATACAATAAAACATGCATAATATTGCAACCTGGGGGTATTTGAAAGAGTTGAGATAACACAGAGAGGATTTTTTTTTTTTACAAGGGTTGAGTAAGTAGTTAGATAAGTTCTATTTTTTTTAAAAAAAAAACTTATTGTGAGAGTCTAGTTTTTCCTGGGTCATTGTATATCACTGCATGAAAGCAAAATGCCCCAGGAACTCTTAAGCTACTGCAGAAAGTGTTGGAACTGCTAAATGTAGGTGGCATATCTGCTGCTGATTTTTAGTCCAGTTCCAGTCCTTATCGTTAATATGAGAGATAATACAATATTTGATGTATTCATTCTTAAGTGAAGTTTGCATGAAGCAGAATCCTAGGATCTGTGGTATTTGCAGTCTCTGCAGCTCAGACTGGGCAGGAAGATACCCTGCCAACAATTTATTTCAGGTCCCATTTGTTTTCATATATAATATCCTAGCCTTAATCAAAACCATTTTGGGCTGGCTGGCTTTGTATATAATATGCAGGATGTCTCTGTGTGCATCCCTTACTGCAAAGAGCTTTTGTTACTACAATATGTTGAATTCAGTTGTTAGAACTAGGGTATTCTAATATAGTGTATTAACTTAAAACTTTCTCTTATATAATAATTGTGCTGTGGGATAATTTTGTAAGCATTTTGGCCATGTGTTATGATCAAGTGCTATAGTTCTTAGCATTTCTCATAGCAGTATTCTTGTAACAATTGGCTTCTACGCCAAATATGTATTGTCCTTTGCAGTCCTTTTTCCATTGCTGTTGTGCACCTATGTGTGTGTGCAGATATAGATATGTACTGTATAATGTATTTGGGTTTTGTGGGTTTACTTGCACAGCTTGGAATGACTGTTGATCCAAAACTTTTAAACAATCAGATGGGTTGATGCTTGTCTTCTCCCTGGGACCTGCAGGGTTCCATTTCATCAGTGCTTGTGTTCAAAATGGAATTGAGGATGCTACATAAACTCTTGGAATGAGGGGCCACAATGTCATTGATGGGTTTCATCCTCTGATCAAGCTTCCACGTTTGAGTGCTTATGTATTTTTTGCATTGACTGAAATGTCATATAGCGGAAGTGGACAGATATGCTTTCCATCTGGTATGAATTCTGCAGTCCTTTCATTTACATTCCTTTTCAACAGACATAGCTGTGTGTTTTTTGTAAACTACACTGAAAGAAAGAATATAGTGAAAGAATTTTTTAACCAAATAGATTTAAATTTGAAGTGTTTATAATATTATGTATGTTTTTAAAGAAAAAAATCAACATTGAGCATTGAATATTATTTTAGAATAGTGAAAGCTTTTTAATATATACTTTGTTGCATAGTTCTACACAGGCTATCCTTAGGCAGAGTAATATTTCTGACTTTTAACAGAAAAATACTTATTCTTACTATTTAGTGTGTATTTAAGTATATTGAATTGTATCCAACTAAATCACACTCAGGTAGTACCCCTGAAAGCATTGGACTTGATTTAGCCATGACTTGAACTCATCATGTTGTCTTCAAAATTGTACATACTAATACAATGTCAGGAAGAATGAAAGGCTAGACATTTTTATTGGTTGTGGAATATCCAATGTATAGTCCTGCCTTTGTCTTCTTCCATTCTACTTGTATATATTTTGTCATATTTCTTATTTTGCCTGGATTAGCCTTCGTATCTGCTTCTATCAAGCACATCCCTCTTATTTAAGAAGCAGTTTATTTATACAGTGCCATCTATGTACATGGTCCTTTTCAAAGAACAAGTTTGACAGATAACACCCCCAAAGGGCTTATAGTTTAAAAATAGATAAAAGGGAAATGGAGGCAGGGTAAACAGGGAAAATATGTAACTATTTGGGTTAGACTTTGTTAAAGGACATAAGATAGTATGCCTAAATTCTTTGTCATAACCCACTTATGCAGCAAAGCTTTCCTTTAACTAATCTGAAGTCCCTTAACTGTATCTTCATTGCATTTCCAGAACCCACTAAACTTCCCCAACACATAGCTGTTGCCACATAGTTCTCTCCATTCACTTATAAATTGTTGATCTAATGCAGATTGGAAGCTTTTCCTTCCATTTTGTATTAACCATTGTTTTAGCATTTCATCTTAATTTGGACAAAGCGGCTTACTAAAACCAACTTCAAACTTTTATCTATGAAGCAGAATTATTTTCAATACATTTATTTTATAAGCCTCAACTTCATCCAAAAATGTATTTCAGGGTGGTATGCATTGAATTTAAAATTTACAAATACAATATAAAATGTAATCAATAATCCATCAAAATTTAAAGTAATAAAAGCTATCTAGTTGGCTAAAAAATACTATATTTAAAAATGCCTGGGGAAATAGAAATGTTTTCACCTGACATTGGAAAGAAAGCAGCATCTGTGCCAGGCATCCTCCTTTAGGAAGGCATTCCACACAGGGTACAAATAAGGGCCTCTTCTGATTATCTTAATGCATCTGTAGGTTGGTTCCAGAAGAGGCCATCCTTCAAATATTTGCATCCCAAGTTGTTTAGGGCTTTAAAGGTAAGCACCAGTACCTTTAATTGGGTTTTGTAGTGAAAATGGAAGAAATAAGAGTTCCTTTAGAAATGATTTAACTTGCCTCTGCATAAATCAACCAGGACCCTAGTAGCCAAATTTTGTTATAGTTGAAGTGTCTGAACTGTGTTCAAGGACAGCCCTACATATAATGCATTACAGTAATCAAACCTAGAATTTACCAGAGCATGGATCAGCATGGTCAGACTGTCTTAGTCTAGGAAAGACCAAAGCAGATGAACTTATCACATTTTAGGATTTGGACAAAACACCAACCTGTGGTTAATTGAAAATAGAAGCAAAAGCTTCCGATAGCATCCTCATTACTACACCAGTAGGGGAGAGTACATACCACTCAGGGTCATTCCACTATGTTATTGTTATGTGTGAATGAGACCTAATTGCTGTGTAGGACTTAGCACAATGTTGCTAATTTGGTAAATATTTAGAAGTTGTCAGGGGTGGCTGGTTCATAAGGGGAAAGGGGGCCGTTCCCCACCAAGAGCAGCCATTGTGCCACAGCAGACCCTGGTTCTCTCTTAACCCCAGAGCTTCAGCTCACTCTTCCTCTCCACTTCTCTCACATCCTAATTGTTCACTCTCTGCCTGTCTTCCAGCTTGGAGTCTGCATTACTATGACATAGGCAGGCCTGCCCACACACTTCTCCAGAAAAAAGGGAGAAATGGTAACTTATTTCAAAATTTCCCATAGGAGAATCTTGTTCCATTGAAACACCTAGTCAATCAGGACAATTATTTACTGCAATTTGTATGAAGTGATTTGTTCCAGACTGATGCCTGCACCCAATTCACTGCAAGAACTTCATACCATTTCCCTCACCAGAGTGGTGTCCCTAGACCAATCAGAATTTAGTTAGGATGCTTTCAGCCAATCATGTTTTTGCTGCAGTACTGTTCTGAGAGAGAGGCTTAGCTAACACATCATTTTGGAGACTGGACTGAAGTAGCAGAAGGAACAGGCAGATTGTGTTGTGTTGGTGGAAAACAGAGGCAGAGAACTGAGAGGCACAAATACAAGATGGGTGACACCTGGCTTGAGAGCAGTACATGTGAAAAGGATCTAGGAGTCTTGGTTGACCACAAACTTGACATGAGCCAACAGTGTGACGCGGCAGCTAAAAAAGCCAATGCAATTCTGGGCCGCATCAATAGGAGTATAGCATCTAGATCAAGGGAAGTAATAGTGCCACTGTATTCTGCTCTGGTCAGACCTCACCTGGAGTACTGTGTCCAGTTCTGGGCACCAGAGTTCAAGAAGGACACTGACAAACTGGAACGTGTCCAGAGGAGGGCAACCAAAATGGTCAAAGGCCTGGAAACGATGCCTTATGAGGAACGGCTAAGGGAGCTGAGCATGTTTAGCCTGGAGAAGAGGAGGTTAAGGGGTGATATGATAGCCATGTTCAAATATATCAAAGGATGTCACATAGAGGAGGGAGAAAGGTTGTTTTATGCTGCTCCAGAGAAGCGGACACGGAGCAATGGATCCAAACTACAAGAAAGAAGATTCCACCTAAACATTAGGAAGAACTTCCTGACAGTAAGAGCTGTTCGACAGTGGAATTTGCTGCCAAGGAGTGTGGTGGAGTCTCCTTCTTTGGAGGTCTTTAAGCAGAGGCTTGACAACCATATGTCAGGAGTGCTCTGATGGTGTTTCCTGCTTGGCAGGGGGTTGGACTCGATGGCCCTTGTGGTCTCTTCCAACTCTTTGATTCTATGATTCTAACTACTACAAGATAGGAGGACTGCACTTTCTGTTGAATAGAAAGTTCTCCCCCTACACCTTTGTTTCTTCTTTTCCCCCTTCTAATCCTTAGACTTGCTCTCTCGTCACCCTATGTCATCCTCACTGTTTCTTCCCACTCCTAGACTCTTCCCCTACTTCAATCTCTCTCCTTCTCTCCCAGCCCCCTTAAACTTTCTTGTGTTTTTGTCTCTATTCCAAGTGTGCTCTATTGTGGCATTCACCTTTATCAGCTGTTTGCCCTACGTTTTGCTCCATCAGCCGCCACGAGTAGTTGTATGAACAGAGAGAAATTAAAGATAATACTAGAATGGGAGATTGAAGTGTGGAGTATGACTGTGTCTGCTTCAAGCAAGTCATCCTTATCATCACACACAGAGAGAGAGAAAGAGAGAGAGAGGTTTTTCTTCACTGTGACTACAAGGAGAGTGAAAGACACTCCTTACTCAATATATAGTCTTAGTCAAACTGTGCAGTGTTGTGGCAGATGCTTCATTGTGAGGTTGAGATAGCAAATGTTAGTGAGCAGCCTCATAGTCCTAACAACTTAGCTGAAAGTAATTTCAGGGCAGATAACCCAAATGACATGCTGGGACAGATACAGGAATTAAAATGGTGTTTGGTCATGCCGGCCATATGACCCAGAAAGCTGTCTGTGGACAAACACTGGCTCCCTCGGCCTCAAAGTGAAATGAGCGCTGCAACCCCATAGTCGCCTTTGACTGGACTTAACCATCCAGGGGTCCTTTACCTTTTTTTACCCTTACTTCAGTGATGTAGGCCAGTGAGGAGGAGAAGTTCTCCTTGTCCCCAGAACTCATAAAACCTTTGTTGTCAAAGACCTTGTAGACAACAAAACTGATTTACCAAGTTTCCAAAAGAAAATATTGATAGTGTGCAGATCCCCACTCCATAATACTCATGTCTATAGTTATAATTTCTGTTGCTGTGGGGAAAAGTATGTATTCCACATGTTTAAGGCGCCACAAAAAACAAGATTCTTTATGTATTCTGATTTATTTATTTATTTATTTATTTATTGAATTTCATTTGCACCTTTCCTCCCCAAATGAGCTTGGGGCAGCAGTCACCAATGTGGTAATACAATACAAAATTCAATAAAATCACTTTTAAAAAGTATAAATACATTTTTTAAAAAAATGTGCTTTAAATGTATGGCATAATCATAAACACTTCTGTTTTCTGAAACAAGAAGCATGCTTTCTGTTGTTTTTGGATGCACTGCTAGCACATTTGCAAAGCTAAGCAGGAACCATGTGTTGAGATTCTTGTATTACAGGGCATTGGACTAGATGACCCTTAGGGTCCATTCCAACTCTGCAGTTCTATGATTCTTTTGGCCAAGCAAACATAATCCTGAAGGAGGCATGCCTGCTGCCCACCAGAAAAAGCCAAATGTCTCTTAAGAGAATTTTTGCCACTTACAGTTTGGTCACATCCACACCATACATTTTGTTCATTTATTCTTACGTTCAATTTATATCCCACCCAGGGGAGCAAACACATCTATAATTAAAACAATTTTAAGCATTCTAAAAATAATTTAAAGTATTCCTTCAATCAGTGATTTCAGCATTACCAAGAACAGTATCTTTCAGCCATCAAATGCCTGGGAAATAGGACTATTTTAAAATACTACGTCCACCTGAAAGTGAGGTAAACAATGAGGGCATTCCACGAACAGAGAATTACCATTGAAGAGACCCTGTTGGGTCAGCACCAACTTGACTGCTTCCACTTTTAGTTGTTACCCCTACACAGCCTACCTAATATTTATTTACTGCTTCTGATGTACAGCCTTAACATATTCATGATTAACCCTGAAAAAGATGTGTAATGGTGTAGTTAAAATCAACAGTAACTGTGAAGGGAAATGTTAGTACTAATGGCTTATCATAGGCAATGTCCTATGCTGTGTTGTCCTTAATGAAGCATACCTTTAGACATTGGTTTGGACTTTATGGTATTCAGGTACATTTCAGAATTATGAGTCATAAAGTTGGCAAGATGAATCATGTGCAAGGTCTGGCTGCAGCAGCTGCGTAATGAGAAAAGGAAAAATTTCTTTTTAAATGGGGGTTGGGGAGTACAGAGGATGATGGGGATATCTGCTGTTTGGTGCATATTTTCAAGTCGGGATTGTTTTCTGCTTATCTGTTTGCTTTGTTAGTTAATGGATTTTGTGGTATGGTTATTAATGCATCTTAGTGTGAGTACTGATTTTTACGGTTTATTATTTATATGCATGCTTTGGAAAGAGTGGGTGGGTGGGTGTTCAAATGCCAGGCTTTTGACTTGTTCTTTATATGTATAATGTTTTGATTTGATGTTCAGTAGCAGTGATGTCCAAAATATTTTTCTCCTGATGGACCTTGCCTGGCTCAGGATAGGAGTTCTTGAGTGAATTCATCAAAGGCTAGGAACAAACATAAATGTTCTCTGTGTTAGTCATTGTACTGCTAATTGTCCTTTTAAAAATAATTATAAAATATCTTGCAATCTGAGTTTATATACTGTGGATATGAATTCAGGCAGAGGTAGAGAAGCAAGTTGGTCTTAATGTGTCATGTTGCACATTTAAATTTTGGTTTTATGGAGTTGCATAATTTTACAGTAGTAAGTTGGTGACATTAGCAAACAATTTTCTTCAAGGCTTTTATGATCACATTAATCAGAGATCCAATTAGGTTTTCCATGGGTTTTGCCTAGAGTTGTCATACATCTGCTATGATTCCTTCAGAATATCCAACTAACCAATGATAGCTTTTTGTTTAATTTGAGGGAAAGCACTAAATTAGTCAATCAGATTCTTTTCAGTAACCTTCAGGCTGCTATTTGGGTTAAAGGGACTGTTATCTCAAAAAACTTTACTGTGGGTTTCCTTAACTGAATAATGTTAATACAATAGTAAATCTTCAGGCTCATTGGTAACAAAAACTAGGCTTCTGTCATAAAAAGAAATGTAATGGGCTTCCTGGATTGCTATTCATTCTTACAAATGATTTGACGTTTATAAGTGATCAGTCATCTCAGCCGTATGTGACTTGTAATGTAGAAAGCTAATGAAAACTAGTGGTGTTGCTCTGGTGAAATAAGATCAGGGTGCTTTTCTTAAGAACTTGAATGTTTAAAGGGATCCAGATAGTCTTCCTTATTTCTGTAATTGCTTCTAGCAAATTAGATGTTTTGTACATGTGCCATCTACAAACAAGATTTTATGTTAATAACTTTTAAATTTCATAAGCTCAGTAAATTGCTGAGTAATAATAATGGGTGCCATCTGATCTAAATTGTCCCCAAAGTAGATCCAATGGATGTAACGTGGGCGGGTACCACTATTTGCATATATAGTGATTGGTGAATCATTTCTTTAAACCAGCTTCATTTATTCAATTATTTCTTTTAAATATGATACAGTTGAAAATGGTTGAGTCACCCCACTTTCACTGCTTTGAATTATCTTCCAGTGGCCAGTCATGTTTACTGTTTTTGATGAATAGTAACTGCAGCAAATTAATAAAGGCCAATATTGTTTATAAAAGGGATGGGAAAAGTTCTGTGAAGCAACATAAATTTCTATAGTAAAGCAATTCTGTCATTGCTACATAGTATGTAATTATCAAATCTACATTATGTAAAATGTGCATCTAAGGACATCTCTTTATCTGAATTTGGGTTTGATTGTAATCACATTGTGATTATTTTGAGAATGCATTGAAAAGCAGCACTTGTCAGACTTTAAATATGGAAAATTATATGTATTTGCAGCCCTCTGATTAAAACCAGATGGAATGATATTAATATTGTTCCTTTTTCTGTAACCCTTTGAATGTAAACTCAGAAATAATTAGCACTGTTGCATTAGGGCTATAATTTCCCCTGCAATTCTGTAGTCATTATCAGTTGTTACTAATGAAATGGTTTCTGTACTTCTCGATGTTTCAAAATTTCAAACTGTCAACTTGAATATATTTTTTAGTGTGCTTACTCTGGATTATGTATGAAAATACTTTAGACTGATGCAATATGCACCACTTATATCAATAACTTTTTTTGTTTTGTGTGTTAATAATAAGCACTTCCAGGCAATATGTATAGATATTATTCTACAGTTGTCCATTCTTCTACTAAAGTAAGATTTTTTTCTGGAGAGAAAAATTGAAATCTCCTCCTCCGGCTAGCACCACATCAGGATTAGGAGGAAATATTTTAAAATGTTGCAGCTTGACAGTGCATCTTTGATGTTAAATACAGAAAACATTTAGTATCTTAAATTTTATGACCAGGCTTAACTTTGTATTTTGTTTCAAAACAGCAAGATTATTATTACTTTGGGCAAAAAGCAAAAGAGAAAAAATGAGTCTTCAGATGAAATGTCTGATGCTAAGCAGACAACTCAGCAGTCGTTCAAAGATGAGACTTCTCAGGTATTCAGAAATTAACACTTTTATTTTGAAAATATGCTTAAAACATTAACTCAGTCCCCAACCTCTAACAGTTTGGTCAAAACACTTTCAATATTTGCAATTCCACTGTAGAAAAGAAGATCAAATCGACAAATTAAAAGGAAGAAGTATGCAGAAGAAGGTGAAGGAAAACAATCTGAGGAAGAAACCAAAGTTTCTGTCAAAATAAAAAAGAATTCTGCCCCTTTACCTGCTGAACAGCCTTTACAGTTATTTGTAGTAAGTGAAACTCATTATTGGTGGGGTTTACCTCTTGCAGTTCTGTAGGTAGTGTCAAAGGCTACATACACTCAAACATGTTCATAACACAAAAAGTTTTTCTTAATCCAGAATCTTTCGTGCTAATTCTCAACATGCTGCTTTCAGTCTGGATTGATTATAGATCCTGCGGTCTTTAAGAGTGGGTGTGGTTACTTTATATGCATTTGAAAACCTACTCCTTGCTTAGGTTTTCCAAACCTTTTGTTCCCTGCGCATTCCCCAGGTGAGGGAAGAAAGAAGTAGTGGTTTGAATCTTGGTATATGCCCACCCCACAACATAATTGGGCAGGTGTAAATACCCCTCCCCCCAAAAAACAAAAATCTCCTGTGCTGCACGATACAGCCAGTCTATGACTTGGAAGACCAATCTAGGAGCAATCTAAACCCTAGGCCTGCTGGTATCAGCAGTTTGGAACAGGTGGATCTCTGTCTGACTCTGGGCTACTGGTTGTATTCCCTCATCCTGGCTCAGGCAAAGTCTCAAAGTCTCCCTCCATCCTGGTTCAGTCATGTGATTTGTCATGTGACCTAGCAACCTGGTAAAAGTTACACTGGCAAAATGGGTAGATAAATCAAAATATTTTAAAGGCTTGTTTTCTCTGCTGGGCTCATGGTGGCAAAGGTGGCAGTGGCCCCATTCCTGAAATACACATAGCAATATAGTGTGTATTTCAGAAATGTGAACTAATGAAGGCAGCAGTCCATCAAATTATGTTCCTTGTATTCCTTACTGAAAGAGTAGCTATATGGGAATAGTGCATGATGCATTGCACCATATACTCCCTCTCAGATAAGTTTTCCTCTGTGGACAGATTCCTTGTATGGGTGGGAACTCATATGCATGCTTATAGGTCTTAACACCCATAAGAAATTTCAATGGAATCTGTACTATTTTTGTGTGCCCGGAACAGTGCATGAGCAAAGCTACCCACTTTGTGGAATGAAAGGGTCTATTTACCCTAAAGTGCTATTAGGAAATCTAAATGTGTTCATTTGTTTTGTGAAATATTAGTCCTAAGAACAAAGTAGTTTCTGTTCTAAAATTGTAAGAATTAATAGCTCCATAATAATAACAACTGTAGAGGGAGATTGAATATATTGAGTTTTATTCATTTGATTTTTTTACACATTTATGTATAATCCTTCTCTGCTAATATCTGCACTCAGGACTGCTTTTAAATGGAATATAGCCTGTTTTGTTTTTGTTTCTTTGCACCTGATTAGGAGAATCCAAGTGAAGAAGATGCAGCAATTGTAGATAAAATTTTATCTTCCAGAATCATAAAGAAAGAAGTGAGTACATATGGGGATATGGGTTTAGGCTCATAGTTTTTAAAATGCTTTCATATAAATGAATCTTAAACAGAACACTGTGTACTCTTTCAGATTCCTGGGGGAGCGACAGTGGAAGCCGAGGAATTTTTTGTTAAATACAAAAACTAGTAAGTATTGCAGTTATGTTATTTAAGTTAAATTACAAGTTTGAGACTATCAGGCTGGCTGACAGTTTCAAGGGCTAGGTAGAAGAGATCTGTACATAGTGTTCGTTCCGGACCCCCTCATTTTCCATGTTAGCAGCATGGGTTCCTTGCAAAGCAGGGACCCCCATCTACAAAGAGTAAATATTAATTGGAACTAGGGAGTTACACCCCTGCTTGTAAATGACGACTGTAATCGTGCTTTTTGCTTAAATTATTTTTACTGTTCTAAATATGGTTCTAAAATGAGAGAATGCAATTGTACGCAGGTACTTTGTGGTTTTATTTTAAAGTTCAGGCACAGAGAAATAATCATATGGAGCATAGTGTATTAAAAATATGACCATCATTTCCCTTCGAAGGATTTACCTAATATTGCTAAGGGCATGTGTTGGAAGAAATATAACAAACTGCTTGCAGCAATGTTCTAACATAATGTTATGCCATTCTAGCTCCTACCTCCATTGTGAATGGGCTACTGAACAACAGCTTTTAAAAGATAAAAGAATCCAGCAGAAAATCAAACGTTTCAAGCTGAGGCAAGCACAAAGAGCCCATTTTTTTGCAGATGTGAGTATGCGGGAGGGAAACAAAAAACTACAAAGCTAATTAAATACTTGATTATCAGAAGCCTACACATATTTTGCTGTTTAGTATTTTGTTACATTCATGTACGTGCGTGTTCTCTTTCTCATTTTAATTATAGACATTAAACAGTATAAATGGGTTTGTATATTAAAAATAGTGAAAATGCAATATATTCTTGGGTAATTTTAGCACATAATGCTGATCAATAACTTTTCTGTTCTCTATAGTTGGATATTAACAGCAAACTTCAACCCACTATTAATATACGTCAGTGCAATTTACAGTGTTCTGGAATTGAACCATGCTATGCTGTTAACTAGATCAATTAATTCATTATAAAATATACTCAATTTCAGATGGAGGAAGAACCTTTTAATCCCGATTATATTGAAGTAGATCGTGTGTTAGAAGTGTCCTTTTGTGAAGATAAGGACACTGGAGAGGTATGGATATAACCAAAAAGAATCGTATATAATCTAAGGCACACGTTTTGCAGCATCTATCATGATCATTTTTAGAGTAGTGTGTGCACTCACATATATATGTATGACCTGTGTTGTATATATCTGTGACCATGTTCAAATTCTAAGCTTCCTTGAGCCATAACAATAGGACGGAGTAAAAAAAGGGGGGGGATAATGAAATAACCTCTATAATATAGGCATGGTGAACCTCTGACCTGCATGCCAAATTTGGCCTGATACAAACTCCAATTTGGCTACAAGGCCATTTCCCCAAAGCACACACATGTGCCCCGCATCAAAGTCCCTACACAGGGAACTTTGAGACATGGGTTATCTGGCTGACATTCTGACACCAATTGATTGGCCTATGGAAATGGGGACAGATAAAAATCTGGCAAAAAAAATGTTCCCCATCTGTTGCCTAATGTATTTTCAAGCTTACAGTGTGGAAAGCATATAGGAATAATTAACCAAAAGGTTGAAACATCTTACTAAATTGAGGCAGCATATATTCTTTCGTATTTTGTTAAGTCCGACTAATCATTTTCACCACTACAGCCTGTTACTTACTACTTAGTAAAATGGTGCTCGTTGCCATATGAAGACAGCACATGGGAGCTGAAAGAAGATGTAGACCAAGGAAAAATAGAAGAGTTTGAACAGCTGCAAGCTTTAAGACCTGATTCAAGGCGGTTGGTAAGGATAAATCATTTATCTCAGGTGTGGTTTGTTGTCGGTAAGCAGAGGTGCCAACTTGTGCAGAAGGTGAAGGGGGACTGATGACATTTGCTTGATATTGGGAAGTGTTGTCAGGATGTTGAGAGGAGCAAGGGGTGGAGCCCAACACAGCAGCATGGCTTCAATGGCCAGTGGATCCTCCTCTCTCGTGCTTGGCCTCCTCCTCATCTTGCTGCCACCACTGCTGGCCAGGGGCTCCTTCCCCTCTGCGGCAGGAGGAGGAAGAGCTGGCCCCCAAACTGCACTGCGCTCTTTTCTGCACTCAGCCTCCTTCACTCCCTGATCGTTCTGAGCATTGGGGGGGAGCCAAAAATTGGGGCCCAAAAGAGCTGGGAACCTAGGAGTTGGCACCTATGTCAGGAAGAGTTTCCACTCCCTCCCATTTACATGTCTTGAGCCAATCCATCCTCAACTCTTTTAGTCTGTGCAATATACTGGACTGTGTGCATAACCCCTGAAAGAATGTTTCACTTCAGTTTCTTTTTTCAGGTGAATAGAGAGCCAAAAATGTCATTTATGTTATGCTTTATTCCTAAGGATCGACCTCCTTCTAATTCATGGAAGAAGATAGAGCTGTCCAGGGAATATAAAAATGGCAACCAACTCAGGGAATACCAGTTAGAAGGGCTCAACTGGCTACTTTTCAACTGGTATAATAGGTATGTGTTCTGAATTAATTAAATCAATTTTTATGTTAGTGTTGCTTCAAAAGTAAATAGAAACAATGAAACTAGGAAATATTTGTATTTGAAATTTGTGTCAATGAGCAGTCTAGTTTTCTTACCTTTTGGCATGTGTTACTTATTTAATGAACTTTTATTTATTTGTGACTTGGAGCATATGTACCCCACTCTACAGCTAAAAAAGGCTCCCATAGTGGATTACATACAGTCAGTTTAAAAAGACAGTCCCCACCGCACAGGCTTACAATCTAAAAAACATAACAAGCAAAGAAAAATGACAGAGAAGAAAGAGGAACATGAACAGATCTACATTTTTAAAAAATTAAAAAATGCAATGGTAATGTATTACTAGCATATTGTTTTTAAGTGAAGACAAGTCTTTTCTGCTGGAAGCTCAATAACACAATAATAATAGATGTGGAAGAGAGATAAGAGTAAGACAATATTTAATCTATTACCATGCAGAAATATCGTACCTATAGGCAGTATACAAAATTCAAGGAATCAGGTGCTAAATCACTACTCATTCTTTGCCCTGGGAAACAATGCAAAGAGACGCTTCAAATCTTTCTTATACTTAAACATTGACAGCCATCCTGAATATGTGTTCTTCTAGCCCTGCTAACAATGTTCTTGTGTTTTCAGACAAAACTGCATTTTAGCAGATGAAATGGGTCTTGGCAAAACCATCCAGTCAATAACATTCCTGTATGAAATCCTCCGGACTGGTATAAGAGGGCCTTTCTTGATCATAGCTCCACTTTCCACCATAGCCAACTGGGAAAGAGAGTTCCGCACATGGACTGATCTTAATGTTGTGGTATATCATGGGAGTATGGTTAGCAGGCAGATGATACAGCAGTATGAGATGTATTTCAGAGATTCACAGGTAACCTTCTATTTTGTCTTATAGCTAGTAAACCAGTTTGATTTCTACATTTCTAACACATAGTGTTATCATTTTTTGTGTGATTTATGTGATTTATGTAATTGAGAATCTGTTTAGACCCTCAACTTAATGCACTAAAAATGTCAGTAGTATATGTAGGCATAAAATTATTCTGTTTCTGTATATCCTGTCATAGCAAAACATGTGGATGGAAATTTGGCAACCTGAGACTGCCATTATGGTGGTTGTACATGGGTGGAGATAATTGTGGCCTTGTATTCACCCTTTCAAGTATTGTTTCGCTTGTTCATTATATATTGTTTCAGAATGTGCAGCTTTGGCTTCTTTTTTTAGGTTTCATTTAGGCTTGGACACCCAGCTTTCCCCCACATGTTAAACAACATCCCAGTTATGCAAGCACAATTTCTCCCTCCAGAAGCAATGGAAAGGTTCTAGATAATGTCATATATTGTGTTCTGTTCATTCACTCTTCCTAGGGTCGCATCATTAGAGGTACATACAAGTTCCAGGCTATCATTACCACATTTGAAATGATTCTTGGTGGCTGTCCAGAACTCAATGCCATTGAATGGCGCTGTGTTATTATTGATGAAGCACACAGATTGAAGAATAAAAACTGCAAACTTCTAGAGGGGCTCAAACTCATGAATCTTGTGAGTGTTTATTTTTCATTTGCATATATAGCCCTTAAATCTGATGGGCTTATGGAGGCCAAGTTCTCAATAGTTTGTCCAACTGCTTGACCTTCAAAAGATGTATAAATATTTTATACTTCTAAATCAGGGAGTTGTATGCTCCTACTTTCACAACGTTAATGTTGTTTTACTACTCTGCTTCCGCATGACTGTAATCATTAGAGGCTAATGACTGGGCATGAAATCATGTATTTGCAAATACAAGCTAGTTTCTCCAGCACTATAAACCCTTCAAGCTATCTACCTTGTATATAGCATGTCATTTGTTTTATTGTTTGAATTCTTAACACATGCCTTGTTGCACTATGATGTAAATGTCTTTTTTAAAATGTAATTTGTATTGCTGAAAAATATAAATAAAATTTATTTCATAAAATAATCACACTTACAATAACATACCATATTTTCACTAGAGCATCTACTAGTTTTAAAATGTGAAATTCAGCTGCAAGCATTAAATCACTGAAAGTTTGAAAATTCCTTATAGCAGTAAAATTTCAAAGCAATTTATAAAATGTGCACAGTCTTAAAAAACATATACCTACATGCTAAAAAAAACCCATATTTTTGGTATAATATTGACAGTGCATCTTCTCTACACTAAGTACTAGGGGCAGGAAGAAATACTTCAGTTTAAAAGAATGGTTGATTAAATTACGTAGCTTACAGGTTTTGAATAAAATTACATAGGGTGGAATTCAGTGCCACACTCTTCCGATTATTCTGCCTGCAAAAGCATTTCAGTTTGCCACACAAAATGACTCCCCATCTCCTCCTGTGCACTGTTCTGGAGATTCTCCCCACCGCTGCTTCCAATTGTGGGTGGTGGGGGTGGGGAGAACCGAGGAAAGCCCTGCTGCACAAGCAGAAGTCCTTGTTCAAGGCTTCCACTGACTAGATTTGTTAGGTGACTCCCACCCATAGATTTTCTGGGTGAAGCAGGAAATTATAGGACCAAACAATTTGAGGGAGAATGGAAGACATTTAGAAAATAACAAAATTATTTACAGTGTGTGCCAGACAAGAATCCCTTTCCATAATGATCTAATTCAAATACTGTAATGTAAATAAAGCTTAGTGTGTATGTGTTATTATTTTTCCTTTGTACTGCATGCTTTAGATAATAGTTCTATTTTGGGGTCAAAAGGAATAGAATGTTGTAACAGTTTACTAATATTAAGATATTCATTAAAATACACAATGCATGAAAACAGCTCTGACTTGTCCACAGTTTCACCAGCAATCCTTACAATCTTTATAAATGATGTAATGTATTAAAGGCAGAAAAGTTATTACAATGCTTGTTTATCATAGGTTATTTTATTTCTAAATTAGCATATGTGCATTGTCTGTATACTTCCTCTCAAAGATTCAAGATTGTGCATAACATACCCAGCTATATTATAGACAATCATGCAAAATGTGCATCTTCTATAGGAGCACAAGGTGCTATTGACAGGCACACCACTGCAAAACACAGTAGAAGAACTTTTCAGCCTTCTTCACTTCCTTGAACCTTTGCGCTTCCCAGCAGAATCGACATTCATGCAAGAGTTTGGAGACCTTAAAACAGAGGAGCAGGTATTTTAAACTTTTTATTATGTTACATTCACACACAGGCCTTGTTCACATGTCACAGTAAGTAATACTTTGCCTTAAATCTTGGTTTAATCATGAATGTGCCTTGCCCTTTTTGCGTGCATGCATGCACAGCTTCTCTCCCCGCTAATGACTCAAACAAGCCATAGTATGATTTGTTGGGTCACAGCTCCAGAATGTCATTTGTTCCATGATCTAGGTTTGGATGGAACATGGGCGGGGGTAATATGTTAGGGGAGCAGCTGGACAGTGACACATACAACAGTGGGGAAGCACATTGGTATGGTTTGTTGTGATGTATGAACCAGAATACATTCAAAAATTAGAATTTAATGGGCTGTTTGTCCAGTAATGACTATCAGCTCAACCATAACAGTAAATCCAACTCTCCCATCTTTATCACTATTTGAACTAATGATAAGTAAATTGAAAATGTTGTATCAGCCATAGTATTGCTACAATTCATGGTGGCTGCAAGCAAATATGCAGAAATAATATGAATTTGAATCTATACATTATGTACATTCTTACATGTGTAGAATCTGCATTCTTAGCTAATTAATGGAGGATAAAAACAGGGGAATCACATTTTATTTGGGAGTTAGAATCCAAAGCCAGAGCATAAGGCAAAAATCGTATATAGCCCAAATTACCTCCCCAGTCTGGCTGCAAGGTACCACTACTTGTTTGCAGCACCTTCTTCAGTCCCTGTGCCTTCCTCAAGCAGGAACTGGATCAGTGGAGGAGGGAAAGAGGCTTTCCTGCTTTCTAAGTGCTAGCTGCTGGCTACTGGGTGGCAAGGGTAGGGAAGCCTTTCCTGTGTCTCCACTGCCTCCCCCCACTTCTCCATGAGTGGAACTGACCAGCAGAAGAGATGGATACAGAGATAAATGAAGGCTGAGAGAAAGAAAAGCTGGAATGTAGCCACTTTTGCAGGTGCTGCATCTAAGCACCTATAACTGAGTCTGTGTAACTTAAATGGGTGTGTGATGTGACTGGTTATATATTGGTTAGGATCTGAAGTGCTACTTAGTTGCCCAAGGCTAGAGGAATTTTTTTACTGTGATTCTTTAAATAGCAAAACATGATCAAAGTTACAAAAGAGTTTTAGAATTTTTCTGCTTGCCAGTCATCTTGTGGAACTGCTGATAAGAACTGTAGGACTGAAAACTCCTTCAGTGGAAACCATGTTCTGTGCTTCAAATACAGCTTATTGGATTATTATAAAGAGAGCTAGTTAGGAATCTGGCAAAATGCAATGATACTGTTAAAATGAAATTAAGCTGCTTTCTTAGCTATGAACCACACCACCACCACTTCAACAACTCAATCCATGCGTCTTGTTTAAGACTAAGCTGGTTCACGTTTATGCATACAGAACAATCCTAAAGCTGGCCAATGTCAGGTGAAAAGGCACTGGCAACAGTGTAAGTGCTGCTCCCTTGGCAGAGAGGAAGCCCCTCATATACCTGTGGAAAGTGTTAGAGTTTGAAAGGGGCATGTTGGGGGCAGATTGTGGGAAACCTTGGATCCATGGGATTCACAGCCCCTTCATTCTCCCAACCAATGTGCCCCAGAATAATGCAGAAAAAACTGCTAGCTCTGGAACTGCTGTATTATAATGATTTTCGCTCCCTTTATAAGCTTATGGAATGTAGCAATTTATATAGGGTTTCAGCTAATTTTTATTTTATATAGGTGCAAAAGTTGCAAGCTATCCTGAAACCAATGATGCTGAGAAGACTGAAAGAAGATGTAGAGAAGAAGCTGGCACCAAAGCAAGAAACTATTATTGAAGTGGAATTAACGAATATCCAGAAGAAATATTATCGAGCTATTTTAGAGAAAAACTTTGCATTTTTGTCAAAAGGTGCAGGCCAAGCCAACGTACCCAACTTGGTTAACACTATGATGGAACTCAGGAAATGCTGCAATCATCCATATCTTATCAAAGGTAAATGTAAAAACGTTAAATTTTACTTACTTTAGGCATTTTTCTTGTGATGTAAAATAACTCTTCCCTTGGAGTTATAATTTGGATACGGTTTCCATATTTCAAACAGTGAAAATCCGGACTTCTCTGTTGAGCCTTTTTTTTTTTTTTTTGACAAAGTGGTTGAACTTTATTCGCAAATTTCCCCCAAAAATAAAATTAGAGCTATTTTTAAGGAAAATTGCCAAAAACAACACTGTCGACATGGGTTGCCGTATGTCCGGATTTTCCCAGGCATTTTAGTGATTTCTGCCTGGACACTGCTTTCGAATGCAATATTCCAGATATGTCCAGGAAATTCCAGACGTAACCCTAAATTAGGATGAATGCTATAAGGGTGGCCATAGTGAACTGCTCTGAGACCTGCAGCTATAGGGCGGTGTACAAATTATAATTAGAACAACAATAACAATTCAATTATTAATTTCTCGTAACATATTTTACTGGAGGAACAGGGGAATTTCTTCGTATTTTTAAAAATTGTGTATAAGTGCTTTTGAATTTAGTTGCATATGCTATAGTTTTGAAGGTGAAATGTAAATAGCCACAATGAGGATCAAGTGTTACCATGATCAGTGTCAAGGGATGGGGACTGAAAAATGAAAAACAATGTGATCATAAATACTGTTATGAAATGTGTAGCGTATGCACTCACAGTATTATGATGTGCACTTTGTATCAAAGCTATATGAAAATGTCAATATCTTTTAGAAGAAGCAAATCATACCTACTTTATGTGACAGGTGCTGAGGAAAAAATCTTAGGAGAGTTTAGGGAGACCTATAATCCAACTGCTCCTGATTTCCACCTGCAAGCAATGATCCAGTCTGCTGGAAAACTGGTCCTCATTGACAAACTTCTTCCAAAAATGAAAGCAGGGGGCCATAAGGTGCTTATTTTCTCTCAGATGGTTCGCTGTCTTGATATCCTTGAAGATTATCTGATACATAAAAGGTATGATACTATTCATAGTGCAAATAGCCATATTAATGGTATATTAAACAGTTTTGAATGGACTTGGTTCATTCATCCTTGAGTCATCGTACTGAGATATCAAGTGATAATTTGCTTTTAAATTACTAGTCATGCACTTCCTTGCACTACAGTTTCTGGCCTGATCTTGCACAGCAGGAGAGGGAAACTTTTTTTCCTGTTGATGGCCACGTGGGACTAATCTGTTGGGAACCATAAGCCTATGGTGGCTGGAACCAGAGCCAAAAATGAGCAGGGCTACCTTTCTGCCTTTCTCCCATTTTCTGACACCCCTCTCTTTGAGTGGGCTGCCAGGAGCAGTGTATTTTTTCCTTCTCTTCCCTCAGATGCTTCTCCCCTGCATCAAATTAGGCCAAGGACCATATGCAGTCCTTTCAGTTGTAGGATGCCTGTCCCTCCTCTTCCTTCTTTGGCGATCACTCGTAGCCAAATAAGATTGTCTTCCATGAATATGGTTTTAATGGTGTATCCGTAAGTGACTTTGGAGGCCAATTCTGGATCCACATGTCCTTTCACAGTGGGGACATAGGTTTCCAAGCAGGAGTTGATCACGGTGAGGGTTTGCCTTCCTCTTAGCTCGCTTCTCCTTTTTGTCCTGAGTTCGTGATTCTTCAAAATCCATGACACCTTTGGTAGAGGCTACTCCAATTGGAGCACTGTCCCTGCTATACCCCAAGGCACCAGCACAACAGAGCCATAAGTTTATGTATTAAATAACACGTATAATTACCTGATTTTTATTTTATATAGAAAACAAATATAAACACAATGTTATGTCAGCTTCTCATAAGAAAGGGGCTAAAAATAACCTCTGCTCCAGCAGAGGTTCCTTTCATCATAGAGAATTTCAGAACTCCAAGTCAGTGTGGTTCAGACTCCACATTTTAATGACATGTCCCAGATTTCCTCCACCAGACCTAACCTAGCCCCCATATGCAGAGGGACCAGAGAACAGTTCTGATTCAAGGCCTCCTCTGGTTCTTTTTTCTTACTTGGGCGGTTTGGGCCAAGGATACCTAGGAACATAATACCATTAAAAACAGCCTAGTCATAGAATTTCTGTTTCTGTCCCCCAGTTCTGAGCCTTGAAGTCTACTGAAAAACTATTATTTGGCAGACAATTCACTACTTATTAGAAATAAGGAACAGAGATCCAGTTCCCCAGAAAAGAAATTATCCGCTGTCTGCTCTGTGTTCTTCATTGTCTTCAGGAAAGGATGGAAATTAAATTCTGGATTTGAAATATGAAAACAAGTATATAACATAAGTTCAGGATGGAATCCTCCACCGAGGCAATTATAATTGGGAACACTACCAAATGCAGCCATGACTGAACTTTAGGCTTACCTCAGGCCATTGAATTTTCGACAAACACTGCTTTCAAGGCAGCTTATTTGGATGACCTCTTTAGGTCCTCATCTGGAGCAGGACAAACAAAGATTTGCTCCAAGCTAACCTCCCCCCCCAGACGATGGCTTCTTTATCTATTGGCAAAGGAACGATCAAGTTCCTTCCAGGAGGCTCCAGTGCCTTGATGTTCTTATCTTATGATATCTGAATAAAGTTTTTCAACTTTCTATAATGAAAATACCGTATTTTTCTGTGTATAAGATGCCCCCACGTATAAGACGCCCCCTATTTTGGGGGACTGCAAATTAAGAAAACACCACTCAGCACTACCCGTGTATAACACGAGACCCAATTTTAAATCTGATTTTTTGGTTAAAAAACCCTATAATCTTATACAAGGAAAAATACGGTATATGTGAATATATATTAAATGCCCCAAGAAATTTATTGTTGAATGCTTATGGGGATGGAATTTCACATACTTGTTAAGAATTCTATCATTCAAAGCATCTGAGGAGTGAAAAGAACATTGTTATGTTTTACTGGTTCACCTGAATATGGATTGTATGCATTTTAACACACTTTCAAGATGGTGTGTAATAGAAAACCTGACCAATTGCAATGTAGGCTCATTTGATTAAGACAGTAGGATAGTAGTATTCAGAAGTGCATGGTCATACTTGTATTCTGGTTTGCGATTATAGCCTTTCTTTAATGGCCTTTTTTTTTTTTGCACTTCAAAGGTACCTGTATGAGCGAATCGATGGAAGAGTAAGAGGGAACTTACGTCAGGCTGCCATTGATCGGTTTAGCAAGCCAGACTCTGATCGGTTTGTTTTCCTTCTCTGTACCAGAGCTGGTGGATTGGGCATTAATTTAACTGCAGCGGATACTTGCATAATTTTTGATTCTGACTGGAATCCTCAGAATGATTTGCAGGTAAATATATTTGAGCAGTTTAGCCTTCTGCCATAGGGCTAAATACCTAAGAAACACCTACAAATGAACCTACTTCATCTGATCCACAAAGAGAGAGCAAGTATGAACAAGCAGGATTGCTTGCAGGTGCTTGCTAACTAGCTAGGTCATATGAGGAGAGACATTCTTAAATCTGCAGTGGGTTAAGGCCATTGTGTGTACTATTAAATATATTTAAGCAAACCATCTATCCAGCAGGATCTAGGCAGCGCTTGTTGGCTGCCAATACCATATATCTTCTTCAAGGAAGGGAATCTTGTCCTGAACGTGGCATTGTGCCTCTAAAACACAAATTGGAGATAAGAGGAAATCTCTTCCTCACTTTTCCAAGTCCATGCTTTGTGTTGGGAGAGAGAGTGGAGGACTCTGTGCAATGTGAAAACAAGCCGTTTCCCCCTCTAGGTCTGAGCTAGTCATAAGGAGTCAGAAGTTTTCGGTCTTGTCTCTGCACTTGCTGGATTCTTCAGATACCCAGCAACAGCATAGACAAAAGAAGCTTCCAGTTCCAAGCTGTAAAGTATAGATGGCATGGTGAGGGCTTTTCGCTGATTGTTAGGTGCTCCAAACTCCTGAAAAGTCCAAGCTGAAACAGGTCCTAGGCTTTCTCTGAACTTTAGAATGTGGTTCAGAGGGATCATCCCACCTCCTCTGTAGCTCCAGGTTTCAGAGGAAACTTGAGCCATGCCAAACTAGTCAGACACTGTCTGAGCACTTGCCATGGGGAGCAAACTTGTGAATCCCTGCCATACAAGGTAGAGAAATACTCTATAATACACAAAGCTAAAGTCAGTTTGTATTGACCTTAATTTTATTTTTTATTGTTTTCATTTACAGCTTCAGTTTAATTGTATTTTGTTTTAACAATGTCTAAGTAATTTTATATTTAAGTAATAATATATCATTATATTACATTTCTACTTGACAATCTGTCCAATGGATTCATGTACCTTTTTCTCAGGCCCAAGCTCGTTGTCATAGGATTGGTCAGAACAAAGCAGTGAAGGTCTACCGACTAATAACTCGGAACTCTTACGAAAGAGAGATGTTTGACAGAGCAAGTCTGAAGCTTGGCCTGGATAAGGCTGTCTTACAAAGCATGAGTGGAAGAGAAAATAGTGTTGGTGGTGTATGTACCCATTTTCCCCTCTTTCCTCTCCTCCAAAAAAAATAGGAATTTGAAATGGGTTTTTATTTTTGTAACTGTATCATTTACTCAAGAGAACAGGGGAACAGTTCAAAGCTTAGTCTGAACGAGATCTTAAAGCTTTGCACCACTTCCTAGCTCTCTGCTTTTCTATCACCCCCACATAAAGTCCTGTTGCTTTTGTAACCAATATATAACCAAAGATTGGCCATGTTGTAGAGAGAATTCTATTGTTTGAGACTTTAGACTCTGTTGTTGGATGGATGATCTTAAGGAACAGGTAGGCAAAGTATAGGTTGGGAATCCTTGAGATAGTTTACAGTGTATACAATAATAGGATTTTGATACTGTAAGAGACTTTTTAAAAGATAACAAAAACAATACACTTAAAGTAATTATGTATTGGCTGTAGTTACATACTTTGGAAAGGAAAACCAGTTTCTGTCAGTAATAGCAATATTTACTGTAAAACTATTTTTTAGATATCCAGTGGAACTATTTCAAAATATAACAATTATATTATTCCATATTATCATTTTAATTGAGCATTTTTATGTATCCAGCTGCATTAATATCATAAGATTTACCATTCTCTTTTACATAGATTCAACAACTTTCTAAAAAAGAAATTGAAGATTTGCTTCGAAGAGGTGCATATGGTGCCATTATGGATGAAGAGGATGAGGGTTCTAAATTCTGTGAAGAAGATATTGATCAAATCTTGCAGCGTCGCACGAAAACAATTACAATTGAATCTGAAGGAAGGGGCTCCACATTTGCTAAGGTAGTTATAAGCTCTTCTGGTGTCCTTTTTACAGAACACAGAGAAAAGCATAAGCATCTAGAACAGTCCTCTTAGAAGTTAACAGATTGTGACTGACTTAACTGTTAGGTTAAAATACCTAATTGATAGGCTTCACTTAAATGTAGCTGGTGTTTTTCCTTCCTTGAGAGCATGTGGTACCTAGTCTGTGGTACTTGAAACTGAACAAATATACTGGTGACACTTTATATTGTGCTGTTACAGGCTAGCTTTGTTGCGTCTGGAAATAGGACAGATATTTCATTAGATGATCCCAACTTCTGGCAGAAGTGGGCCAAAAAAGCAGAAATAGACATAGACACCATCAGTGGTAGAGTAAGTATGATTTATTTATTTATTTATTTATTTATTTATTTATTCATTCATTCAGGCTCGAGTGTTCTTTTAACTGTCCTATTCACTTTGCTTGCTTTTTAAGTTGAGGCTTATTGTAGCAGTTTTGATCAAATCACTATTGGAGAACTAAGTTAAGTTCTTTGGACAGCAGTATCCTAACTAAAAACATTTCCTCCACTAAAATAGTATATGTAGACCTATGCTTAGTATTTTGTTTACTCAAAGAACTAACACCCCCCCCATCAAACTTGCCTTCTGTTGATCCTTGGAGGTATCTGGAACTAGATTGTGTCGAAAGGAAAACATATGTTTAAATAGACCACAAACTTGATCTATGAAAGCTTCATTACCAAAAGGATACAAATTGTGTACTAAATTTAAAATATCTGTTTTGGTAGTCTGGAGCAGAGATTTTCATGTTGTGTCATGAGCTTTAAGTGTACTTTTCATTACTTGAGAGAAAATATTTTTGAAAACTGCAGTAATGTGTCCTGTCTACCTGATCATTGCTGGATGTTTCCTTACCAATTCATAGAATTGGGAGTGGGAAGTGACAGAAATGTTCTCTCTAACTCAGCAATTATTGACTATTCTGATCATGGATCAGGAATGTCCTATCCTATGCTGTATTTGAGTGTTCGTAGTTTTCTTGAAATGCTACCATATCTACAGTTCAACATGCTTTTGTTGATATAGTCAGTTGAAGCCAGTAGTAGTTCTACTCAGAATAGATCCATTGAAATTAATGGACATGGTTAAATGTTGGTTGATTAATTTTAGTGGGTCTTCTCTCAGTATAATTATGTTTAATGTAGTGAGGAAACCCTCTTGACAGTGTCACATTTGCCAGGGATTTGATATATGGCAGCCTCAGAGAGGATATTCTCGATAGACATTCTGATTGTGGAACTGTCTTGCCCCTCAAATATGGTTGAAGCATGCCTTACAAGCTCTAGACACCAAGAGAAGACCTACTTATTCACCCAGGCTTAGTTGAATCTCTGATAGTGTACTATGTAAATGGTTATTTGTCAGTGCATTTCTCTTACTGTTTATTGGGAGATAGATGCTAAGATTTGTTGTGTTTTAAAATCTTGCGTTTGGATTATTTTAAAATGAAAAGCTGATTGCAAAATTTATAAAAAACAAGTAAAATAATAAAATAGACAAGGATGTTTTGATGAATTTTATCATTTTGTATTTTGAAAATGCTCACTTCTGTTGACTCAGAATATTGTTACATTTTACAGAATAGCTTGGTTATTGACACTCCTAGAATTAGGAAGCAAACAAGGCCTTTCAGTTCTACAAAGGATGAACTTGCTGAGCTATCTGACATTGAAAGCGAAGGGGATGATAAACCAAAACTTCGGAGGCCTTGTGACCGCTCCAATGGATATGGAAGAACAGAATGTTTTAGGGTGGAAAAAAACTTGCTAGTTTATGGGTAAAAATGTTTTTGGTTTCTTTGGTGTAAAGAGAGACAAAAATATAAATAATAAAATTATTATTATTTCTTAAATTTCATTTTCTGTATGTATGATGTCCTAACTTTACACTTGCTATTGTACGAGATTCCAGCAGTTTAGTAGTGATGCTACAGTACAGTTACAATGTAGTATTTTGTGGCAATAGACATAATGACCAAAGTGCTTACTTATTGATCAGCAGACCTTAGGATCAGGCCATGTTGCTTTTTCTATTGCGGTCATGTAAAACACATACATATAATGTTACTATAGTTCTTCTCATAAAGAACTGTATTAACAAAATGTGCCATAACATATGTGTAATAGAATAGTAGTTATAATAGCAAAGAGAAAATCTCCCTGTGGATATGTTTAAATATTTTATAGATACAGAAAAACCTGTGAGGGACCAAACTAATGCTCACAGACTCACAGATTTGCATAAAACTAGTGGCTTTCCCTATTAGCTTGCAGGATGATAAGGGGAGAAAACCTTAGATTCTCAAAGCAACACAAAAGGGGAAAGTGTTAATGCATTAGAAATATAAAATATATTTTTACCTCTTAACACTTTGCAGCAAAACATTCTATAAGTAGTCTTAAAGATGCCATTTTTGTTTAAAATGTTAAACTCCAGTGTTAATCTCTAAACAGGTGGGGCCGTTGGAGAGAGATTTTATCACATGGGCGATTCAAGAGACAATTGAACGAACAGGATGTAGAGATAATCTGCCGAGCCCTTCTAGCATATTGCCTTGTCCATTACAGAGGAGATGAAAAAATAAAAAGTTTTATATGGGACCTTATTACACCAACGGAGGATGGGCAAACTCGAGAGCTACAGAATCACCTAGGTAAGAATCTGTAAGAGGACTATTTTTTGACATGCTTGTGATGAAATTAAAGACTCCTCAAAAGTACTGAAGCATGATACACCTTGTGAAATAAAATGGGGGAAGATACAAATGCATATATTCTTCTTCTAATCTCCTATTTTGTGGCTTTGGGGAGAAAAACAGCTGGTGGAGACCATTTTGAATGCACTAATGTATGGGAAGGGTTAAATGACCCACTCCATCTGAAACCGCAGCTGCTTTACCTTGGGGAACGTTGAGAGTAATCATGGTATTTTATTACATGTAGGTCTACCCTCTTTTGTCGTTTAGCATTACTGTTTGAATTATCTACACTTGCAATGTTAAGGGAAAACAGATAGTATTCTCTGTCTTCCTGAAACAAGGAAGTTCTGTCATACCATGCAGTTGTTACATTGTATTTTCCTATGTTGCATAGGTTTGTCAGCTCCTGTCCCCAGGGGCCGAAAAGGAAAAAAAGTTAAAACTCAGGCCAGCACTTTTGATATTCATAAAGCAGAATGGCTTCGAAAGTATAATCCAGAGCATTTGTTGCAAGATGATGGATATAAAAAACACATAAAACATCACTGCAACAAGTAAGTAGCAATATAAACACATGATTTAAAGTTTGTCTCCTTGATGTACAAGTAACACCTTCATACTAAATGCTAATAATCTTTATTAATGTTAACAAGTGAGGTGCTATGGATTACAAAACTAGCATAATTGTAGTAGCCATGTTGTAAACTAGTCTCTATATTTGTACAGTGGTTACACCTTGTGCAGATGCCAAAAGTTGGAAGGGAGGAGGAGCAGACAGGAAGAGAGAACCTGTACATTTTGGCAGGAGCTCTCCCTACTCCTGGAAAACAAAAATTTGTGTGGGATTTGCGGGGAATGTCACCCTCCTTTGCCTTCCTCCAAATCACAAATTGTTTGGGCCTGACAGATGTGCATATGAATTGTTCTCATGTTGCCAGAAACTGTTGGCAGCAAACATGCTGCTGCAAGCCCTTAGTTAGCTGGGACTAAGCATTAGGCCCAAAGCATCAAGGTCATTAGGTATGGAGAAAGTGTGGGGGACTACTTTTACGGACTCATAACCATTAAAATGTTACAGGTATGTGGAGTGATGAAATTGGCCTCAAAATACACTTGGAAAATTTAAGGTTTTGTCTTAAATTTGTTGATAATAATGCTGAGCATGTTTCCTATATATTTCAAAATAGTAGCTTGTTGAACTAAAATACACTCTGCCCGTGGCTGAAGAATTAATTGTCTTCTGTGTGTTTATGTTTAGGGTCTTACTTCGAGTTAGAATGTTGTATTACTTGAAGCAAGAAGTCATTGGTAATGAGTGCTCAAAAGTTTTTGATGGAGTTGAAGCCAGGTACACCATGTTGAGGCTCTTTCCTCTTTTCTCCTTAACTGTAAACTATAAACTGTAAACAACTTTGTTTCTCAGAATTCTTTAATTGAGTTGACTTAACACCAGCTTTCTGGTTAACTATTTCAGTGAAATTGATATTTGGGTCCCTGAACCAGATCATTCTGAAGTGCCAGCGGAATGGTGGGATACAGAAGCAGATAAATCTCTCTTAATAGGAGTTTTTAAACATGGTAAGTGATAGGGATACTACTTGTTTCTTTTTCACATACAGGTTGCTTGTCTCTTGAAAGAATATTAATAAATATCTGTTTCTCAGGTTATGAAAAGTACAACACAATTAGAGCAGATGCAGCTCTATGCTTCTTGGAAAGAGTGGGAAAACCTGATGACAAGGCAGTCGCTGCAGAACAGAGAGCCAATGACTATATTGATGGGTATGATTTTTTAAAAAACACTATTTAAAGTGGATCACCCTCCTTCATTGAGCATGCAAACAACAGCAGTGATTCTGCAGTACTGTACAGAAATTTGAGGTTATTAGAACCATTATTTATCGCTTGCAACGTTAAATCTGGGATGAGGAACCATGTTGCTGTACAACTCCCATGAACCCCTGCCAGTACGGCCAGTGATCAGGCATGATGGGAATTGCAGGCCTGCAACATCTGGGGGACCAGAGTGTCCTCCAGATGATAATTATCAGGATACATAGAACAAAACTTTAAATAAAAATGTCCAAGTAGTTAAAACCATAATACATATTCTTTGTAGCAAGTTTTTTCTTCTGCAAAATAATTTAAAATTTTCCAGTAGCTAAAACAATTGTATGAAAAAACACATACTTTACAAGCCTGTGCTGAATGTGTATTTTTCAGAGATGTAGAAGACCCAGAATATAAACCAGCCCCAGCAATGTTTAAAGATGACATGGAGGTAATGTGTTGTCAGTATTCTTTTTTTCAGTTACACCAAAACTTAAGAGTTGATGAGACTGTCATATTTGCCATTGATTATAAACATTTATATTGGTTAAAACAGTAGTTATTTAAATTAGTTTCTTGGCAACTTTTCAATTAAACTATAAGGATTTTTTTTCTATGGAGAGATTTTGAGCCTCTTAATTTAAAAATGAAGTTAAAATAATCCATATTAAGATGAGTTATTACTATTCTTAGAGTAGTCAGCCATCTGCAAGATGTGTGACTTGTGCTGTGTCTGAATCATGCCTCTGTTCATTCTACTTTTTTTAATTAAAAAAATCTTTTTTAGGATGATATATCATCACCGGGGGATCTTATAATAACAGATGGAGGTAAAAAAACACACCTCATGATCTTAAGATACTACAGTGAATACTCTTATTTGTATCACATTAGAGCAAACCTGTGTTTTTATGGTGGAAAAAACAGAATCACCAGGAAATTCTTATGTTCCTTAATTATAGATGGTCAGATGATTGAAGGGGACAAGCTTTATTGGCCAACTCAGTCTGCCTTAACTACACGCTTGCGCCGCCTAATAACAGCATATCAGCGTACTAGTAAGAACAGGCAAACCCAACAGATACAACCTGCATTTCCAGTCCAGGCCTGTGTGATGCAGAATCCATATGAAGAAGCTGCTTTAAATCCAAAAATGGCTGCCAAAATTGAAAGACAACAAAGGTCTGTACATGCTAGGCTTACCAGGTTTAAAAAGCTGATCACAAAAAACATTTTAACTATTTTCTAGTCAATCATTCTTTGTGCTTTTGGGGGAAAGTTACTTAATTGGAATTATTTTTCTTCTTGCTTTTCAATCTAGATGGACAAGAAGAGAAGAAGCTGATTTCTACAGAGTGGTTTCAACTTTTGGTGTAGTGTTTGATCCTGACAGAGGCCAATTTGACTGGACGAAGTTTCGAGCCATGGCTAGGCTACATAAGAAAACGGATGAGAGTTTAGAAAAATACTTGTATGCATTTATGGCCATGTGCAGGAGAGTCTGCCGCCTGCCTTCAAAAGATGGTGGGTTACTTGCTTATTTTTTCCTTTATGAAAAATAAACAGGCAGCAAAGGTTACAACAACTTTTTAATTTAAAAAGCTAAATCAAATTGTTCTTTGCATGAAGCAGGAGAAAAACAATATATACAAACAGTTTCCCCCAGCATGTAAGAATAGCAGTCTTTATGTGGACAGAACTCTATTGTATAAGGTGATATTGACTAGACAAAAATCCATCAGACTACAGTATTTTATTGCATTTGTATATTGGGTAGTCAAAATGCTCAGCACAATTTCCTCAAGCAGAAGGCAACAGATACATGTCTGTGGAGAAGGAATTCTGCAGCTTAGCGACTGCCACAGAAAATGCCTTCTCCTGAGCAGCTATCCCCTAAACTTTTGAGGGTGTTGAAACTATCAAGAACCCCCCACCCTGAGAGAGGCTGAAGGCAGGGAGGCAGTCTTTTGGATATTTGGTGCTGAAGGTATTTAGGATTTTAAATGCTAATGTGAGTACCTTGAATTGATCCTGGAAACTAATTGGCAACTAGTGACACTGTTTTAGAACAGGGGTTATGTGAGTTGTAAATGGAACTTCAGCCGGTATTTCGGCTGCAACTCTTTGAACCAGTTGAAGTTTCCCAGTCATCTTCAAGGTCAGCTCCAATTAGAGTATGTTACAATAATCAAATCTGGTAGTGACCAGAGCATGGGGTATAGTTTCCAAGTAATCTCTGACCTAAAAAGGTAGTAGCTGATCAACCAAAAGTTATATTAATACTTAATACTACGTTAGACATTCTAACCTCCTAAAGAGTGCTGTTATTTTAAAAGTTTAATTATAATTCCTGTTCTTCGAGTTGCTGATTCTTGTGTGTGTTTCCTGTGCAGAACTTGTGGATCCCAATATTTTCATCCAGCCAATTACAGAAGAGCGTGCCTCTCGAACCTTGTATCGCATTGAACTTCTCAGGAAGGTGCGAGAACAAGCTGTCCGTCATCCACAGATATTTGAGCGATTAAAACTTTGTCAGCTTAATCCAGATTTGCCAGTTTGGTGGGAATGTGGGACTCATGACTGGGATTTACTGATTGGAGCTGCAAAGCATGGGGTTAGCCGAACAGACTACCACATCCTTCGTGATCCTGAACTTTCATTTATGTCAGCCCAGAGGAACTACAGTCAAAGTAAAGTAGCACTTCCAATAACTCCTACACCACTTTTGCATCAGTATCAGATGGTGTTGTCTGCATCTCCTCTTGCACCTCAGGCAAGGCTGCTAGATATTAAAGGGAACGCACTTGAGGATACAAAAGTTAAGAATGAAAACCATAAAGAAGATCCACATTCTTCCGGGGAGGAATCCATATCTACTGAGGATATGCGAACGGGAGTAAAGACTGAACCTTTGAGCCCAAATAATGGCACACCATCTCATGCTACAGACCAGAAACCTGTTGTAAAGGCAGACAGTGACAGGCGTATGGTTGCTGCAAGGACAGAACCCCTAACTCCTAACACTGCTTCCAAAAAACAGAGACCTAACAAGAGAGGATCAGAATCAAGCTCCGATTCAGACTCTGATTCAGATAGATCAACCTGTTCTTCCAGATCATCTTCATCTTCATCCTCCTCTTCATCCTCTTGCTCACGTTCCAGATCAGGATCCAGTTCCTCATCTTCTTCATCTTGTTCTTCAGCATCATCGTCATCTTCATCATCCTCTTCCTCCTCCTCCTCATCCTCATCCTCTTCATCAGAAGAAAGTGACAGTGATGAAGAAGAATCACAGAAGAGACGTAAGTGCTGTTTCGCTCATTTTCACATTCAAAAGGCTAATTAAGGGCTAATTTGCTTTAAATTTGTGCTGGGAGAAGGTTGACATAAGCCCCTTTCCCCTTAATATAGCATGTAAATAAATATTTTGAATTGTAGGAAACTGGACTACGGGGGTGCCATATAATGCTGTAATCACAAACAGGCTAGAAAAATATTGTTCTTGCTCTGTGAAAAGTAGAAATGTGGCTTCATGAATTGCAACAGCTGTTTCAGAAAGTTAAATTAGAACATATTTTTAGCTTTTTTCCCATATTTGATTTATTTTTTAAAAAATTAGGAATGCAACTACAAGAATGGCCTAGCCATTCATATTTGATTTTATGTAAATACATAATATGTATTTGATATGTTAACTTCCTTTGCTGTGCATAAAATTAATTTGCAAGGGGTTTTTTTGGGGTGGGGGGGAATACGAGCATGAGTTTGACCAAACTGTGGGAGGCAGTGGAAGACAGGAGTGCCTGGTGTGCTCTGGTCCATGGGGTCACGAAGAGTCGGACACGACTAAACGACTAAACAACAACAACTTAATCTTAGTATAAGATCTCAGTAAAAGCATGGTTTATGCTTTTTTAAAGAGAATATATAGTATACACACTGTTTGGGCTTTATGATTGAATTATTACACTAAACCTCTAAAGTATTTTGGCACATTCAGACTTCTCAGCTATTCAAAGTAAAATTCCCCATGTATTTTGTAAACAACATCAAGATTATGGACAGCTGTAGTTGCTGTTTTGGAATTCTAATGTCTCATATATATAAATCATATGTTCATAAATTTACAAGGCAAACACATACATAAGTATATAAACCACGTGTCTGAAATAGTACAGGAGAGCAATCCTGAAACCATTTTGACTCTCCCAAATTGACCTCAAATATTTCTCTGCAGTGAGGAAGGAAATGGGAAAGCCTCCCCATTGTCTGTTTGCTCAAATCCTGTCTTAAGGGCATATTTGTGTATGAATAGGGTGAGCCTGCGACCTGTATTTAGGAACTGTATTTACCATCACAAAAGAATGGCCAGGCTGTCCAGGTAGAAGAATCAGTGGCCATTATTAGGTATCCTTACAAACAGGAATTTTGTTGGAGACCGCCTCCTTCTGTAATGTATTTATGATGTTTTGGGGGTGGTCTCTGGCTACAGGGTGGACAACTTCAAAAGTCTATATAAGGGCTTCCGCACCATTGTTCTGAGTCCCTCCTGTCTCCTGTGTGTGGTAGTGAGCACCCTGTTGCAATAGTTAATAAAGATCAGGCTTACTAGCTTCCTTGCTTATCAATATTCTCTGGTTGGCCTCTGTTATTTTTTCCTTCCAATAGGACTCTATACTTAAGGACTCTATACGGGCTCTTGGCTACCCCAAAAGGGAAAAGGAGGAGTTTTTTCTTTTAACATTGCATTTGCATATTCTAGAGTGGTGAATGAAACCAACTTTTGCTAGCATTCACTACTACAGTGTTGATGCAAAAAAATGTAAGACAGGATTCAGAGGCTATAAGGTCTATTCAGATATTATTTCTTCCTATGGTTATCTCCAGAGAAGAGCTGGGCTTAGAAATTCAGGCCAAGCAGCTATTAGCTTGGTATCATGCTTTGCAGCCTAGAATGAAGCACTAGGTAATTGATAGAATCAGTTTATTTTGTTCTCTTGGGTTTCTAGCTTTCCATTGTTCCTGTGTTCATTGCTGTGCACTTGGTTTATCAATTTCTTGAGGGTTAAAATTATTGCCCATCAAATTTACCTAGTTACGATATTTTCTGTCTAAAGTTATGGCAGTAAATTGTTCATACCATGATAATCTCATGTCTTGATTTTCAGTGTAATGGCACTTTGGAACTATTGTCGTAGCAGTTCTCAGCAGTTCTGTTCCTCAGAGTCTTGAAATGATGGTTTGTAAAGAGCAACTTGTACACTAGTCCTCCTGTATCTCATGCACAGTTGTCCCACAATGGCCTCTGATTCATGCTGTACTGTTTGTGTACAATCCAGACTGCGAGAGCAGTGGGCAATAGTGGTGCTAAGAAGTAATTTCTATTATAAGATATGATCTAGACTAAGATCTAAAATGTTTGATTTAAAAAAAATAAAAATCTTTATTTTACTATTATAGATGTTTGCATACTTGCATAGTATTCAAGGATCCTGATTAAGATGTCTCAGTTTTCTTCCTTTTTGACATCCAGAAGGCCTGGCTGATAAAATACTCTCTTTTGGCCATAGAAGCAATCCAAGTTTTCTCAGGATAAAAGCTATCAAGTGGTATCAAATGTTAGTCATACTGAGAGTAGACCTATTGAAATCACTTGGGTCTACCCTGAATATGACTAACGTTTAATATCACCATTTGTATATCAAATCATTATGTGTTGCAGAAATAGGGTATCCATTATTGGAAGTTTTATGCTCTAATAACCTAAAATTGTTTCCCTCAGCAGAAGGAACGCCTCTTTTGAAAGCATATGATGAAGAGAGTGTAGCTTCCCTAAGCACTGTGCAGGATGAAACCCAGGACAGTTTTCAAATGAATAATGGAACACCAAATTCTAACTGTATCTTACAAGGTGGATATATGTTGGCTGCTTCCTACTGGCCAAAGGTAAGTTAGTAAGGCTGGATCTAAACACATCAAAGAAGTGTTTCAGTTTAAAACGTAAATTTAAACAGGGAAAACAGGTAAAGAAAAAGTGGACTCCACATCGCCATTTCATATACATGGCATATAAATCACTTTTTCTTTTACCAGTCTAGCAGAGTCCTAAGACTACATGTATATAAATCTATATAAATTTCCTTCCAAAAAATACTGAATTTGCTAATTCATTTTCTTTAAACTTCTGAATTTGAGAAGTATATAAATTTGGGCTTCAGTTGCTTCCTGACATGGCTGGGAAGAAGTAGTTATTTTATCATTCAGTATCAGAGATGCCCACTGTGCTCCTTTCACTGGCATTTCCCCCCCCTATAATTGGAAGCATTAATACTACTGTGTTCTTGCCTCTTGGACCGGCCACTTCATCTATAATTTCTCCAGCATATGGTGATTCTTTTAGAAGATATGTGATATGGGAATAAATATTCCCCTCAGTCACATGCTGGTGACACACTGCTCTTTGCCCAGCCACTCAGTTATGCCAGAGATCCAGTTGTCTGCCACCAAATGTTCACTTTCACTATCAGTGCTAGAAGAGCTTAACCATATGACTTCATTCTAGAAGCTGCAGTCAATTTTCCTGCCTAAAAGGAAAGGGGGGAGGAGACACAAGAATCTGTTATTGTATCCTGTTCAGAAAAAGCCTTCTGACTATTGGCCTGTTCAGACCTGTTTTTTTCCCAAGCACTGCCCCCAGCATTTCTGTTCTCTGGAAGTAACTATAACACTTTGCTGTGGACAGGCTTCCGCCCCCGTCCCCCAACAGTCACATCAATCCTGAACAGTGATACTAGCCTGAGTGGAATTTAAAACATGGTTTGTGCATCAGTAGAGATTATTGAAGGAAGTATTATTACCCTTCTTATGTACAAAGCAAAAGAAATCATAATGCCAAATTATGTCCACAATCAGAAGAAAATATTTGTTAAGTGATAGATCAAAACTCTCCTGATGATCCTGCAGCCTTGCCACATTTTGTTGGTTGTTTATTAATTGCTCAGATTAATTTAGCAAGTTGTTTTAACTGTTGAGATAGAAAAGTAGGCTATTAACTGCCTTCTATTCCTTCTAGGATCGGGTTATGATTAACCGTCTGGATAGTATTTGTCAAACAATATTGAAAGGTAAATGGCCTGCGGCACGGAGAAGTTACGACAGCAATACCGTGGCTTCATTTTATACCACCAAGCTTTTAGACAGCCCGGGTGCCGCTGCAGAGTACAGTGAGCCCAGTGTACCAACACCTCCAAGTGCAGATGTTAAAGAAGAAAATGATCAGTCACCACAGATGTCAAAGGTGAAGAAGCATGTACGGGAAAAGGAGTTTACAGTGAAAATCAATGACGTATGTTTATTTTTATCGCCCTAGGACCTGATTGCGATTGCGGTGTGCAGCATGCTTTACCTACAAGTGGCTGCCTGCTCTCAATCTTATTTCCTTCACACACACATTTATGGGTATTTTGGGATAAATTTCTATGGGGCATCCCCCCCTTTAAAAAAAAAAAAGAATTCAGAATTGATCAACAAATGACAACAATTCTTGGACTTTTGAAGCCTTGCTGGTGGGATGCTTTCTCATATAGCCTTTCTTCTGCTGTCTTTAGTGCTGAAGGTGCTTTCCAGAGTGTCTAGCTCTTCTGAACTCAGTCTTGAATGTCTGAAAACAGGAACTTCCAGATATCCAGTTTTTAAATGCCCTTGGTGAACAAATCAGAACAATTATTCACATACTCAGAATTCCTTAGGTTCTTATGCTAAAAGTTAATAGTAATACATACTAATGAATACAAACCCTTTATAATAATTAACTTGATATCTGCAAATTTATGTTTTAATACATACTTATTTATAAAAGTATTCAGTTGCAGTCATTACTGTACCTGACTAAAGACTGCCAGTTACTTAGATGCGTGTGTGAGAGAAGATCAGTTCTTCTTGAAATTGCAAATGAAGATCTTAAACTATTTCATTGGTTTGTTCTTCCCAAAGAAATGTGCTAACCCTCATGTTTGTTTAACAGGAAGGGGGTTTGAAATTAATTTTTCAGAAGCAGGGGCTTTCTCAGAAAAGACCATTTGAAAGTGAAGATGGTACATTAGGACAGCAGCAATACCTTGCCAGGCTACAGGAACTCCAGAATGCTTCAGAGACCAGCCTTGCCAATTTCCCAAAGTCTTTGCCAGAGTTGGGTAAGCATTGTGTGAAAGCCAGTGTTTAATGCCAAAAGGTTTGCTACTTAGATATTGTATTAATAATTTTTGGATTGCCATTCCAAGTTGTTTAACTGTCTGTCACCTAGTTTTACTAATGAGATAAGCTTGGTTCTGTGCTGTGACACTTCATACAGCAGGTGGGTGCTCAGCTGGATGCTATGTCATTCACAAAAGTGTTCCCTGCAGATATTAAACTGGTATGTCAGCAAGAGAGAAGACCAGACTAGAATCTCTCTCCATGGCTCTCTAACAAGGAATGTTATGAAGTATCATTCAATTGAGTCCCCGTTTGCAGTATGGTGGTACAGTTTGAAGAGATTGTTTTGTAGCTCCTTACAACCCTTTCTGTTCTTAACTTCCCTGAACAATTTAGTGTTATCAGTAAATGTGTCTACCTCACTTGCTTGTCCCTAACTCTGGAACATTTATGAACAAGTCTATTCTATCACTGCCATTGATGATTGCATAAGTGAAAGAATGCATACACTTCAAATAATTTGGATGATGTTCTTCTATCTAGAACCTAACTCAAATAAGTAAGAATGTTACAGCTGTATAAGGCTGAATAGCAACTCTTTTGAAGGAAGAGCTGTAGCATAAAGTAATGGTGATAAGTGAGCTGAGAAAATGCTGAGGTTTTCTTTGGCCTTGACAAGATATACTAGGCTACAATCTGTATGTTTGCAGGCCTGTTATTCCCCGGTGTCAGGTTGTAATTGTGGGGAGAAAAGAATATAGAGCCTATTGAAGTTGGGTACTTTGACATCAGTATTAATATGTATGCCACATAATCCTGGAGTGGTACAGCGGCGGGGCATATGCCCGTGCTGCCCAGGATGGACGCGTTCCCGAGGGGGGCGGAGAACGCTCCCGAGGGGAGCGGGGCACGAAGGGTTCCCGAGGGGAGTGGGGTGCATGGAGCAGCACACATGCCCTGCAGCCAGGGGCAGAGTGAGCTGCCCATGGCGGACATTCGGCGCGCCGCCCCCCACGACTCCCAACCCTCCCCCAAGCTGTCAAAATGAAGGGGGAAGGGGAGAATGCCACCGGCAAAGTGTTGCAGCTCCCCCCCCCTTCCGCTGATGGCTCGGGGTAGGCTTGGGAGTCGCAGGTAGGTGGCGCGTCAAATGTCACCTCCCTCAGTGAAGACACCCAGGGCAGTCCGCCTCCACCACACACCCCTTCCTCCACCCCTGGGGGTATTGAACTAACTTTTCTTCAGTGCATGCCCAGATAAATTAATGAACCTTAGTCATGTTCTTAATTTGAATGGGCCTACTCAGAGTAAAACTCTGTCTCATAGATACGCTAGAAACTTTTTCTATAAATTCATTTTACTTTCAGTGACTTTTTTTGTTGCTGCTTTTACAGTTGTTCATATTCATTTGGGGGGAAAGTTTTTTGTTGCTGATTTTATGAAACTGTTAATTTGATTAGGAACTTCCAGTCAATCAACAGCTACTGCAAATGGAATAATAGCTGATGACCAGCCTGTAATGAAAAAGAGGAGAGGAAGGAGGAAGAATGTGGAAGGAGTAGATATACTGTTTATAAATAGAAACAAAGCACCTAACCACGTAAGCAGATGTGAATTGATATTTTAAGTATACATGCTGTTCTGATGTAAATGTTATCAATTTTGAAGGCTTTAATGTCTTTAGATTGGCCAAATAGAAGCCCATCTGCCAGCCTGCTTCAGTAGATTTCTTGTATTGTACTACTGGTATTAGCTTTGGCATTGATATTACAAAATGCATTGACATTCCCATCCAGCATCTTATTTAATCAGGTTCATATATTTTTGCAAGACAAAACTTTTTTAGCAGGGTTGACATCTTGAATATGTAACTGTGATGTTTGCTTTCCATTAAATATTTGTCTCTAGGTTTTCTTCATAGAATTATAGAATTGTAGAGTTGGAAAGGACCCCAAGGGTCATGCAGTCCAACCCTCTGCAATGCAGGAATCTCATCTAGATTGTACATGACAGGTGGTCATCCAAACTCTGCTTTAAAACTTCCAGTGTTTTACCTCATGTTTAATCAGAATTTAGTTTCTTATAACTTGAAGCCATTGGTTCAAGTCCTACCCTCTGGAGCAGGAGAAAACAAGCTTGCTCCATCTTCCTTTAGATATTTGAAGGTGGCTATCATCTCTTCTCTGTCTCCTTTCATCTAAGCCAAGCATACCCAACTCCCTCAACCATTCCTCATAAGGCTTGGTTTCCAGACACTTTATAATTCTGGTTGCCCTCCTCTGCATTTGTTCCAGCTTGTCAATATCATTCTTAAATGGTGGTGCCCAGAACAACACATTACTCCAGGTGTGGTCTGACCAAGGCGGAATAGAGTAGTGCTATTACTGTACTTCCTTTGATTTGGACACTATACTTCTGTTGATGCAGCTCGAGAGAGAGCTCTCAGACTGCAATCAGCAATCTCCAATCAACTAAGTCAGGCATAGGCGAACTCGGCCCGCCAGATGTTTCGAGACTACAATTCCCATCATCCCTGACCACTGGTCCTGTTAGCAAGGGATAGTGGGAGTTGTAGTCCCAAAACATCTGGAGGGCCAAGTTTGCCTATGCCTGAACTAAGTAGAACAGTACTCATAACACTTCGTATTTCTGCAGGTTTGCCATAGCATTAATGTCCCTCAGGTTGCTCCAGGAATAAACCCAGCACTTCCATATGTACCATCCCACGGCGTGTGTGATGCAGAAAGCCCAGTTCCAGTTATTAACTTGAAAGATGGAACAAGACTTGCAGGCGATGATGCCCCTAAAAGAAAAGATTTGGAGAAATGGTTCAATGAACATCCTGGCTATGTTGAAGATTTAGGAGCTTTTATTCCTGTAAGTATTTCCATTCATTCTAACTGTGCTGTGATATTTGAATATAGCAAGCAAATTCTGTGTAATATTCATCTTTTAATATAGGGTTGTAATTTTGAACACGCTATGAGTACATATATGATAATTTTAGCATGGTTTGAGGCCATTTGAAAATATTGTGGTGTTTAATATAAAACTTAATGTGCAGCATATTTAAGAAGTAAAACCTTCATTAAGTAGGTCCTTAAGCATAAATATGTTATTCATAAGCAGCTTGAATAATAGTGAGAGCTCACATATATATATATTTAATTCTGCTACCACAGAAAATGCAGCTTCATGAAGGAAGACCCAAACAAAAAAGGCACCGTTGTCGCAATCCTAATAAGCTGGATATTAATAGCCTTACTGGGGAAGAACGTGTTCAACTAATCAATAGAAGGAATGCTAGAAAGGTATTTCTTTAACTTTTGTCATCCAGAGACATGCCAGCTTGGTGCCCTACCTCAAGGACCGCCTCTCCCTATATAAACCATCACAGACTCTGCTTTCATCATCAGAGGCCCTTCTTTGTGTGCCTCCTCCAGAGGGTGGCAACACGAGAATGGGCCTTCTCTGTAGTGGCTCCCCGTTTGTGGAATGCTCTCCCAAGGCAAAAACATTTCTCTTCAAGCAGGCTTTTGGCTGATTAATATTCTGCAACCTTTTAAATGTGTCTGTGGGAAGGAAGAGTTATTTATTTTGCTGTTTTGTTTTAATTATTTACTTGTTTTTATCCTGTATTTTATTCTGTGAACTGCCCTTAGATCTTATGGTGAAGGGCGGTGTATAAATATAATAATAATAATAATGTGTCACCATAACTATTCTAGCACATACAGAAATGAGATAGCTTGTTAAGCTATGAGTGCAAACTGAATGTTGGATCCATGAAGTATACTGATAAATTTTTGATCCTTACATTTCAGGTAGGAGGTGCTTTTGCTCCACCACTGAAGGACCTGTGCAGATTCCTGAAAGAGAATTCTGAATATGGAGTAGCTCCTGAATGGGCAGATGTTGTAAAACAATCTGTGAGTAGTAGAGGGAGTGTCATTATTTTGTAGCTTTACTTACCAAAGAAAGCAGGTTAGCCCTAAAGCAGTGTGATCCCTGTTTTAAGCAGTTTAGAAACAACTAGGAAAATTTTGAGCCTTGAGACCACTCTTGCTTATTTGTATTGTTATGTGCCATGTACATTGAAGGCACTATATAAAGTAAAGTTCAAAAGCTGTAAAAGGCAGCTTTTGCAAATGACTTTATTTGAATTATTTTTCTGGTTTCCAGCTAACATTCCTAACTATGCTATATCTATTCTACCATATTATTGGCTATGTTTGAAATTGATTTTAATACTTATTTTCTCAATTTAGCTACAGCATATTTTTAAGATGCAGAAATAGGTAGCTGCATTAAAGAATGCAATAACCCAATTTTCATTTTTCCCCCTTAGGGATTTCTTCCTGAAAGCATGTTTGACCGTATTCTCACAGGGCCTGTTGTGCGAGAGGAAGTAAGCAGGAGAGGGAGAAGACCTAAAAGCGAGATTGCCAAGGCAGCTGCTGCTGCAGCAACAGCAGCAGCAAGCATACCAGTCAACCCTTTATTAGCTAACGGGCTGCTGCCAGGGGTGGATCTGTCTACTCTCCAGGCCTTACAGCAAAATCTGCAAAATTTTCAGTCACTGCAAGTGACAGCAGGCTTAATGGGAATGCCGACTAGTTTGAACACTGCTGGGGAGGCGAAAAACATGGCTGCTGTGTTTCCCATGCTGCTTTCAGGAATGGCTGGCTTACCAAATTTGCTAGGAATGGGAGGACTCCTCACAAAATCTACAGAACCTGCTTCCGAGGAAAAAAAGGGAAATGACTCAAGAGAGCCCGACGGGAAAAAAGAAAGGACAGAGAGCCAAAATGCACATAATGGTGGAGAAAACTCTGTGTCGGGTTCTCCTTCCACATCATCTGCTGCTGCTGCTGCAGCCGCCAGCCCCCTTGCTCTTAACCCCTTACTGTTGTCCAATATACTTTATCCAGGGATGCTTCTCACTCCAGGCCTTAATCTCCATATCCCAGCTTTGTCCCAATCCAATATTTTTGATGTACAGAACAATGAAAACAATGGCACAGGCACAGCCAAGCAAACAGAAGAAAGGGAGGAAAATTCTAGAGTTAAAGATCAAGAAGACAAAAGGGGAGCAGAGCCTAGCTCTCGCAATGAAAACAGCACAGATGAGGGTTCAGAGAAAGCCGATGCTTCCTCTGGGTCAGACAGTACATCGTCCTCGTCTGAGGATTCGGATTCTAGTGATGAAGACTGACCCCAAACTCTGCACTTAAATTATAAACTGATTTTGAATTTATTCTTGAATTATTTTGTTGTAAATAACCAGTGTTGAGTGAGTGCATCAATAATTTAATGACCGAACATTTCAGTATTTGTTTAGAAGTGCAAACAGCTTTCAAAGACGTTTTGCATGTAATATTTCTTGAAGTTCATAGGTTTCTGAACTTGTATGTACTATCAAATACACAATTGTGTAAAAAAAAAAAAAGAATTACAGCAAAAGGCATTATAATTTTGTTTTGGGGGGTTAATTTTTAAAAATTGCTTAGTAAGAGCTGTATATTTAATATATTTGTAGTGAACACAAAATTCTTTATGCGCATTATTGATATAATTTGAATATAGTTTTACAGCCTCCTTGACACCTATAATTTACAGATCAAAACTCAGCAATAATTTGGGCAGCTAATGAATGTCATGAAAGCTGTAGAAACTACATCACCATCCATTGTTTTAATTACAAGAAAATGCTCTAGTGTTGTGATGCACTGCTGATGTTTCCAATTCAGGTACAACTCTGTTTTAAAAGAAAAGTTTCCCATTCAGCCAATTAGATTGGCTACTTGTTACCTCAGCTGAGTTAGTTTAGGAAGTTTACATTGGTTTCTCTACTTGTTTTCATATTCTGCTTTGCTTTTTAAAGGCATCCTGTGTATGTTAATTTTGCAAGGGAAATTACCATTACCAGTTGCACTCTTGTAATAATAGTCACAAAAATCCCTTTCTTACTTTCTTCGACACCATGGATACCTTTTTAATGTTAAGATTTTGCTCCTTCTACAGCCTTCATGTTGTTGAGGAGCTGTATCCACAAGCTGAAATAACTCAAAGTGCCACTTCAACACTGCATACTTCATGTTATAAGGATTAGATCCTTGTGAAAATGGCTTGTTTGTTTTGTTTGTTTCTCTTTTGTGTATGTTTGTCATGTAAACTCCTGTAGTTACCAGTTAATAATGGTAAGAGGAAATGTAGTCATGTTTAAAAATACTCATATTTCTCTACAGGTTTGGATTTGACTATGTAGAATAATGTTACCCAAAATCAAAATTTAGGGTATCATCTATCTGTTAGTTGTAATAATGCTGAGTTGCCCAATAACTTAACTTTTAAAAAGCACTTTCAACAATGATGTGAGAAATGTGTTCCATGAAACCATGGTATGACAGTGCTTATAAAGCATCTGTTTGAATACAGATCCTTAGAACCTTGATGCATAAAATCAGATATATAATAGGATTCCTTGTTCCGCTGAAGCTGCTATTACTCTGACATGGTAGAATCACAGATTCACACCATACAGTGGAACTGAGGTGAAAAGGTGTGAGCTTGTATTAATTTCACTTGTGGTCCAAGAATAGGCAAGTTGAGTGAATGGGTAAAAAAATACTGATGATATAGTCAGTGACAAATCTTTTCAAAAGGAAATAATTTAGTATTTTGATACAGTTCTGTTGCTTGCTTGTACAGTAAACAAGACTGTGTTGTTTTTTACCAAGATCTTTACCAATAAAAATAAAGTTTGTACATGCAAAATTATTAACCCCTTTGACTAGAAAGCAGTATTACATGTAATTACAGTTATAAAAGTATCATTTGGATTGTGCTGGTTTACTGTATTTTCCCTCCCCGGAATAGTATGACTTGTTTGGCCCTTCAGTGTCTTAGCAATAGTCAAAACATGCCACAAGAAAAGGGGTAGCAATTATTCATCATGAAAGGATGTATTACATATTTAATATTTTGCCCTTTGTAATATAGCACTTTTATTTATCTTGTATGTATCCATGATATAGCCAAAGTTTTCCAAACACGGTTGTTGACTTAGTCAATGGAGTATTTCAACAATATCACTTTGCACCATACCCCTACGTACCTCCCCCCAAAAGAAATCCTAAACACAATTTTTAATAAATTTATGAAATAAAGTATTTTCCTAATTATGGTCAAGTGAATTTTACTTACCATTCTAGTGATATCTCTCTGTAATAAGGAAATTTTACAGTTTCAATGTGTGACTGAAAGATTTGAATATGAAGTAAAGGTGTGTTTTTTTTAATCAGCATCAGCTGAAAGGTGAGAAATATGTAGCTCTGTCGGCTAAACAATATGCAAGTGTGACTGCATAAAGTCAAGGGTTGTAAAGGAGCCTTTATTAGAATTACATTAATACTGAAATTTCAGTACAAAAGATATCCAATATGGTGAAGAAGTGTATGTTGGTAGTGACTAAAAAGAAATTTAGCTCTTATTGCCTTGTATTTCTATCCCTTGTTTCAGGCTTCATGATCCGTCTTAGTCCTGTTTTTCTTTTGGACATTTTGCAATATTTGCCAGTTGTGTTCTGTGTAGTCTGAATTTGCTTTCTTGTAGTTGAAAAAGCGTCTTAAAGTCATTTGTAATTTATTGAATTACTTTCTATGATGTTCTATAGAGCAAATGGAAGTTTAATTATTTTTTATTAAACATATTCTTTGACAACCCATGATGTTGGCCTCAATACATTAAAAATGCCTTTTAGTTATCACACAATGTAAAGCTTGAGCAGAAAGGAAACAGTTGTTACAGCAATATTGGAGGAGCTAAATATCTGCAGGTATTCAGTATTTAAAGAATTTGTGGTTACAATTTTCTGCAATTCATATGAGCGGCTAATACTGAATGTGCAGGTAATATGAGCTGTCAAAATAGTTTTGTCTTGCCAAAGGTATTATATAGTTAGATTTTGTATTAAAACATCAAGAAATACTTTAAACTCAAAGGCTATAGTTTAGTGACCAGGTGAATGCTGAATACTAGAAAACGTTCTGCATCCTGCACTTGTCTTGGCAATTAGTGGTGGAATGTGTTTCTTCCCAAAGGTTCATTCAGTTATACTTTATCATAGAGTATAATTTGAAGAACATTGTAGGATTGATGCAATACACAACTGCACCTTGGCATTTGCCAGTTACTGAAAATGCATAATCAAACTGATTTCATGGAACTAAAAGATGTGCATTAGGTCCAATCTGTGTTACGGCACATCATTAATTTTTGAACCTCATAAATTGGAGGACAGTGCTAGCTAATTTAAAATGATTCTTAGGTTTATATGATTAAAATACAATAGATTTAATACAGCAGATTGGGAATTGTTTGCATATAAATTTTCCATACTTTCATCTGCACTACATCAAATTGGTTTGGGGAACACCCTAAATTTCAGAAGCAACTTGGTGTAGGTGAAAAGAACTGTTATCAACTAAAAGTATAACGCTGTATGGCTAGATGCTGCCTTGAGATCTTTGCAAACATACTCAGACATCTAACTTAGACTCATGGCATGCATTTTTGTGATAACAGTGGCGTGGAGTTCTTTCCTTCAGCCAACGCTGGTTTTGCTACAATACCATGTTAGAAATGTCATATGGATACTGCATACTCTCAACCTCTAGAGTGAACTTGGTTTTGTTACCATATTTGATAGTGAATAATTTTATATAAAATATATTCTGCCATTTCCTATGGAAGTTATAAAAATACAAATTAAGCAGTGCAGTGGGGAAATGGTTGTTGCTGACAGCCATTCTGTCAGCCATTCTGTATCCTAACACCCATGGTAGATTACTTTTGGCTAGGGGGTGCAATGCAAAAAGAATCATATATCTGCAGTTGAAAGGGATCCCGGAGGTCATCTTCCAACCTCTTGCAATGCAGGAATTGCAGCCAAATAATCTCTGGCGGAGGTCATCCAGCACTGTTTAAAAACCTCAAATGAAGGAGAATTCACCACCTTCCATGGTAATCTGTTCCACTATTGAACAGCTCTTACCATCAGAAAGCTTTTTTATAATGTTTAGTCAGAATTTCCTTCCTTGCAATTTGAATCCTTCAGTTCAGCACCTACCCTCTGGAGCTGCAGAAAATAAGCTTGCTTCAGCCTTTCAGATATTTACAAACCATGGATACAGTTGGTAGGCATGTGCTTATAGGAATTGTATAACATTTCTCATTTGTCTGAATGTAAACATGGCAAATACTTTTAAATTTATAAACAAGGGCTTTTGTTGATTATGGGCATGCCACCGATTAGAAAACAAGACGAGAAATGAAACAAGACTATACGTGGCCCCTAAATGAACACTAGGAGCCTGGTTCGAACTGTATGCTGATCAGTGGTTCTAGAGGGGGACCTTGTATCGCAAACCAATTTTTCTGTGGACGTATTTCATTCCAAATTTTAATTGCCACTCGGCTTCTTGCAGTCCACACCAGCATATAATACTTGGTGTATCTGGGCTGTTTTTCTATCCCATTCCCTTGAATCGCTGCTCCCACCCACCACACTACGTACTACCTTTATCCATGATAGGCATCCGCACCATTTTTAAAAAAAACATCCAGGAACTGTGAAAAAGCAAACTACCGGTTTTATCCAGTCATTTTCTCTATTTTTTACAGCGGACAAAATTGAGGCCTGTGTCTTGTTGAGTGTTGGTGTGTCAATTTCGGTTTTCTAAAAGACCTCGCCGTGAAACTTAGAAAGAAAAAGCCTGATGTGATGTACTATGATTACAGTCCCCAACTAATTAAACACAGTTAGTGTCGAACGTGTAAGATCCTATCATTTCTGAGGCAGCTGGCGATCAGCGGTAATCGGTTTCTTCCCTTTGCTATTGATAGGGAGGAGGAAAATGACACATTACACGTTCCCCGCTTCGCCCCGCCCCTCACTGAGGCTGACGCTTTATGGGAATTGTAGTTCCCAGAAGAAACGAACGCTCCCACTTCCGCTCCCCTCCCCGCCGCTCTTGACTTTTAAATCTCTTGCGCAGACAGCAGCACGCTGACTGGCTTCGCGTGGGCGCGCCCTTACCCAATGAGCAGAGCGGTGAGGGGCGGGGACGTGGGGGCGGTGAGGGAGACGAGGTGTTTAGATTCGAACGCCGCGGCAGTGGGAAGGAAGGGTCCAGCTCGGCATCGGCCTCTCTCTTTCCACCCAACCTTCGCTTCAAACGCACGAAAACAATCCGCTGCGCAGGCGCAGTCCGCCCCTGTGCGCGAGCCGCGGCTCTCGAGTTCGCCGGCGTTGTTGCGCGCGACCCTCGCCGCCTTCCGCTCTCCTCATCCTCTCCACGCCCGGCAGTGGCGATGCTGAGCGGAGACGAAGAAGAGGAGGCAGCCGCGCCTGCCTCTGCCGGAGGGGGCGCTCCTTCGCCGACCCCCGTCGCCTCACCCCGAGCGACTACAGCGGCCGCAGAGGAGGCGGGGGCCGCCATAACCGACGCCCCCGTCCAAGAAGAAGGAGCAGCGGACGGCGATGAGGAGAAAAAGGACGACGACGAAGAGGAAGAGGAAGCGGCGGCGGCGGCGGCAGCAGCTGAGGCGGAGCGAGACACCCGGCAGCGCTACGAGGACCTGTGCAGCAGCCTCAACATGGACGAGCGCGCCCGAGCTGAGGCCTGGCTGAGCTACCAGAGCATGAGGAGGAATTACACCCTGGAGGTAGGGGGAGGGGCGCAGCGAAGGGGGCGGAGGGGTCTGCTTGGTGGGAGGAGCTTGGGTGAAAGGGGAGGGGCCTTTGCGGAGGGGCGTGGTCACAAAGCAGAACTTCATCTTGGCAGCAGGGGGCGTTTTTTGAGCAGGCAGGAACTCTGGGGAACTGAGTTACCTTACTTTTATTGAATTAAATAATTTGGGGGTGGGGGGCTAGAACGGATATATACCCAATGCCTGAGCCAAAAACCCACCTATATCTGCAATCAGTTGTGACCATTTCCAGTCCAGATCATTGTCTGCTTGAGTTTGTCTTACATTTGGCCACTACCCGAGGTGGGGGGTGGAAAGTGGCATTCTGACTGGGCCCACAATAAACTAACTAGCTAACTTCCCCCATGTTTTTTTCCAAGAAGAAAATTACTGCTTGGCAGAAAGAGCTTTGGCAGTGGGCTGGGCTTGTGGTGGAGGGGATTGGCCTTGACTTTGTAGAGGGCCAGAGTCCTGAAGCAGAAGTAAATCTGGATAGGATAATCTTAGACAAAGTTGGTGGGGCTTGTGGTAGAGGCAGTGAGTTAGAAATAAACCTTGATTGGAGGGGCTTTGAGGGAAGGGGGTGTGTCCTTAGCTTGGATAGTGGGGTGGAGGCCATGAGGTAGAATTATATATCCCACCAGAAAGGGGCTTTGACAGAGGTAGAAGTTACCCAATGGTGTGGACACTATGGTCCTCCAACTTTGATCAGATCCAGCCAAAATGGCAGATGATTAGGGATGGTGAAATTTATAGCTCACCAGCATCTCAAGGGCTGCAGGTTGTCTATTCCTGTTCCATTTACCACATGGCTGTATGCCTGCTGTAATAATTTACCAGTCAAAATAGTCGTCTGTAGTCAACCTCTTGGTTTTTAATTTCTAATCTTCTTTTCATCTCCATCCCAGTCTTATGTAACATACGTGAATATGACACTTTTGTACCCTGTGTTAATTAATCCAGACGTTTTATGAATTGCTCTGTAGAATCAGAGTAAAGGACCCCTGGACGGTTAAGTCCAGTCAAAGGTGACTATGGGGTGCAGTGCTCATCTTGCTTTTCAGGCTGAGAGAGTACTTCTCTGCAGAATGTGTATTTTGAAGTCGATTGAAAGGGATGTGAAAGTGTAGTAGTACAGCACTTGATACACTTGGAAACACACTTTAGGAATGATAAATGAAAACATACTTTAGGGATGATAAATGGAAACACATTTTCAGAATTATAAATTACATTAAAAAAATAAACAGAAATTTAACTTTGAAGTTGTTATTTGCTGAACTACTTTTGATAAATCTAATGCTTTCTCTGAAAAGATTATTACTTTTGGATATTATCAACTCATGCTTTTGAGAAATGTAATTAATTCAACAGTAGCCCTATATTTCCCACAACTGCCTTTATTTTAAAGTTCTATTCTCTGGTCTTTTCCTCACCTATATATCGTTACAATGCTAGGCTGGATTTAAACCAGAACAACATTCAGCTGACACTGCTGGCAGTAAGGGCTGTCTTTGCAAAACTAACAAGACTCTGTATACGAGAAATGTTGAAAATGCTTTATTTGTATTTTAAAATGTTTTGCTTATTTAAAGCATGTTTATTTTGGCCTTCAGCCAAAAACCAGACTCCCAGAATGGCTTATAACTATCAGTGATAGGATAGTACCTGTTAACAGGTTTACACTAAAAGAGACAACACAAAAGGGAAAGAGATTGGAAGGGAGAAGTGAAAGAGAAAACTTAAGCACTATTACTTGGTTAAAGAATTACTGTAATGACCAGCAAAAATAGAAAGATTTAAAGGGAAGGAGGTGCAAAAAAAAAAAAGTATTTCAGCAGAGCTGATGGAGATACCCTGCAATCCTACCTCTCTCCCTCTACTGATGGAAAGGCTGCTCTTGCAAATATAGTCTTATATTTGCTTTAATCTCTGACCTTGTTAAATATTTTCTGTGTCCAGTTGCCTCTTAGCAATTTCATTTCAGTGAATGCTACTTCTCTAATGTGGTTTGTTACTTCACACCCTCTGCTTTACAAGACTTTACTGACATATAAACTGGGATTTGAAATAACTGTGCAATAGGTTGTGTGTGCCCAAAGGGGATTTCAGCTTGTGTTTCTCCAATGCAGCTCCTCTGCCCCACACTGGATGGCAAATTGTATTTTAAACTGAAGGAACTTCCAAGAGGCACATAGAGAATCTATATTATGCTAATAAGTATAAATAATTTTTAAAAGCTGGTTGTGATACAGCCTTGATGCTTTCTGTTCAGAGAGTAGTTTAACATGCCATGATGTAGCTCTTTGAAACCTCAATCCACTCCCTGATCATTCATTTTATCTGTAGTTCAGGAGTGGCTAACATGTAGCGCTTCTAATGTTAGCACTCCAACTCTCAACAGCTCGAGTGAACACGGAGTGTAATCTAGCAACAGTTGGAGGGCATAGGTTAGTGACGCCTGCTGTAACAAAATAAAGCCTTTCTGTTTTAGACATATGAGTTAGAGAGGAGTCAACTTCTGCTTTTGCTTCTTTTAATGTAACAGGGAAATGATCTACATTGGCTAGCATGTTCTTTATACGTGGCTTGCAGAAAAGCTGTCCCAACAGTGAGCAGAGGAACCGTTGAAGGAAACTATGTATCTTTAATAAGAATATTGCGCTGCTCAGGACAAAGGTAACTTCTATTTTAACAAATCAGAAAGTTTTAGAATTGATACTAATGTGTGAATTGCTATAGTAAGTAACTAGTAAGACTATTATCATGACTTAGGCATGCTCTCTGGTCGTTAGCTGTATAGGGATCAGGGATAACCTTGCTAAATATAATATTTCAAGTGACTTTAATCACTTTGACTTGTTAAAACTGCTCTTGCTGGTTTGACCCTTTGTAACAACAGTATGTTTATATTTATTTCCTGTCAGAGATATTTGTTTAACATTTATTTAAGTGCAGTATATCAACTAATAATACAAACATGCATCAACAACTTAAATGTTGGCATGAATAATTTTTATAATGAAAAAGTGATTCAGTTCCATCAGCATTGTTGTTTAGCACAGCTTGTCCAAAGTTCTGTTTTCTGTACCATTTCATACTTACACTTGAGGTGAAAAGTTTTACAGCAGAGGAAAAAAGAGAGAGATGCATTGAGTTAATCAACATGACTAATTTAGGTCCATTATTTCACTGTAGGACTAGAATAACATGCAAATGGTCACATACATGAACATTGTTGTCTGATCATGGATACTTAGATTAATTATAGACAGAAAGAGGGGGAATAATGGGGACACAGAACATGTGGTAGACCTGAGGAAGCATTCAAATCAAATTAGAGAGATAGCTGAACAAAATATAGTCAGAGGCCCAAGTTGGCTTCACTTAATCTTTACCTAGGGGACAATACAAATCTGCATTTTAAGCATCTTATTTGCCATCTTTCATTAGCAGCCAAGCTAGTAACAGCTAGGTACTGGAAATTCTTAGAGGATGCGACATTGATCACATGGTATAAAGAAGGATGATAATAAACTCTGACAGAAAAAATAACCAGTAAACTAAAAATAGCAAAGGGAATGAAACAGACACTTTTTCAGTGGACTGGCATGCTTTTATGATCTACAGTGTGAAAGAGGAAAGCATGGGACCACCTCCATATTGTAAATGATTGATGTGGTAACCATAATTGCCATGCAAAAGCAATACAACAATTTAAGGGATGTGAACTCTGTTGTAATGTGACCTCATGTCTTCGGAAATGATGGGAGGGTAGATTTTGTTCCAATACTGTTTCTTGTTGTTTTGTAGTGCAAGAAATAAAAAAAATGAGAATCATTGGATTGGCATAGAGATCATAGGTAAAAGCAATTAGAATGCACAGAATAAGCAAAAATGACTTATGCTTGGTTAAGATTTTTTAAATAGAAAGTTGATAAGAAAACAGGTCTTCAGTAGCAAATATGCTTAAACAGATTTCAGCATTAATATACTACAGCTCAAGAGTTTTAGCAAGATAGTTTGACCAAAAAAAAGTGGGGGTGGGGCAGGAGGCATGACCAAATTTGCTTAGCTTCTCTGGAACATGCAGGGTAAAGAACTAGGTGAGAGATTATCACTGAGGGGAAGAAAGAAAGAAAAAATTAGGAAGCCAATCAGAATGGGATACTCCAATTTGAATGAAGATTGTAAAAGGGGATAGAAGCAGAGGCATAGGAAGGTCAGTTGGTACCCAGTGTGGGAAATTTCTTGTCACCCCCCCCCATTGTTTTGTTTTGGTTTTGTTGTTGTTGTTTGCCTGCAAAAATGGTTTTATGTTATTTCATATTTTCTTACAAAGGAATGTGGATTCTGGGCCTCTGATAACAAGTAGGCAACTATGGACAGATACTTAAATCTACAGGATGGATTGTGTTTTGGCTTGTGTTATTTTATTTATATTTATTGTTTATTTATTTAATTAAATTAATTTTTAAAAACCTGCAAAGTGGTTTACCAAAAAAAAAAAACCACAGCAGTAAAATCAAGAAAAATTAACAATCCTACTTTAAAACATACAAAAGCTAAAATATTAAGATTAAAATTACTTCAACTTCCTAAGCATCTAGGTATGCTTGCCTAAAGAAGAATTCTTTTAGCAAAGTCATGTGCTTTGTTGCAATAGGCGGGGAGTACCAAAGTGTGGGTGTTGTCACATTAAACAATGCAGTACAGTGGTGCCTCGCAAGACGAAATTAATTCGTTCCGCGAGTTTTTTCGTCTTGCGAGTTTTTTCGTCTTGCGAAGCACGGTTTCAATTTTTTCAAAAAAATCTTCAAAAACCTCAAAAAAGGCTACCACACCGCGTGCTATGAGTTGCTCCCCGAAGTCAAGTCGCAACTGCACCTCTTCAAGCAATGCACCCTGTATTACTGTAACGGTTTTAAGAAAAAGGAAACAAACTTGCAAGACGTTTCCGTCTTGCGAAGCAAGCCCATAGGGAAATTCGTCTCGCGAAGCAACTCAAAAAACAAAAAATTCTTTCGTCTTGTGAGTTTTTCGTCTTGAGAGGCATTCGTCTTGCGAGGTACCACTGTACAGATATTATGAGGAACCTGTAGTAGTGCTTGAAACTACTGAAGGGGATGTTTTATTTATTGTGATTTCACCATGCTCTGTATTATCTGAAAAGGAAAACATTTATTTAAAAAATAGGACTGCACAGCAGCAATCTACTCTCATCATGATCAGTGGGACTTATTCCCGAGCCAACGGTGCATAAGATGGGCTGCAATCCTATGCACCCCTTGCATCCAACTTGTACCTAAAACTCTGCACAAGCCTGCACCAGAGAATTGTAGAGTTGGAAGGGACCCCTGAGGGTCATCTAGACAAACCCCTGGGGCAATGCAGGAATCTCAAGTAGACCATCCCCGACCAATGGCCATCCGTCTTCTGTTTTCCCCCTCAGCCAAGACACACAACAACAGAGACTGGAGGTGGGGGGAAATAAAAATTTTGACAATGGGGCAGATTTGTCAGGCGTGCACAGGAACAGCTTGAAGACTTTACACAGAGAGGAACCCCACACGGGTTTCCCCGCATGTAACGTAACAGGCAGGGAGCCAGCTCAGATAGAGAGAAAGACATTGGGGGAGGACAGGACAAAAGAGTACCAAAATCCGCCCATTTTATCCTCTTTGGGATGGTGGCGCTAGGGCTCTGGGAGCACCCTCCCCAAAATATTTACTTGTCTTCACTGTATTGTTACCACTGTTATTCTATAGTACAGATCTTTTTTAAATTTAAACACTTTCTCTAAAATTAAAACAGCAGAAGTAATCAGTAGCATAGATACCAAAGGGAAGGCGAGAGAATAGTCCCTAATAGATACAAGGGAGACACAGATACACGAGCACACAGAAGTAAATAATCCAGCCTCGGGGAGAGGGGTGGGAATGTACAGTTTGCTGTACTTAGCCTCGAGATGGGAGACTAAAAGGGCTTAAAAAATAAAAGTCTTGTGTCTAGGAATATTTTTCTGCAAAAGCATCAGACTGATTGTCAAAAGTGTGAACTTCATTAATAGACCCTATTTAAAGGAATTGTTCAATTAGCCACAGACTTGCTTTGCTGATTTTTCTCATCTTCTTTTAATTGCACAACTGTTTTTGGGGGGTCCTAGCTTCATGCAGGGAAGACTGGGGTGTGTGACTGAGAGGGGGGATCCTACCTTCATGCAGGGGAGGCTGGGGGCAAAGGGGAGACTGGCCTGCCGAGTGCCCAGGGTGGCGCTGAGCTGCTCCTCGCGCCCCGCGCAGGCAAAATGGGATGGCAGCACTGCTATTGTCCTGCACACTCCACTTTTGGGGGCAGCAGAGGCTTTTCGGAGGGGGATTGGGGCCCAAAGGCCTCCTCAGCAGCCCAGAAAGTCAGCCTATGTGAAGAAAACGAGACTAGGCCAAGTAGATTCGGCCTTGCCTTCGCCCCACCCCCAACCCAGCTAGCCAGTCGGCTGTGTGTAGGGGGCGGGGCGAAGGCAAGGCAAGGCCTAATCTACTCGGCCTAGTCTCAATTTCTTCACATAGGCCAACTTTCCAGGACCCAGGAAGCCCAGCGGAGGGTAAGGGAGTAGGGCAGTTCATAAAAAACTTTAAATAAATAAATAAATAAATAAGCAAGCCTGCTCTACTGAATTGAAATTTCAGCCTTTACAACATAGGAAAATGGCCAAGTAAACAGCTATTTTTGTGGAGGAGGGTCAAGATATTAACTGATATGCATGAAATTTCACCTACAGCTATATAATCCCTAGTGTAGTAAGATAAGACCTTTGGAGCAGGCATTTTTTTTTTTAAAGTTTTTTATGAACCGCCCTAGTAGGGCAGTAATTGTTCCTTGATAATTTGTCACCCCCCTCCATGATGGTACCTGGGGCAGGGGGTCCCCGCCCCCTTTTCCTACACCCCTGGATAAAAGACAATGGACTAGCTGCATGAGAAAAGGAAAGAGTAAGTAAATGCAGGTAAAAGGACTGGCTCTCAGGTGAGACCTAATGCTTAAGGCAGTCTGAGATCACTTATGCTTGAAAGTTAAGATACTTTCATGCATTAGAATCAATATCTCTATATGTGTTGCTTTTTCTTTGATGTGTGCTTTAGTTGTAATTATTGTTTTTAAATCCTGCTAACTTGTCTCATCTATCACTGCTTTGTTCAGATGGTGGGGGGGGAGGTACTCCAATGGACTCCAGGTGTACATGCCTTTAAATAGGGTAGTATGATCCCTGTTGGGGTCATATTATAAGATAACTCCCAAAAATTATGCAACCCTGTGCCATATGAGGCAATATACTGTTTCGCCTAGGAAGCATTTTTATAGCAATTTCCCTTAAAGTAGCCTTAGAGCTATAGGATGTTGCATAGTCTGCCATAGGACTGGCTAAGAAGCAGTCACAAAATATGTGATCACCATAATTGAAGAGAGGCTATAATAGAGTTGAAAATGGAAACATCACACATGTTTTATGGGGGTAACATTGAATAAACTTAGGAGGGGACAGGGAACATTCAGAGGAATAGACAGCGGTGAAACACAAGTAGTCATAGCTACTTCAATTTTAAAATAGGAAAGAGGCTGTCCTTCGTTTTCCTAATTTATTATTAAAGTGTTTGAAAATTAAGATTCCTTGCATATTTTCTATTGTAGTCATGCAAAGTTACATAAATCACAATTGGTTTTTAGAAAGATACTTCATAAGACTATATTTCTGATAATCTAAATGTCTTCAGTTTGATAGAATTTTTTAACAAGATGAAGAAATGGGAAGATATGGCAAATCTACCCTCCCAGTTCAGAGAACGTACCACAAGATTAGAAAGAAACTTTACAGTTTCTGCTGTAATTTTTAAGAAGTATGAACCCATTTTTCAGGATATTTTCAAGTACCCTCAAGATGACCAACCACGCCAGCAGAGAGGAAGAAAACAAAGGTATGGATTTCTTATATTAATTAAGGTATTAATACATTGTTGTTGTTTAAAAAACTAAGATTTGTATTTGACCCCATTTAATTGGAAGTAAGTTGCGTGTTAGTTTCATTGTAACCTAAGTAAATATGTTTAGTACCTTTTGTTAGCTAACTTCTTAGGAAATGCCCTCCCCAATCCTTGCTTCGCTCACCTGCACTAGTTCACCTGTCTCCTTTCTCTGTCCCCACCATCAATTACTCTCCTGCTTCTAAGTGTCTTTCCAGGCTTCTGACTGATGGGCAAAATTAGATGGCCATGCATACTCTCTGTATCCTTGCCCTGTTTAATGAAACAAAGAACTATGAGGACTGTGAGTGCTGCACAATCTCCCTCCTAGCCCGAAAGCTCATGAGCTGTCAATCTAGAAGGAAAAGAATAAGGAAATCTATGTGTGCAGCATTCACAATACAGCCCAAAGTGTCTCTGACTTTTCTATAGGAGTGGTATATTTTTGAGATCCTTCATCGTATAAATGAAAATATAATAATTTGTTTCTTTTTATGGCATCATTGCTAAAAAGGAGACAGCCTTGCACAGTCTCTGAAGTTTTTCAGTTTTCCTGGGTGCTGTTTGTTTATGCAAAAGGTAAGAACTGATATTTAATATTGTGTTCCATAGCCTTCATGATACTATCTTTTAAGAGGTTTGATGATAGCAATGCATCTTAATAATTGCTCCAAAGCTGTAGAATGATCTTTCTTTCATAACTGCCTCCTTCTTCATTTGGATTTTGACTTGGTTAGCTAGTCTTCTGCTTTTTCCTTAAAAAAAAAAAAGGTGTAATTAATATGGCCACCCACGCTTCCCTTACATAGTGAGGGATGCTGTCCCTGTTTTGATGGTGTTGGTTTGTCTTTCTTTATTCAATTTTTACCCCTCCCCTCCTCACAAAGGAACCCATAGTGTTAAACACATCAGTAATAAGATTGTTTGTTTAGTATTTAAAACAAACAAATCCACAGCATCATTGTCTCAAACAGTGATTTCAGGGTTTCCAAGAACAGTATCTTTCCGTCCATCAAATATCTGGGTAAAGAGGGATGGTTTTCAGTTCCTCTTGAAAGCTATTAAAAAGGAAGACTCACTTCACCAGGGAAAGCATTCCACAAATTGGGAACCACTACTGAAAAGTCCCTTTTATTACCATTTTCATTGTGTTTTGTTTCTCTGAGCTTATTGATTTCAGTCAACCTTGCTCCCAGTTAAGTACACATAAGATTGTATCTTTAATACAGTCTTGCTTGTACTGATGTTTGGCTATCTGAAAATTGGCTGAAAGCTCTCCCTTTTAAAGCTTGATGGGAAATAGCATAGCCATTCTTCTTGTTCTCTTTAACAAGCTTGGAATTATGGGTGTTGGCTGTTAAATGGGACCTCTGTTTTAACCTTGTGTATAGATTTATCTTAAGTGTCTCTAATTTGTCTGAAGGTATGAAGTGTCTATATAATTTGTGGAAGAGGCTTTGGTTTACACCCATTGTAGACTGTTGTCCTAACAATTCTTACACTCCTGATGGCTTAAATCAACTATAATACAAGTACAAAAAAGTTGTTGTCTAAACTGAGTATTTCTATTGGCTTTAAGCATCTAGTCCTACTTTATGTGCTGCTTTATTTGTAGTGATAACTGTTGACAAAAGGTTGACTGAGTAAATATACAACATTCTTAATCTGTTGTTACAATGTAAGAAAATAATATGAGCATCACAGCTCATTGAAATGGAATACAGTTCCTAGAATGTGTTCTGTTTCAAAACCCACCATGAATTTGTTTTCAAAGGAAAAAAGAACTGTTATTTTCTTGCTGAGATTCATACCAGTTGAGCAGGGGTGGGCAAGAAGGTATATTGAGATCTACTGGTAGATCTCTGGATGATTTGAAGTAGGTTGGCAAGGATTTCTGACTCTCTGTAGTTTAACATCTCCCTGTGAGCTGAATTCTGATACTCAAAACAAATTTATTGACTCATAATTCTTTTCTTCTATGCCTTTTGTACTTGGCTCTGGATAGTGAATCTTGGGTTTCAAAACCAAAGTAGATATTGCAACCCTGAAAACTGCCCGCTTCTGCAAGTAAAGTACAGAATAATTGCTTGGACAATGATTCTAAAAAGGGAGACTGATGGAAGCAAATTGACTAGGATTATAGGGGTTAGTGTCAGAAACTACAGGACTTTTTGTCTATCTCTTTTTTAATAACCTTTTTATTTTTAAGTATTAAAGACTTGCAATTTAATGAGCACTATTAATGAGCTGCTGTCTTCTAGCTTATTATTCAGTCCATGAGAACATGCTTTTTGTTGTTGTTGCAAGAATGGCAGATACCTCCCATGGAATACTTAAGGCTCTAAAATGGGATAATGTAGCTTGTAAACTGTGAAATGGAGTTTCACATGCACAGGCTTCATTTGCTTTTGACAAATAGCCATGGGACCTTGTTTGCACTGTTTTTGAGGGTTTCTTCTGCGTTTATCATGGCAACCACATTTCAAGGGCAAGTTTGGGCTTGCCTGTGTGACCAGCTTTGCTTAAAGATAAGCACTTGCAACTTCCTTTCTCTGCACAGAAAGTAATATAGATTTATTGCTTGCTACTTCTGGTGCAGATGAATTAGCCTCTTGCCTAATGTGTGCGGTAAGACAAGTGCTAAGGTACTGTAAACTAGCATAGTATTAACAATACAGTTGCTGATGATTAGTTATTCTGCTTCTCAGATTTTAAGTAATTTAGTATTATCTGTGGTTTCTTTAAGGTGGAAATGTTCTTTATTTGAGGCAGCAATTAAACAGTAGCAGTATTCTCACTTTTTTGCTATTTATTTTTTTTAAAGGAAAATAGCAAATAAGAAATTAGAGAGTAATATGGCTGAACTTTGAAATATCAGTTGTCCTAACTGGAAGTTATTATATGTACAGTTTTTAGTTTATAGTATTACAGTATTAATGTAAATAATCTGTAATTTACATGACAACAGTTTTAAATCTGATGTCAGTAGGTGTCTGATCCATGCATTTATATTTATAATGTATTTACATACCTGTTCCAGTATTGCATATGCACATGGATTAATGAACACTGTTGATGCTAAGCTGGTGCTCTTCAGATGTTGTTGGAGTACAACTCCCATTTAATTCTGATCACCACTTGTGCTGTCTGGGCTGTTGGAAGTTGGAGTCCAAAACATTTAGAGGGCAGCAGGTTGGAGAAGTCTAGTTTATTCTATGAGAAATTTTCTAAGGATTGCACTCATCTTGTTAAAGTTTGGAGCGCTTTTTAATCAACATTTCTTTATAATACGTTGTAGGATATCATAACACAAATTGATTTCTAAACAGTGAGAACTTAAGTACAGTAAGAAAGGAGTAATATTTTTACATTAACATTAAAACTTCTAAAAAGGAGCATGTAATATTTCAGAATGCATTTTTATATTTACCCAGAGGGAATACTGAACATTTTCCCATGCTTTATTTTTCAGTCAAATCTTTTTTGATAGTAACAATGAATGATGTATGTGTTTTTAAAAGATTCATGAGTAAAGGACTGTAAGGTAATATTGGTAATTGTCCAATCTTAAAATTTACGGTCATTTGCATTTTTTTGAGAATTCTGAAATCTTCTTAAATGTAATTCAAATCTTATTTGTAATCTCTCAGGCAATTTCCCTATGATCAGTGATGACTTGGTCAATTCCTACCATCTATTATTATGTGTCCTTGATCTAGTCTATGGAAATGCTCTCCAGTGCCCAAATCGTAAGGAGCTTCTGAATCCTAGTTTTAAAGGTACGTTTTAAAAATCTCTTTATAATGTTTCTCATGGTATGCCACAAATTCATTATTTTGATTTTTTTTTAAAAAAACACCTTGCTTTTTTTAGTTTGGCTTTGAGTGTAGTGAACCAAATATTACACTGAAAGATTAGGTGCGCCACACTGAGCGGAACTCTAAAAAGGATTAAATATAATGCAGGTTGTTCACCCTTTTGCTTTATCTGCACATTTAATTGTTCTCTAACTTTGCCATAGAAAATACAGCAGGCCAAAGAACATATTGTTTATCCATACACAGGGCTGGATTAATGAAAAGTGAAGGGAGAGAGCATGGTTTGTATCATAGTCTTCAAGAAACAAAAATTCCTTCATAAAACAGCTAATTGATTCACACAAAAAAGCCCAAATGTTTGCCGCACTGACAGCTATGGTCGGGGAATGAATACTGATTTTAAACTCTGAATCATAGATTTTAGTTGAGACAGTGTTATTTTTAATATAAATAAGTATATAGGGAATTTTCAATTTTGCCTACTGCGTCCACTCCTTGGTGCTGATGTAGTACCTATTGCTGATGTTATTTCTGTTGTCTGGTCTTTGACTGCAATAAAGATTGATTGAGTGTTGGAATTTTTTTTCATATTAAAATTTAATAAGCCTGGAGCATGCAAAATATTTTTACTCCTCTCTTCCCCTCCCTACTCCCGATGCTACTTGATATCATAGGGCTGCCTGAAGACTTCCATAGTAAAGATTTTAAGGTGTTGTCTGAAACTCCTTGCATCATTGAAAAGCTCTGCTCCTTACATGATGGTTTAGTATTGGAAGCCAAGGGTATAAAAGAACATTTTTGGAAGCCCTATGTGAGGAAACTTTTTGAGAAAAAGGTATGTAACTAATTTTAAAACTTTATGCTTCATTGATGATTTGTCATTATTCCATTGCTTGCACTTAACACTAGTTCTGTTTTCTTGTAGATTCTAAAGGGAAAGGAAGAAAATCTGATGGGCTTACTGGATCCTGGAAACTTTGGAGAAAGCTTGTGAGTTTTGTAGAACAATAGCATTGGTAGTCACAGAATTTGCTGGATACAGAGGTTCCATTAGTTTGCTCTCAATCTGTCACAACATCCCTCACCTCTTAGAGCTAAGTTTTGAAGCCCAGTCTATCACTGGTAATGGTACAAAATTTGCTCCTGAAAATCACCATATTTTGAACCACTCAGTTTTAGTTACTTGTGAAATCCTGGGCTATAATTTTTTAGCTTCCTCAAATGCATTTGTACCTTTTTAAGGTATTTTAAACAGGAGCATCCTTGACAAATTGCCTAAATGTATGTATGTGTTGGTGTGGGTGTGTATGTATGTATGTACAGTGGTACCTTGGTTTAAGAACAGTCCTGTTTACGAACGATTCGGTTTACGAACTCCGCAAAACTGGAAGTAGTGTCCCGGTTTGCAAACTTAACACGGTCTCAGAATGGAATCCAAACAGTGGAAGGGCACCAGCAGCAGGAGGCCTCAATAGGGAAAGTGCGCCTCGGTTTAAGAACAGTTTTGTTTTAAGAACGGACTTCTGGAATGGATTAAGTTCGTAAACCGAGGTACCACTGTATATATATATATATGTTTATTAAATTTCTATCCCACCCCTTCTTCCAATCATCCATTTGCCTTTGAATGTGCACCAAAGTCCCAAGGTTAGTTGAGTTTTCCTAGCTCTCTTTTCACCTTGAAATATTAAAAGTCAGTGGTTGGACCCTAGTTTTCTTTCTGTCTCCCCCTTTTCCTTTAACCCCCAAAAATCTGCTTCTAGGGGTTGGGAGATTTGGGGAGATGGTGTGGTGAAGAGGGTTGCAGATATCTCCTCCCCACCCCCTTCCTCTACATTAACAAATGATCAACTTAAGATCCAAATTAGTTCCTATGTTTGCATTATCATAACTTGCTTCAAGATAAATCTGGGGGATGAACAAGCGTTTTGTCCAAACATGTAGCTGCTGGACCCTGGCTTAATATCTTGGCTTCGGTTACATTTAATGGAAGACTTCCTGGTTTGATTGCTTGCCTGGGGAAGCAAGGAACAAGGCATCTGCATATGTACCTGAAAGGTTAATCCATATCTTGGCTTCATAAACTAGAGAGGTGATAATCTGAGCAGAGCAGTTCTGTCAGCAGTTTCATCTTATACAGTTAGATATCTGCTGGTTACTTACATTATATTTTGATAGTTCTCAGTAGGGCTTTTTCAACTGGAACTCACCAAAACCCAGTTCTGGTCCCCCTCCATAGTCATTACAGTGGTACCTCGTGTTACGGACGGGATCTGTTCTGGAGGGCCATCTGTAACGTGAAATGTCCACACTTCAAAGCACTGCGTCTGCGCAGGCGCACAGCGCAATTTGGCGCTTCTGGGCAGGCACGAGCAACAAAACCCGGAAGTAACCCATTCCAGTACTTCCGAGTTGCCACAGGACATAACGCAAAAAGATGCAACATGAAGCGGACGCGACATGAGGTATGACTATAAGAGAACAAGGAGGGGTGTTCATGGTGAGTTCCGGCACCTCTTTTTCTAGAAAAATAGTGCTGATTCTCACTATTTAGATTGATGCCATAACAAAAGTCTCATTTTTAATTATTATTTTGAGGAAATAAATGTTGGCTTAGTAGTTACACTTTGTAAAAGTTATCATAGAAGGAATCAAAGATCCAACAGTTTTCTGTGGTAACACTTTTTAGAAATTCTAACCCTGTTTGACTTTTCTCATGACAGAAGCGAAAAGGCCTAGGAAGACCCTTTTTACTGAAACGCTTCCCTCTGTTCTGTTGCAGTCACTTATATTTTGAGTACTCAACACTGTTTATCTCTCCCCCCACACCCCCAAATATTATAGCAAAGCCATCAACAAGGCCTATGAGGAGTACATATTGTCAGTTGGAAATCTAGATGAGCGAATATTTCTTGGAGATGATGCAGATGAAGAGATAGGAACCTTGCGAAGATGCTTAAATACAGCCTCAGGCATGGAAACAGCCAAAAGAGTTCAAGTGAAATATAATCTGCAGGAGCATTTTGAACGAGTGAGTATAGTGTGGTCTGTCGTGTGTTCTATTGGTGAGTTGTTGTCTGTCCTTAGAATAGTCCTAGTAACATATTGCCCATGGTCAGAATTACATCTCTGGGTGTATTTGTTTCTCTGGTGCATTTCCAGGCCCAAATCAAAGTAAAGGTTTTAAGCTTTACAGTAATAACTTTAAGATCTTCTGCTGTGCTCACCCTCAGGTTGGCAAGGTGGGTTGCCAGGATGGAAATGCACCTCTTTATGGTGGTCCCACAGCCATGCTGGCCCTTCCATTGGGCCAGCACCAAATCTCTATGTTGCAGACTTCGGGAAAGGCCCTGAAGATGTACCTATTCCAGACATGATGCTTGTTAACCAAGTGAGGGTCTCACTCAGGCTTCCTCAAACTTGGCCCTCCCAAATGTTTTTGGCCTACAACTCCCATGATCCCTAGCTAGCAGGACCAGTGGTCAGAGATGATGGGAATTGTAGCTTCAGAACATCTGGAGGGCCGAGTTTGAGGAAGCCTGGTCTAACTGAATTACATTCTCTCCAATTTTGTTAAGTGTTGATTTATAGCATTTTGAAGTTTTAATTTTAACCTTTATCTCTTATTTTGCTTGTAAGCTCTTTAGATGGGGTTTGACCCAGAAAAGCGGCCTAGAAATATTTTAAATCATGAAATAATTAATTTTTATGTAATCATTGTAGTAACTTAAGTTCTTGAAATATTTTCATGTTGCTGCTGTTTAGGCAAAATCCTTTAGAATAGCAACACCTCTTACTGGTCGAAAGTATATAAAGGAGAGCGACCCGTGTACAAGTCCCATTTCCATAGCCACATACAGCTTGACCCGACTTCATACAATGCTGACAGGCCTGAAAAATGCCCCTAGTGAAAATCTTGAGCAGATTTTCAGGTTAGTAGAATCACTGCTTTAAAATGAGTTGATCTAATCTTCCTGGAACATTACGGACCGGAAAGCCAAATATAGAAAACAAGAATTTTTAGATTAATTGAAGGAGTTTGAAATTATATTACTTCAGAATACATAGTATTGTGATCACAGATGCATGAACAGCTTTGTCATTTCCCCCCTCTCTCCATTTGTGCAGAGATACAGTTCTCTGGTAACCTTTTAAGATTACATGTAGCCTCTTTGTGTATAAGAAAGCGTACACTGTGTTCTTTTTATGCTTCCCTATTCTTGGATGAAATAACGACACCTGTTTTTATAACTGGCATTTAATGGTATTTCATTACCATGGTAAATCAGTTTATTTGTTGGAAATGCAACACAACAAAATGTAATAAAATTAGCAAAACTAAACATGCACAGTTCCATCTTGTGGTGGCATTTCATGCTAGTCCTACTCACAGTAGACCCATTGAAGTTAATGGACTAGGCTAACATAGGTTTGTTAGTTTCAGTAGGTCTACCCTAAGTAGACCCTGGCTGAAGGCAGTATGTTAAAAATAAAATAATTCTATGAACAATGGCTGGATAAAAGTGGTATTACTTCATGGTGTTCTGAAAAATCATATCACCCCTTTCTTCTTAATTTACAAAAAAAAATAAAATTCATTTTTTTCTGGCCAGGGCTTGTTCCAGGGATCCTTCTTTGTCAATTGCCAACAGAGTGAAAGAAATGTATGACATTTATTGTCAGAGAACACCGTCACAGGGAGAACCTGGTAGCTTCTCTAAAGGTAAGGCCATACTATGCTCTTATATAAAGCAACTTCCATTGTGTTCTGATATTTCCAGTGATCCCTGTACACAGTGCAGCTAGTATTTGAAAGCTGCCTGGCCTTTGAACATGTGTTCTGTCCGAAAACTGATCCATCTGGAAATAGTGCAGTATAGCCTTATAAGAACATGTTTGTCATTTCTATTTGTTTCAAGGGATTTAAAAGTAATTATTGTTGTTTGGAAGCATTCCCCTCCCCCATTATGATTCTTTTTAATGGCAGCTGACGAAATCTAGCCCCAAGTCTTGAATTTCTTTTCTTAATGTGCAGAAATTGTTGGAAAACACTTTCGTCTTGCTGAGGTCCTTTATTATAAGGTATTGGAGTCTGTCATTGAGCAAGAAAAGAGAAGACTAGGAGATGCTGATTTATCTGTAAGTAAGTCAGAATAGTTCACATAAATTTTCAACATTTTTTATTTCAAAAGAAACTAATACAAAATGAAATACTTACCTACAATAAGAATTATGGTAATCAGTCCATAAGCTGGCACCAATTTAGTCATTGTTTTCTGCAGGGTCTTTAGGATTGCCCAACCTCATAGTTTGTGTAAACATAATGTTAAACTAATGAAATTTCTGTTGCCTTAAGATCAAAGCAGTTTATCCTCTTCTATGCAATAGTATAACCTCTCCTCCAGAGAAATTGCTATGTAAGTTGCAGTCTCCATGACAGTGAATAAAATGGTCATTTTAAAATGCTCATATATATAAACCTTGGCAGTATTAAAAACATTTAATATTGTTGACAGGTATTGTTATCCCAGTTGTCCCAGAATAACCAACAGACGCTGGCTGCATGATAAGTCCGTTGCCCAGAAGGGATCTGTCTTTATAAGTGGATGAGACCTGTGAGGTGTGCATATTCCTCAACAAAGAAATGCTGCCTTCCTAAATTGAAATTAAATGAGGAGTCTGTGTGCAGAAGATTCATGAACATTGGTCTTCCTGTCCTAGTGATTGGCCATAACCATGAGGTTTAGGAACGAGTGATAGAGATGCATAACTCAGACATTTTCCTTTGCCTGCTCAGTGTCAACTTCCACCTTACTGGTGCAAATTAGTTAGTGGCGAATTATATCGTGTTAGATTTTTTAAAGGACTTGCTTGAATGAAGAAATGCTTTTTGCGTTTTCATGCTGAACTGATTGAATTCTTCACTGTACAACACTTTTTCTATCCTAGGGGATTCTGGAGCATGATGTGTTTCACAGATCTCTCATGGCTTGCTGCCTTGAGATAATTATTTACTCTTACAAAGCAACTGATAGTTTCCCATTCATCGCCGATATATTTGATGTTCCTGCCTTTCACTTTTATAAGGTGAATTATTTTTTACCATTTGCTCTGACTTCTAAGAGTCAGCAAGGAAAATGTTATAATTTACTAAGAAGTTAACACCTTTTAATTTTTGAAAATGCTATTGAATTTCATAGTAGTTTCAAAGACATAACAATGTATGTTTGTTTAAACTTGCAATATTTGTTATAGGTGATAGAGATTCTGATTAGAGCAGAAGATGGCCTTTGCAGAGAGGTAGTGAAGCACCTCAATCACATCGAAGAGCAGATTTTAGAAAGTCTGGCATGGAAAGCGGAATCACCGTTGTGGGACAAAATCAAAGAAAATGAAAATAAAGTTCCCACATGTGAGGAGGTAAAATACGGGGCTTATCTGCCGTGTGTGTATATACTTCTTTATTTAGTACTTGGGAATTTATTCTGCCTGTTTAACCGAAATGGGAAGGATTTAGCCCCCGTTCATCAGCTGAGAAGCAGAGGGCTGACTCCTGTTTTTGCAGTCTGTCTGAATTGAACCCCACACACCTGTCAGTCAGATTCTAAGCCCAGCCTGTGGAGAGTTACCATCAACTTAACCCTAAACCAGCTCTATCCAACCTATTACCCTATGGAAGTTTCAGGCTACAACTCCCATCATCCTTGATGGTTGGCCATTCTGGCTGGGGCTGATAAGAGCTGTGGTCAGCAATCATTGCCCCTCTCCCCTACCCCGTTCCTCTACTGAGACAGCTCCTTAAAAACTGTCTGTGGTGTTTGCCAGCAGTGCTTTTTCTTGTAGTCAGTGAAGCTATTTAGGATGCATGGATTCAGGTGTTCAGCCAATTCTACATTAAAACTGCCAGCAGCTTGGCCTCTAGGAATATAATGGGCACAAACATCCCTTCAGTCTTCATGTCCTGCTATTGGTCAATAATGGGTCCTCCTTTCCTTCAGACATCATTTGATTGTTCAGTATCTCATTTTCTTTGCCCAGTAAGAGCAAGAGGGTGAGTGAAATGGGGGGAGATTATTTGCCAGCAGGCTTATCATATAGGTTTAAGCAGACATTCATACAGATCCAGCTCATTGTCCCTCACTACTTTCTGCAAGAAAACACTGAACCAGCAATTTTTAAGAAAATCTAAAGATGTACATTAAGTAAAGAACTATTCCCCTCCAATGTGCCCAACTGATCTAGTTCTATTAAAATGTCATTGAAGTCTGTCACAGCAGTCCAGGATTATTACTGGAATTTCTGGCTCCTGCATGAAGTAACTAGAAAACAGATTAATCGTGTTTATTTAACTGGTACTGTGGCTGCAGTCTTGTACCACCTTCCTGTGAGTAAGTACCATTGAATTAAATAGGACTTGCTTCTGAGTAGACATGTATAGTAGGCAGTAAGGCACAGATCAGATGTCATGTTTCTAGATATCTCAACCATGCTATGAGATTGTGTACTTTCCTGTTCCTACATGTTTATTTATTTAAATAAATGTATGGTCTCTTAAAAAAAAGAAAACAGATCAGATTAAAATCCCCCTTCCCAGTTTGCTTATAACTGGAATTTTCTATTATATTTATATCCCAACTTACTATTGTTACAGCTTCCTAGGGTTTTCCAAAACTGTTGTTCAAATCTTGGGTTGCAGGGAAGACTGGGACATCATTATCCACAGTTTGCACTAGATTAAAACCATGATTTGAAGCAATTTTGGTAAATGGTAACTCCTGTTTTGGACATAACAGTGGAGGTTAAAAAATCAACAGAAAGCAGCAGGGAGAAAAAACTCTAAAAGGCTGCAGAATGTTCTTCTAATGGCTGAACTGGACTACAGAGAGCAACATTTTTAAAGAGTTTTTGCAAGGATAAAAAATGCATGAATCTTATGTTTTTAGGTAATGCCATCTCAGTATTTTGAAAAGTCAAATGGGAACAGTGTGGCAGGTTCCCCTTTAACCCCAAGGAGGCTGAATGAGATTCGTGCTGAAACTGGAACACTGGGAAAGGGTAAGATTTACTCAGCTTATCACAAGGTGCATCTTGTCTCAGTGTTTGCACATCAAGAATATTACTACTTAAACACCGCCTCATATTGGACAGGGCATGATCATATTGGGAAAAAGGCCTGAGGATGATAATCAGCTGTGATTTAGGTTGGCGTATTCACAAGGAGCATTCTCTTCCATGAAATTGACATAGTAAAATAATCTGACAACCTTGCCACATCCAAAATGTACATGAGCCCTTAATCTGATGTTTTGAGTGGGATTAAACTTTTAACAAGGCAGCATTGGATTACATGCAATTCTCCCCCCACTTTCTTTGTCAATCTGCAGGCCTTTCATCTTCTCCAACCACGCTTTATGAGAGATACAGCTCTCCGACAAGTAACCCTACGAGGAGAAGGCTCTTTGTTGATAATGACCCCCCTACTGAGGCCACTCGGACTCCTGTGAGGGTCTCCCAGCAGCCCGTGATCAGTACAATGTCTGTTCAGAACGTCTCCACAGAAACAATACCTGTCACTCCTGTGCCTGGGCAGACTTTAGTAACTGTAGCGACCGCAACTGTGACTGCGAATAATGGACAGACAGTTACAATACCGGTACAAGGTAAGGAGGATGCATGGTCTTTGCAAGATGTAGGAAATAACCATTACGGTGGCTCCCAGTGCCATCGTTGGGGTGTGGATTGTAGTGAAGTGGGTGAATCATATAATTGAAGAGTTTGAAGGTACCCCTTCTCAGTAGGGACCCTCTTAGGAGTTCCTCCACCCTCAGAAGGGGGGGTGACGGCGTGTGGCAGCCCACAAGAGTGCGTACTCTGTGGCAACCCCTAAATAGTGGAATTCCCTCCCCACGAAAGTATGTTTGAACCTTCTGCCATATAACGAAGGTGCAACTTTTAACCCTGACCTTTGACACTTGAGGTATCTATTTTTAGACCAGGGTGAGAGGGTCTGTAGGGTAGAAGTAAGAGAGTAAATAGTGTCCCCCAAATTCAGACTTCCCAGTACGCAAGCTTCTTTCAGCCCCAGAAGCAAATTGGCTTCCCCCCTTTTTCTCAAATTTCAGTATGTACATTTTCATATACTTCCCTAAGTAGTAGGAACCTTTTGTTCCAAATGTTTCTGGATTTTCTCCCAGCGGTCCCTTTGCAGCATTTATTTGCTCTTCCTTTTACAGGCATTGCCAATGAAAATGGAGGAATAACTTTCATTCCAGTCCAGGTCAACGTAAGTGGGCAGGCCCAGCCACTGCCCAGTTCCATCCAGCCTCTCAGTGCCCAGACCCTTGCTGGGACTCTCAGTACTCAACAAATCACTGGCACAGCCCTTCAGTTACAAGGCCAGTTCCAGCAGATTGCCCTTCCCGGAGAGCGACAAAAGCAGCAAATGGGCAGTAGCAGTGCTAAGTCCAGGAAGGCCGGCTCACTCGCACTCTTCTTTAGAAAGGTACATCCAGCATAGAAAATCACATGTGTCACTACAGTGCTGACTTGGCTGGAAATCCAAGCTTGCTTTCTTAGGGTAAGAACATCCTCAGACAGGGAGATGTGTATGATAAACTCAGACCATTTTTTTCTAAGTCTACTCTGCCCATCGTAAATAAGAGTTCAAAATCCACATTGTTCTAGCTGATTTTACTGCAGCATTCCTCAGTCCTCAGTCATGTTCAGACATATTAGTTTGAACTTCATACAATCTCTTCCATTTTTATGATGGTGATTTAGAAGAGGTTGTTGTGCCTTTCACATTTATACAGAGTACCACCCCATAACTGCTTCTTATTGATTGATTGAATCTGCAAAGGGCATTTTTGTCTGCCAGCCAACCAGATGTTCTCCTAGAAAGGGATCCCTCTCTTCATCCCTCCCAACCCATTTTCCACCCCCATAGCATTCCCTGGCTTTGCATTCCTGTTAAAAAGGGGACTTGGTTCTTCCTTGCTTGCTTTCCAGCCACCTTTTTGAAAAATAATAGTTGAAGTGAAATTTTGTTGATAAAATCGGGTATATAAGCTTAAGGAATACAACTCACATATGTTAGGTTTGTGACCATAGTAAAGCATTGTTTTTATAACAGGGATCAACATTTTTTGTATCAGTTCCAATGTTCATTACAGTCTATTAACTAAGAAACAAAAAGCACAAAATAGAAAACCCAGCCTCAGTAGAACCCGTTATTAACACTACTCACTCCTGAACAGGCTGGCTATTGCTCAGGCAGGTCAACTTTAGACAACTGCTTTATACTCAAACATATTATTGATAAACATGTCTTGCAATTCCAGCTAAATATTTATGTGGCTTTCATTGATTTGAAAGCTGCTTTCAATTCTATCTTTTGGGAGCAAACTATAATCAAGGGGGGTTGATATGCAGCTTTTCAAATACATAATGGTACTATATTCTGGCACAAATTTGCGAGTTTGAATAAATGGAGGGCATTATCTGACACTGTTCCAGTTACAAAAGGAGTAAGACAAGGATGTCTACTTGCCCCCCTTCAATATATTTATAAATGATGTAGCTGAGTTTCTAAGAGGTGTTCACTGTTTTCCAGTAAAAATCAGAAATATTTAGTCCTCCTTTATGCAGATGATGCAATCCTGATTTCCTGCACCCAATTGGGCTTGCACGGACTGCTGAATTGGTTCAGCTTGTATTGCAAGAATGAGCATCTTACTATAAATTCCCAAAAAACAAAAGTTATGTATGATATTTGGCAAATCCAAGAAAACTCACAATTGGTCACTCAATGGAAATACACGGGAGCAAGTATTCTCTTTTAAGTATCTCAGTGTGGTCTTTCAGTGGACAGGGAAATGGTCTGCACAGGTCCACTCAAGCACCCTATTAGCTGGTAGAATTTGAAATGGACTATTACAATTCCACCTTACAAAAGGGGGCAACTTGGTTCAGCCTACTGAACTTTGTAAGCCTAGGGTGTTGCCAAAGTTGTTATTTGGAGCACCACTGTGGGCCATGACTAATTTAGATCACTGGAGATAGTGCAGAACAATTTTTTACAACCTCTATCTTTCTTAGGAACTCCTTTATGTTGGCCTGTCCAATCCGCTAATGGAAGGACATTTAGTCTTGTCTGTGTAAAGACTATCATTTCAACATTTGGTAAATCTACCTTGGCAGAGATGGATAGAGTGGAATAAAAAAAAGCATAAATTTGTTAGATTGACAAATCCTGATACCTGAAGGGAAGGTTGTCTTTTGCAAAGACTTGTTTTTTGTTGTCTGATGTAGAGAGGTATATTTCCTTTAGAACATCCACATATCTTGCCACGGCTTTACAAATTTGTGTAATAAAACTTAAAAGGGGGAATGGGAAATGATTTATCTTCTAAAGGTCAAGGAGTAAAAATGTAAACCACTACAGTGGTACCTTGGTTTACAACCATAATCTGTTCCGGAGGTCTGGTTGTAAACCAAAATAGGTTGTAACCCAAGGCACGCTTTCGCCAATGGGGCCCTCCCCCCCCCAAAAAAAAATTGGTTGTAATTTTAAAAAATGGGTTGTAATCCAAAAAATGGGACACACACTTCAAGGTTTGACGTGGTTGTAATCCAAGATAGTTTTAAACCAAAGCGGTTGCAAACCAAGGTACCACTGTATTAGTCGCAGTATTCTTTTTAGCATTTTTATGTGTGTAATGGCTGTTTGCTAAACACAATAAACCAAACTGTCTAACAGGGACTAACAGTCATAGCAGTTCTGAGAAGGAAATGACAATATTCAGACATTTTGCCACTTGTTTGGTAATTATTTATTACCCCTTTCAAGGAAAATACTTCAAAAGGGTCTCTTTGAATTGACCAAGAAACTTCATCTTAAGAATTATGCATTTTCTTAACTCCATTATAAAATCCACAGTAATAGAACAAACAACAGATGGTTTCAGTCTCTGAATGTTTACAGCACCTATCCTTGATAGGATCGTTGGAGGGTAAAACATTAAAACAGAACAAAAAAAGTTCTCTTACACTTTTGTTTAGTTAGAAAATTTAGATACGGCATACCTTAGTTAAAAATACCAAGGTAGGACCAGTGACCTTAGTGTACATGGTTCATTAACAGATATGAAACACAGAATTCTATAAACACCTAATATAGGGTCATTCTGACAGTCTCCTCTCTGTATTAGGTATTCCACTTAGCAAGCATCCGTCTGCGGGATCTCTGTCTTAAACTGGATATTTCGGATGAGCTGAGGAAGAAAATATGGACATGTTTTGAGTTTTCGCTGGTACAGTGCTCTGAACTCATGATGGACCGGCATTTAGACCAGCTCTTAATGTGTGCCATTTATGTAATAGCAAAGGTAAAGGTTCACAAAAGGTACATTTTGAGGGGGGTGCTAAATAACTTGAAAGAAGAGAGATCTAGTTATGGCAGTGAATCCCCCTCTTGTGTTTTAGGTTACAAAAGAAGACACATCGTTTCAGAACATCATGCGCTGCTATAGGACCCAGCCACAAGCTAAGAGCCAAGTAAGTAGGTTTTTTGTTGGTTGGTTGGTTGGTTTTAAGCCAGTATGCATTAATGATCTTTTTTCCTTCTCATTTCACCATTTAAAGATTTTGCTAAATATAAATCAAACAAAACACGATAAATCAGATCCCAGTCAACTGAGGGCACTGGAAAACTTTCCAGGTCCCTACCCTGCCTGCCCCCCCCCCCCCGAAAGCCCACATCAGTGTAGAACACCCACTGAATATAATGACCCTAAGTTATTCGTGCCCATTAATTTCAATGGATCTAACTATGTGCAGTGCATACAGAAATTGATCATTGCTCACTAGGAATGTCCCATTGGAATGAATGGTCCAGGTTCTGATTGCAGCAGTTCATATAATTGAGCATATTTAGAGTTTTCCATAAAATAATTAACATTTATATATGAAGCTCTGTTTATATGAGACAAGGGAGTAATCTTCTGTAATTCTTCTCTTTCATCTACCACAACTTTGGCTTTTGGAAGGTGTATCGAAGTGTCCTGATTAAAGGCAGAAGACGAAGACATTCAGGCAACAGTGACAGCAATAACCAGCAGAATTCCCCGACTGAAAGAAATAAGGATAGAAGTAAGTGGCTGTAATATGTTTTGATGAAAGATTTGTCCCCTGCGGTTGCCCTACCTTTCTCTAGCTGAAGGAATCCTGAAAAAGGATGCAGCCATATGTGCACTTGCTTGAGAACAGGCCCCATCAAGCACAGTAGGGCTTATTTCTTTGACCATGGAGAGGACTGAACTGCATGGGAATCCAGAATTGGAATACTCTAGAGCAGTGGTTCCCAACTTTTTTGGCCATGCCCCACCTAAGCATCTCTAAAAGCCTGATGGCCTGCCCCCTGTGGCATATAATTCTTATTATTCAAAAAGTGAATTTCTATTCATGTAGAGGAAGCCTAAAAGGCCATTCACTGTTAACTCATTCTCAAATTTCCCCCTTAAAAATAAAATTTCCCCCCTGTGGGGCGTGTGCCCCATGTTGGGAATCACGGCTCTAGAGTGTCCCAGGCTTCCTGTAAGCTCTTGAGCTGCCTGCAAGACAGTTGTTGAGCAGAAAGAGCAGCACTTAGAAATCCTGGCATTCCAACAAAGGCCATATGAAAAAGCAGCTGGATAATCTGCACCTGCTTTAAAGCGTTATTGGCTGGGACTTTTTGATGATCATCCAGTAGCAAGAGGAAAATATTGATATGTATGTTTTGTTTAGCAAGTTCTTTAGAACTTGATGAAAAAACTTCCATTGTGCCTTCACAGCAAGCAGAGACTCCAGCCCAGTGATGAGATCTAGTAGCACCCTGCCAGTGCCACAGCCCAGCAGTGCTCCCCCTACTCCAACACGCTTGACTGGAGCAAACAGTGAAATTGAGGAAGAAGAGCGCGGAGACCTGATCCAGTTTTATAACAACGTCTATAGTGACCGAATTAAAGGCTTTGCCCTGAAGTACTCTTCATCCAATGGAGTAAGAAGCCTTTCCTGCTTCGTAATAAGTCTTATTAATGTCCGAAAAAACCAGCGTTGTACAGTCCACTTTGTGGTCCTAGAAACAAGGGTCCATTTCTGCTTTTAAAATAGTACCATAGACAGCGGCATTAATGCTTCTGAATACCAGTTGATGGAAACAATGGGAGGGGAGAGAGCTCTTGTGCTTAAGTCCTGCTTGTGGGTTTCCCACTGGTTGGCCACTGTGAGAACAGGATGCTGGACTAGAGGAGTCACTGGCCTGATCCAACAGGTCTTTTATTATGTTCTTACTTGTGAAGGATACATTTTGTTTTTGTGTGTTTACCTCCAAAGGACATTTGGGGGGCGGGTACAAACTATATTTATACCACATCTAGATTATAATAGTAAAAGGTCTATATCCAGCTCTAGAAATTGCACTGCTAGTAGGATTTCTTTTTTACTCTGCATCTAGACATAGTCTGTTATGCTAGGGTTGAGTCTCAAGCAGCAAAGCTTTAGCAATATTTGTTGCTTTTGAGTTAAATATGGGGGGCGGTTAAAAATGCATCTCTAGATATAAAATAGTGTTGCACAAGTGTACAGAGTAACATGAAACAAGACTTCTTGAACTGAACTACCCAGAATAGTTTTAAAACTAGTTACCATGTCTTGTTCTCTATAGGTTTGTCACTTGAACATCTTTGACATTTGTATATTTGATGCACTAGATAAATGCATACTGTGGAACACAGCATTCACTTTATGTGGTAAATGCAGGTCCTCTAATATTTCCTTAAATATTGAAATAAATATAATTGAGTTGAGTGCTGCTGAATCTATTCCAGTTTGGTTATCCCAGTGTGTGTATCTCAGCCTTACTGGTGCAAAAACAAAAGCATACTCTGAGTCATTTCATGGTGTGGATCACCATGCAATGACTCAAATGCATAACATCCTGGTTTCTCTGCTATGTGGATAACTGCAGATTAATTTTGCTATCTTTATATGACAGGCTGAAGCTCCTCCCCTGTCTCCATATCCTTTTGTAAGAAGTGGCTCTCCCCGCAGAATACAGCTTTCTCAGAATCACTCGATTTACATCTCCCCTCACAAAAACGAGTTTGCACTTTCTCCACGTGAGAAAATATTCTATTACTTTAGCAGCAGCCCATCAAAGGTAAACGTTTACTATTGATCTCCAAACTCTTTCATTAGCTAATAAGTTAAAGGTTTTAACAAGCTTAATTTTAATGAAATTGTAATTTAGCAAAATATTTATATATACCATTTTCTTTGTAACATTATAGCTTTTTGAGACTGGTGTTTTTTGTTATGTATGTGACACATGAATCAGATTCAGAAAATCAAAATGCCCTGTTTGACTTGAATGAGAAGTAGACAGCATTCAGTTGTTCTTTGTGGTATGTTTCAGAGGCTTCAAGAGATCAACAGTATGATTAGAACTGGAGAGACGTCGACAAAAAAGCGTGGCATTGTCCTGGAAGAGGGGGCTGAATCACCCGCCAAGCGCATCTGCCCAGAAAACCACACAGCCCTCCTGAGGAGGCTACAAGATGTGGCAAATGACAGAGGTTCTCACTGACCCTGGGGTTTTAGTTGTTCTTTTCCATCTGTTATGTTGCCAGTAGTGACAGAGCTTGCAATCCTAATATCTTTGAAGCACTTTCCATGGAGAAATGAAGTATTTGAGCCCTTTCCAAGGATGTGCTGCTTCTAGTACCAGGTGCACTGCAACTCTTGAAGAGGCTTCAGTCTACCTTACACCAGAGGACTGCAGTGCTATAATCCTACTGAGCTGGGAAGAAGTGGAGACTGTTTCCTCCAACAGTCTTGATGCTGGGACAGAAAAGGTCACACCCTCTCTTAACTTAGGTTATGTGAGTGGCAATGGCTGCAGTTAAAACCACAGCGGTTTAAATTTATTGGCTGAAGTGACTGACAAGTCCAGTAGGAACCCCGCGGATAACTATTTTTCCTACTAAATTGAGAACATTATTTTTTTGTGCTATTTAGTAAGCCTATCCGTGCAATGCTTGTAGTTTGTGGTATCAGGAGGGAAAGGGTAATTCAGATGGTGATGATGGGACTGATACTGTGACCTTGGCTACCTATTTCAGGAAACTTGCAGTACTGATGGCTCCAGCACACATAGCAGGCCGTAGTTAAGACTACACTGGAGCTAGACTAGAAATGGTATTTTAGGCAGTCTTTAGGAAAAATTAAGGTCATTCTTTCCTCGATGTCTTTTTCATGTGCCCTTCCAGTAATTAAGATAATAAGGGGGGTACTTTATGTATATACAACACTTTGGTTTTTAGCTGTGCAATGTTTTAAGTGAATTCCTACCAAGAGTAACTCTTAAACAGCTCTAAAGCATTCTTTCGAAATGCGGATTAGAGGTGTGTCTACTTCACAATGGCACTTTTTAAACAAAATTAAATAGCCAAACCATAATATAGAAGTTGTGCTGAATTGCCTAAATTGTATTTATTCTCAAAGTACACAGTGGTAATGCTCAGCTTCTATATGAAAATTTTCTAGGGTGTGATTACATGCCTTCCCACTTCAGCAGCTGTAGGCTTTTGCAGAAATGGCATACCATTACGTGGCAACAACGCAGGGATCCAAGTCCACTGCACTGCTTAACCTATATTAGACTGTTTTTACAAATTAGTACTTTTAAGAAGAAAATGGTGACATGGACTTGCCAGCAATCAGGCTGCACAAGGCAAAGCAGCTGAAATTTGTCATGAGCGAAACAAGCAAAAGGAGGCAGTGAAAAACTGTGCACAACGGGCCATCAAATGGGTGAGTTTTAAAGTAGTGAGATTACTCTTTTGATAACTGCCAGTGTTTCTGAACAGTGGCCATATTGTGTTTTAATGGTAGTGTACAAATGTTTGCAGCAAATCTACAGCAGTTTCAACCCTTTCTAAGATAAAATCAAAACTGTTTAAGCCTGCAGCGTTTTACTTCTGCTTTGTTAGGTGACCAGCTAACACATACATATACACTAGTAGTTTCTAGAACTTCCGCCAGCATTTATCTTAGGATATTGATTTATTGCTAGGCCTATGCCCTTTAGGGATATATTTAAAAAATCACTGCTGCAAAAACCTTTTTCTTTAAGTAGACCAGTAATCTGTCACCAAGGAACTACTGTCTCAGGCTACACCCCTGCAGGACCCAACAGGTATGAACCTCAGTATACAACACATTTGCATGCTTGGTCGTGCTAGAAGCCAAGCCTGCCACATAGCACAGGAGTCTTGGGACAACCTATGTTTACTAACCATAGTGATCAGACCAAAATTTTAAGGAGGCCTTTCTGTTTAATTCTGAAGTTGATGAACTGAAATGTTTCCCAGGAACAAGAGTGACAAGACACATTTTACCATGATTGATCTTTTATTTTAAGATGCCACTATTAACACATTAGTCATGTCAGTCTCCAACCTAGCTCTCCTTACAGATTTTATTAAATCAACAAATGTGCACAATGAAGAGCACAAATTTTTCTTCTAGTGGTAAAAAGCTCAATGCTCTACAGTCCTGACTAATGTGCAAATTAAGGCTGCCTCTAACATTACTTTGACACATCTTAAGGCCACTGGTATAAGATGCCTGCAAATCGCATGAAGAAAAGGGTTATACATATATTTTCTTGAAAATCCTTTGAGATTTGCTAGTTGGGTTGTAGGTCTAAAGATTGTTGAACCAGTTATGTTATAAGCAGCCTGTAGTGACAATATCTATTTGGGGGAGGAAGGAAAATTAGATACACATCATACATGCCAATCTCAGCCTCACTGCCCCTAAAAGGGCTAGAAGGAATCAGAACCAACTATTTACAAATTCCATATCCTAATGTATTTACAATAGAAACCAATGCATTTAAAAGTTTTAAATATAGTATTTTACTCTGCTATATTAGTTTACATAAACACAGATTACCTCTGGAAAGTATTTTTCCCACCTGCTCTTTACATTTTAAAAAAACCTACCCCTGGAAGGAAAATGTTAAAAGCTTTTAAAAGTAACCCAATGAAGAGCCTCAGATATTAGACCCCTGAGGCTTTCGTTACCCACCAGGGAGGACTTCACTAACTGGAGTCCAGCCTTTTTAAGAGCGACTTCCAACCTGCAGTTAAAACATATGTAAAATACGAAGAGTCTGAGCAATCCCATTGAGCAGATTTACTTGAGTCATTGCTACCATTTAACTCTTTACTAATCCAAGTCAAGAAGGAAAGCCACTGCTTTGCTGTTTGGCTCTCCATTACATTCCCTCTTCCTGCAGAAAGTGTTGAGTGCTTCTTCATTCACAGGAACTAAGTAGGTAGTGTCTTTTCCTCTTTGCTGAAAGGCTGAACCGAGCCAGGCTTCACCCATGACAGGCCAGACACCTGCATGCTTTTGCACTGTTGATCCTCTGCCTTCTTCTAGGAAGACGAAAGAGTGCCATTAAGATGAACTCAGTACTCTCAATTCAACATGAATGCCATTGTTTTGCAAGGGCTGCTTCACATCAGCCATACTTGAAAAGAAACCCCACGCACACAACTGTACATGCACAATTCTGTTTCCTCATGCACCATGTTGCTGATTCTAAAAAAGATCTTGAGGGTGGGTTGGTTCAAAGGGGGCAGGGAGGGAGGGAGGCATAATTCGGCAAGAATCCCCATTCCCAGCATGTTAGCTTTGCCAGTATGTACAGGTCATGGGAATATGCCCAACCTGGCTGGCTTAGGTGAGTCAGGATGTGCCTTCCTACAAAAAAGCAACAGGCAGGTAAGTCTCTAAAAAGAGAGACCCTTTCCCTCCTAGGCAAACCACACATCTTGGAGGGAGATGTTTGCAAGAGCATGTGATGAAAAATGTTAAGGCTTTGACTTAAAAGTAGCAGCATTCTGCAAACTTCCTTTGCTGCCACAGGAACAGCGGAGACTGAGCTCCACCTTCTCTCAAGTACATGTGAGCCACAGAGGAAGCAGTGGCAAAATGCTTCAATAGTTATTCCCCCCCACCCCTGTTTTAATGGTATGTTATTTTCATTGAATAGGGTTGGACATTGTCCAGGCCTATCATTGACCCTCCTTTGGGAGGAGCCTCAATCAGCTTCAGAGCAAGAAAAATGCTTTTAAATAAAGTAAGTAAAAATGTAGAAGTGTGACAAACTCCCTACAGATTTCACATATCAAAAAAATCCACATGCACCTCAAACACTGCCAGGAAGAGGGCAGTCTGGGCTCTTACCTGAACACGGTCTGATTATAATATGTGCATCCACCAGTCTGAATGGGTAAGTGAGTAGGGTCCAGCCTTTGAGGGTGGAAGCAGCTCTGCTGAGGGCTTTGGGAAATAAGACCTTCCCAGCCCCAGAGAGAATTCCAGAACTCTAAAGACATACATGTAACCCTAGCAATGATAAACATGAATGTTAATAACTTGACTGGTGGATGAGCCTATTTAAGAAGATGGGGTGGTGGCAGTATGGAGAGAAACTTTAGTCCAGATAAACTTCTGAATTCTAACCAGCAGAAGGGCTTCTAGGTGCAGAAGGTAGCAGAAAATGTGGTTTTTAAAAACCCCAGCATAGTACCCTTAACCAGTGTTATTTTTCTAGAAAAAGAGGTGCCGGAACTCACCATGAAAACATCCCTTGTTCTCTAGAAATTGCGCCCACCTGAGGGGGGCTGGAACTGAGCCTTGGTGGGTTCTGGCTGAAAAAAAGCCCTGCCTTTATCGCAATAAACTTTGACACGCCAACTTGCTACTTTAAGGAAGATGTTTGTTTTTAAAAAGCTTGTTGATTTCTTCCTTCAGTCACTTCTACCTTACCCTATGAGATTAGCCAGCTCAGTACCGATCCCAGGAGTTACGGGGCTCTTGAGCAAGATGCTCCTAGAGACGCCCTCCTCACCACTTCTGTTGCCACTTGCCTCTCTAAATCACAACCGTATCCAAGAGAGAAGAAAGAGTAAAGGCTTGTGGAGGTTACTGCACTCTTCCCCTAACCGCTTGCTCACACAGAAGGAGCATGTGAAAAAGCCAGCAACAGCAAAGAGAACCAATAGGACGAGGAGACTCTAGGAGCTGGCAGGGGGCCTCTTTGAGGAACATGGGTCTTGGCAGTCACCCAACAATGCCAACCACCAACAGTGAGCCAAGCCACCCTGAAAAAAGTCTTCTGGGCAAAGGAGGTATGTGGGAGGATTAAGCTCCTCCTGGAGGAAAACCCAAACATGTCTAAAATGTTGCCAGCCTGCCAGCTAAAAACAATTACCACTTCCCTCCCAAGTGCAGGATGTACTTTGTAGGGCCAGCACAACCTGATTTACAAGACACAACTAACTCTTTAGGACTACGATACTGCCAACGTACGTCTGAGATGAGGTTTTATAGAAACATTTCATTTGCATAGAACTTTTTATCAGTTGTGCTTCATAGCAAATCAATATGTCTTGTTTTCAAATCCAACTACTTGGAGCAAGCTCAATCCCTCTTACGTACCTTCTGGGTCAACATCTTCTCTCTAGCTTCATCATGTATAGCTGGATTCCAGGGTGAAAAACTGTTAACACATAAGAACATAAGCCTGTAACTGGTCTCCAAAATCTAAATAAAATGTCTCCATAGTATGACAGAAATTTGTTTTAAGAGACATGCAATAAGTCTGAAAGTAATACAAATGAAAATGGCCACTTTTCTATGGGACACCACAAGTATTTGTGCTTACTTACACACTTCGAACAACAAAATTGGCAAAGTAATTATTCACTCTACAGTAGCTTTCCCAGCCTGCTGCCCTCTAGACATTTTGGACTACAACTCCCATACTTCCTGACCACTGACAATGCTGGCTGGGAGGGATAGTAGTAGTATTAGTCTAACACCATCTAGGAGGGTACCAGGTTGAGGAATGCTGCTGAACAGATAATCTCGGTAAATTTACTTCAGCTACAAAACGTATTCTATTTATGCTAAAAGGATTAATTTAAAACAGTATTTGAAGGTTGGGCTGCTGTGACGGTGAAGTCATCCCAGCTGAAAGGTGAAGGGAAAGAGAGAACACAGTTTGCAAGCAAGCACAACAAAAGAATCTGGAATGCATTGCAGGCCCAGCAGCACTGGAGCCAGTGGCAAGGTGAAAGCACATGCAGCCATACAACAGAAGAGAGGTCAACACGTTGGAATAAAATAAGGTCTTAATTTTATTGATTGCAGATGTTGGGCGGTTTGATGTAGGCATTAGGTACGTCTCCCAAGATCAACCAGTCTGTCTGCTGGTTGATGGTAAAACGGTGTTGACTAAGGTTAAGGGTAACCCTGCAACGTGCATCGTATCCAGGCAACCTGCCAATATCACCAATGGACTATGGCCCATCCAATCCTGAGTGGAATATCTGGACATAAAATGACTCCCCAGGCTCCTTTAGGAGGATACCTGTGACAGCAGAGCAGGGGGACTCCCTACCCTCTGCCCACATGTACTAAGGATCCAACCAAATGCCTTTTCCACAAAGACGTTGTGACAATTGCTATGAGGGAGGCAAAACTCATAGACGGTTACAATTGCTCTGCAATGAACATTCATCCCTGGCCCCAAATACACTGACCAATGTAATCCATAGCAAAGTCCAGGAAGGGTATACCTCCAAAAATTAAAGCAAATCTTACTCCCTGAAAAGGAGGGAGGGGAATCCAGTGCCGACTACTGCCTGGGCTCCGGCACAGTCAGCTTTATATGCCCAGGGAGTAGGTAGGAAGGAAAAAGTTCCCTCTTGGCTCTGCTCCCAAGCCCTACCCCCTCATAATGCCTGTGATTGGCTACACAGGTGAGTCCTTGGGAATTGGCGCAGCAAGAGGAGGTGGAAGTGCCTTTTCCTGCCATGCCAAAGCCAAGGGAGGATGGGGACATCCTGCCGGGGCCACAGCAGAGTTGCAACAGCTTCTCCCAGTGAGGCATGGCACGAACAGGTATTTGTTGCTTACGTGTTGCAGAAGTGAATAGGAGCACATTAACTTTCATTTTTTTGATGCACAAGTATCTTAAAAACTTTAGTTGCAGAGGTGTTTTGATCTTAAGACTTTATGCTGTTCTGAGAATGCTGATATGCCACATTACAACTGTAGTACAATTTCCTACCTAATTGCATAGGGATCCTCTATTTTTGGTGGATCAAATAAGTGACTGCTGCATAATTTCACACTGTCAACCACCTTACTCTTGAAAAGTTGAATATCCTTGTCATATCTAAGAGAGAAACCAAGACAAAAAAGGAGACACATTAGATGAAATCAGAACAGTCTTATCAATGCATGAAGAACAGAGATTTGTAATCTCCCTTTATCCACAGAGGATAACAGTGCCTTATTTTTTCGGAAAGCTTTAATATCAAGAGTTGGGCTAGCCACAATGCCAAGGCTAAGACAAGAGAAAGGCCCAGACAAAATGCCATTTCCACCCAACTGGCATAATTAGGCTAAACTGTGAGCCTCCTGTTCTGCAGCAAGCCTTCTCCAACCTGGTGTCCTCCAAATGTTTTTAACTATAACATTTATAATCTCCAGCTCTTATTTGTAGTCCAAGCTATCTGCAGGCACTAGGTTGAGAAAAGCTGCCACAGCCAATGCAAAATAGAGAAAGGTCACATACCTACAACCTCCCAGCTATCAACTATCAGGAAAGCACAAAGCTCTTTGCCCAAATGCATGATGTTAGTTACAGGGCAGGACACATTACATCACAAGTGCAGAGGAAGAATAAATTGCCATGTACCCACACCACACTAAAACTATCTTCCTATCCAGGTTGGCCCCTCACATATGTGTGCCTAAATGTCAGAAGCCAATTCTAGGAACTTGCAGCTAAAAAACAATTCTGGAACTGATGCATATAGGAAAATCCATGACATTTGGTAATATCCATGTACTTGTGAGAAAACCTGGAGAAGTTCTAGAAAGTTCAATCCTGATAGTAACTCACAGCACAGCAGCCTCAGGATTCAAAGGAATGGTTGTGTCAATCTTGTAGAAGACCCTTCGAGCGTACATCAGTATTTGCCATATGTGATTATGGTTTCGCCTTTAGGAGAAGCAGAAGAAAACCACAGCAGCACCTTTAGTGAAGCACCCAGACATAACTTCTGTTCAATATTTGCATTCTAGAACATCACACTAACCTCCACTTGGCAAATGCTCTTTTCACATCCAGTTCACCTGAGATGGGATCTACTAGCGGGTGGAAGATGGGCAGATCAAAAACCAAGCGCTGAAAGACAAAGGAGACTTTAAAACCAAGCTGATAACCAACCTTACAGATTAGCCGGCGGGCTATTAACCCCTTTGCATGCAGAACTAACCTTTTGCATTAAAAATGCTTCCCTCTTTGGTCAGTGGAGAGATTGTTATGTAGCTCAGCCAACTAACTAGTTACAAACCTAGAACAATATTCTATAACGTTTTGATAACATGCAGCATGAAAGGGTGCCTATTCTTATATGCCACCTTTCAGAGTAAAGCCTTCCTAAGGCAGCTTAAAAAGTATACCTGAAGGAGCGTCTCTCACTGCAAGAAGCAAGGTTACAGAGGGCTTTCTCGGTGGTGGCGCCCTCCCTGTGGAACACCCTCCCTGCAGATGTCAGGGAAATAAACAACTATAGTAGTACCTTGGGTTACTATTCCAGAGATACGTTCTTTACCCGAAACTGTTCTTAACTTGAGGTACCACTTTATCTAATGGGGCTTCCCGCTGCCGCCACACGATTTCTGTGCTCATCCTGAGGTAAAGTTCTTAAGCCGAGGTACTACTTCTGGGTTAGCGGAGTCTGTAACCCGAAGTGTATGTAACCCGAGTGTTTGTAACCCAAGGTACCACCGTATCTGACTTAGAAGACATCTGAAAGCAGCCCTGTACTGGGAAGTTTTTAATGTTTGATATTTTCGTATTTTCTTATATATACTGTGAGCCACCCAGAGTGGCTGGGGAAATCCAGCCAAATGGGAGGGGTATGAATAATAAAATTATTATTATTAAAAAGGAAAAAAAGCTTCATATACATAGCAGGGGAAATGTTGAGTGGAGCTGTATCCAAGCACAATGCAGGAGATATTTCTACATATAACTAAATTCTGCAGTGGTTCCACAACTGGTTTTGAACAGCATGTTCTTAGAATTAGCCTCTGAAATGCACTTAGTGTTGCTGCTTTTGATGGCTTCAGCAAATGTGGTAGGTAGCTAGAGAAAAGACAGCTCTGGGCTGGCACTGTATTAATGAACTAAACGACATGGGTGAGCAGGGAGCAGAGATGTACCTTCAGAGAATGCAAGCCCTCAAAAGGCACAATTCTCCATGAGCACACTGAATTCCAGGTAGGTAAAGAGCCTGCCTCAGCTGCACCTTCTCTCCACCTCCCCAGTCCCCTGACAAAGCGATCAATCATCTGTCCTATGTGAATGAGCCTGTAATGCTTTACTAAACTAGTTTAATGTTTTGTGTTAAGGTATCACAAGAGGATTTGTATCCTGAAAGGTGGGATATAAAGGACTAAAATAAATGACTATTGCATTGCATTTCCTGGGAAACCAGAACTAAATCTAGTTTGTACATCACTTTTCAGCTACAATTTGTTCTCAATGCATCTTACAATTATATCCATAGAAAGAGGCAATACAATTAGGAATGGGGGGGGCATGCATGGTAGTTGGTCAAAAAACTTTTTATTTTAATTTCTTGTGGATACCATTTGGCTAAGGGGTCACTTACCTAATCTAAAAGCGTTTACAATTGGCTAAAATGTGCTGCTGGTGGATCATAGGGATGTGGATTGGCTTAGTGGAGGGGTGCGGGGAGCAAGTAACAGAGAATCAGGCTTCTTTTTATTTAGTGAAGCCCAGAACACTTAATTCATCATCATCATCATCATCATCTTTCAGAACACTTAATAACAGAATCAAGCGGAGGAGCACAGAGCAACTCAAACAGACCGCAATATTTTTTTAATGCAGTGACACAGTTAAGAGACAAACTTTGTTGACCATGCACACTCCTAGTAGATACCATGTTAAATATTTAAATGCCTTTTAAATTTAAGCACTGTTAATTTCTCTTTAAAGCTTAAAGTAGCCTCTACCACTGTGTTCTGCCAAAAGCTGCTCTGCCCATTGCCATAAAAACATCCACGCTTGGCTGACTCTCTTGCCTTTTGAGATCTGCCAGAGCCAACAGAGGTAACTGAAGTTGGTAAACAAGAACGTTCCGCTGTTTAATCCAAGAAGTCTGATTTTAAAAGCAGATCTCCGAAAGCAATAAAAACATAACTGTGCACAGCAGATGTGGCCAGATCATTTAACTAAGAGAACAAAGCTATGGCAGGCAGATGTTTCTACAGATAACTAAATCTCATAGCTGAATCTGAAACAATCTCACTTGCTAGGAACAGAGACTTGGTACAACCAGAGAAGAAAGAAATTGCCCTCTGCTGACAATAAATGGAAGCTTTAGAGTTGGCGTCATATGAATAGCTAAGAGAATGGTTCAAATCTCTCCTGCCACAAATGCACTAGGTGCCCTTAGGCAAACTATTACAGGGTGAGTCCTTTAAAAGAGGCCTCATGGATACAGAGTACACATGTTCCACAGGGCCTCTTTTAAAAGACTCGCCCTGCATATGTATTTTATCAGCCACCCCATTCTCCTTAAAAGATTTTAATACTGATTTTAAAATTGTTGTAACCTTCCCTAAGACCTTATGGTGAATGCAGAGTAAAAAAAACCCAAACCCTTAAATAATAATAGCTGTCACCAGCAATATGGAGATATACTGATCTACCTTAAAGGCTGCAATAATAATAATATATTTGAAGCACTCCTGAATGTTTTAAAAGAGCTCTATAAATGCAAAGTATTTATTATGCAAACCAGAATTGCCTGTTCCGCCATGGTCTAGCTTGCTGAGCAAAGTCCTGTACTGGAAGAGAAACATCACATGCCCCACAGCCATCTAAGTAAGTCCACAAATGATGAACGTTTCAGCCTACTGATACTTACTGGGCAGTCACCATCTGGGTAGTTGTCAGGGATGTAGACTGTAAATTTAAACACACCATCCTGGTACAACCCGTGCCTTATGAATATTACTCCAAACCACACTGCAAAAGAAAAAAAGAAAGATGATGAGATGTAAAAAATAAATAGCTTTGCTATAGGAAGAAAACCCGAGATATATACTTACTTAATGCTGATTGGTAAGAAGGTTGCACATAGACACCTGGCAGCTTCTGCTTCACAACCAACGTGCTGTAAAGAAACATAATCCATCTAGTTAGGTTTAAAGTGGCATACACAAACCCCTACTCAAAGCCTCTCAATTAGAGTACACAGTGAATTTTCCCATGATCTTTTTACTTAAACAGCTAAGGATGTTTCTTCCTCACCACCAAAAACGTTCAGAAGCCAGCCAGCCTACCTGCAACAGGAAGACACTGACTTGAAAGCCTCTCCCCTTCCACATGTGCACAGCCAAAGTGCACTCCAATTTATCTAGAGGAGTTGCCTGTGAATCTCAGGACTGGATGTTTCCCCATTGCCCTGAACCAGCAGGCAGTACAAGTCAAGGCTTTGCAAGAAGGTTATTTCTGACATCAGAGAAGCCGAATCAATGCCAGCCACACTCAACCCACTTGCAAGAGCAACAGAAATGCACTTTAAATATCAGACAGGCCTTTGCAAGCTTGTAATAAACCAAAACAGTCAGCCAGCTATTTTATTGGCTTCAGGGACTCACTTGGACAGAGTAAAAGACAGGTACAGAAATGGAAGCAGGCATCAAGACAGAAGCCAGCAATGAGAACAAACCATAAATGCAAGTGTGGGAAGGGGGCAGGGCTATGGTTTCTGAAGGCAGGCAATACAGCAACCTTGATGAAGCTAAGAAGGTCTGAATCTGGTCAGCATCTGAAAGGGAGACTGGGAATCTCCATATATGCCACATGGAGTTCTATGATAGAATGAAGGCGGCGTATAAATGCAACAAAGCAAGCATACTCCATAAGGCTAAAGTCAATCTCTCTTTCCATCACTCAGATACACAAAGAAGCTTCCTAGTGGATGAGGCTTTTGATGTAACTGATGCATTTGGTGAGGGGTATATTGGACAATTTAATTTCTGTCCCTGCAGATTTTATTTGTAAACAAAGTGCATTTGTTTCAATCTTATTTGATTTTGGTTTAGACTATGTATGTCTCTACCCTGTGACCGTCAGGTAAAGGGTAGATACATAAAACTGCTTTCTAGTCCTGCCTGCAGCACACTGAATGAAGTTATAGGAACAGCGACAATGAATGCATCAGATAAGTAAAACAGAAGCTTGTCCCTTTGTGCTCTCCTTGGCTGCTACAGACAAAGTTCACACATGTTTGGAGGATGACTTTTGATCATTTTCCCCCACAGTTTCTGGTATACATTACATAACATGACCAGATTACAATCCTAAGGGAAGAGATCCAAGCCTTCACTTCTGCTGAAAGACAACTGCGAAAACAAGAGAGTTGTGTTCCCAACACCACAGCATTAATGAATGGAATTTTACCCAGCCATCCTATGACAGTAAAGCGATGGCCATGGCGGCATTTTGCCAAGTGTGTCTCAAATAAGCTTTCATCAACAAGCTTTTCAGTAGCTGAAGCATGCAAGCCTGTTTACTTGAACAAAGCCTGCCCACAGAACAATAATGAGCCCCGTCACCAGCTGTGCCCCCAGCAAAGCCTGAATCACAGAAAATGATTTAAACTCTGCAAGCTTATAACACTCATTTTCTGTTCCTGGTTCAGGTTCTACAGCCGCATGAGGAAAGTACTCTCGTTTACTAAGCTGGCTTGTCTCCCCTTCTAAAGGCAGGCTCACAACTATAGCCACTAGACTTGGCAATTTTTGCAAAGGAGATCCACATGGGAGCTGTACAATTTATGAAAGGGCTCCACACATTCAGCTGTAAGCCAGCAAGGCAGAAGGCAGCCTTAATCCAACTTGCCCTTTTGCTATGTCCCAGCTTACAACAGACATCTTTACAAGAGCAAAAGCTACTACAGGATAACAAGAGTTCACACACAGTGGAAGAGAGAATCGCACAGATCCACTCTTATTCATATAGTGCTGTCCCTCTCATGTATTGAAATACACTGCTATTAACTCCATCTCTTTTTCAACAATTTTGCTAATGAACTACCAGTTATGATGTGCAGCTGGGCCACATAAAAGGAGACTTTGGTGAAATAATAAGTCTATGTGAGTGCTTTGCACATAGCAACGTATTGTTCTCCACTGAGAGGCCCCTGTAGTGAGTGCCTGGGCCCCTACTGCCAGGGGCAAGTTTTGCACTCCTTGAACTGTGCCCTACTTTGTGGCCTGTTGACTTAGTCCCATAGAACTGAATGAGAATCACCCAGGTAAATCCTATGTGGTGTTACCCCTTCATTTGCCTAGTCCCACTCCATATCCCTTGGGCACAATGCAGTGTGAAAAAGACTGGAATGGACCTAATGACTTTTTTAAAGCAACTTGCTCTAATAAAGGCAGCAGGACAAACGGTTCCCCAAACCTTGAAGAATGGAAGGGAATTTGCATTCTATTAAGCCAGCACATTTGGTTACTTTGTGACGATAGACTGCTCTGCCTACTTTCTTTTAGCAAATGTTTTGTGCCACTGGGGAAGTGGTAATTCTGTATTGATTTGTTTTGGATGTTTTATGTGATGCCAATAAAAGGTTTGATGATGATGATTTGGTTACTTTGCTTCAGGTGCTCCTTCTGTTTACACAGGCTTTTTCTGACCTATAGCTCAACCTTTGGCTATTGTGTATCACTACCGATACTAAGTATGTTTACACTGCTTTATGAATGTGCTACTTTCACCACCTAGATACTTTGTTTACTGTGTGGTATATTGAGTCTATAAATAACTAGCCTCAAAAGATACTACATATTAACAATTGGCCAATTGCAGCTCTCCACACTTTCAAGGAGCATTTGAAAACAAATGTCACATAATTCCAGCTGCTCAAAGAATCCCTCTTCAGCTCCTGCACAGAAGATCAACCCTCAGGAAACTGCCTCACTTCACTTGCCACCAAAGTGAATGCAGCATGCAAAACCAGCTAACACATTGTTTATTTTAAACATTGCTTTTTGGCCTCAACAGACTATTATAATGAAAAATAAGCATTGATAAGGAATTTCTGAACCGAAAACACACACAAAAACGTACAATTCTGCCAGGAGAGAGTATTCTAGGTAGAAAGGTCCATAGGAGGCATGTGTCCCATTTGTAGACTGCGCTGAAAGGGCGGGTGAAGCAGGCTTGGTCATTGGCACAGCATTTTTGGGAATCGAAGGCAGCTGCTTTTTTTGAGTGGTGCGTGGAGGACTGTTCTTCAGCTCGCCAACCAGAGCCTTTTCTTCTGTTTCAGATCTCTGTTAGAAAATGTAAAACATGGGGGGGGGGGGTAATTGTTCCAGTTGTATCCAATGGTCAGCACTCCAATTCATATTCACTAACACTCCAGTTTGGGTACTGAACAGAGGACTTAAAACATATCCTGCCAGTCCAAACAGTTATGATATATCCAATTGCTTAGTTGAATTTGGCAATTATATAAAATTGGCTACTGTCAACTTTGGAACTGGCTGAGATCTGGCCACAAGTTAAGAAACACACCCAAGTATGCTTTTAAAATGGTCCACATATATATTTGCCTCACCAGATGATCTGTTTAAACTACTATCCAAAATCTCTTGTGAGCAATCCCCACTTTTGGAGAAAATGTAATCAGAAAGGTCACCCTGAGAAGGCCTGTGATTATAGTTCAACTGAAACATTAAGCTGAGCTTTCTTGCATTCAAGTTTCCTTTCTAGTGGATCCCATGATGGTAATTTTTAATCCACATCAGGTTTCCGATTAGCATATATTATTTAAAGATCCTTTGGATACTCTTTCAGAATATAATAAAACCCAAGGGGGAGGGGAGAGCGTCATATAGTACACATTTCATCAACTCAAAATGGCCTGCCTTGCAGTCAGCCACACCCCACCTTGCGTGTAGAACTTGTAGACATGCTCCAGAAAGGGTTCATAACGTGTATTCCGAGTAGAGGGTGGTAAATCTGCTATGCCACCCAGATAGCCAGCTTTCTGGGATTAGCTTCTGCCCTAGAAACAAAAAAGTGAAGTTACCAAATCAGTGTCCTGTTGGTCATATTGTGATTCCACCCAAATATTAAGAGACACCCCAAACATGTTATACAACCTAAACCACTTGTCAATAGTCTCTACATACCCTCCCAATTCTCTTTCAAGATTGCAGCACGGTTTCATGGCCACTGAACAGGTTGTTTTACCTGTGATATTTTACTGGAGCTGAGCGAGAGGACTAGCACGATATCTATCTTTGTGAAGCACTCGAGAATATTTTGTTAAAAACGAGTAGGACCTAATCAGGTAACCTCACCTTTGTTTTCACAGACAGCACCAAGTATGCCACGGCCCTTCCCAAGCTATCCAGATAAAACCCGTATAACCAAGGGCTTTTTAGCTGCTATCATGAGTCAAACCATCAGCAAAGCTCTGGCAGAGAAAGGAACTTCTAGTTGTTTTAGTTGTTGGTGTTGGTGTTGTTATGTGTGCAATTTCAGCATTCAAGTTATACAATTTTGCTCAGGGTCACCCACATAGTTCGATTCTCAGATATATGAAGTATGTATTTATTGCACTCAGCTGGGCTTCCACAAGGCAGCACAGGGCGTTACCTTAGGAAACACATATTTCCAAACCATTGTTTGGCAAGATGACAAAAATGCAGGAGTGGAGCACTTGAAAGGGAAGATCAGAAGCCTCAGGAACAGGGGGTGCAGCCTGCCCCCCCCTACTTATTTCTGGTTTAAGAACATGGAAGGAGGGAGAGAGGGAGTCAAATGATGTGCAGCAGTCTCGAAAAGCAACACTGGCAGATCAGATATAGCAGGTGGGGAAGAGTTAAAGACCACCCCCTCTCACAAATGCCCCACATCGCATTATGGTGTGGACTCAGGAACCTCGTGTTTTAACTGCAACATGTAGTCGCACCCTCAGGAAAACAAGCAGTAGAGGCCAAGTAGCATTTTTATTGTCAGTGGGAACAACTCATGTATCATTGCATGAAACTTCTCCCTTAATAGATTATCAAAGTAATCTACTACAGTATACTATGACTCACTGCAACTCAGGCTTCAAAGGAACAGTAAAAGACACAAGTGTCACCTTATTGTACATCTCTTTCTAGTCCCATCTAATAGACCCATGGTTACTTGAAGGGTTTTAGGACAAATTCATTGCACTCATTAGAAAGTAAGAATGGTGTAGATGTTACCACTCTTCTAACTTCCTAAATAGTTAGCATTAGGAAAATGAGATTTCAGCATCTGAATATAGCATGTCCTGCCATTGTTGTATGCTACTCTTCTAGTAATCTTCTGTATCTTTAATTAAGAAGTATACTTAGAAGATAAACCTATTACATCAGCACTTGGAGTTAACATTTCCTGGGTCACAGAGCTCACAGAGCGGATGAGGCCTCACATACATGAGCCAATCTTGTTGGAACTGAGTATTCTTTATGTTGTTTGAGCAAGTTGGCCCACTGTACTTATTGTTGTTGATACACACCCCATGCTGAACTAAAGTTTTGTGTTGATCAACCATTAATGTCATGCTTTCAAGACAGTCACCAAACAACAATGGCAATTTCAGATACCCCCTTCTTAAAATATATCCCAGCTGATATGCTAATGCGTTTGTATCCCATGAAGCCTTTTCTATGGAAAAAACTATATTCTTACCACAACAGTTCATACATCTCTAATGAAAACTCCAATATAATTTTGATTTGATGAGCTAATAGCTGATCTCTAAACTGAATACAGTATGCCTCTACCAGATACATTACAGAAGGTTTTTGTATGCAAATGCAGAAGAACCAATTTGATCACTTCTCAACAAAATCTTTTTTTGTTTTATAGCCCACTTTTTAAAGGAAATCTTCTACAAAAGCAGCTTGCATCAGGTTTAAAATATACATCCAAACCATAAACAGCTACTCAAAATGCACAACCAAACATTAACAACAGAATCATTGTGAGTAAAAGGACCACAATAAAATTATCCACATTCCAATAAGCAGGTATTCTCTGATACCATGTTTAAAGCTTGGAAAGTTACACAGGATGCGGTCTCTAGCCTCTTCAGGAATTGAATTCCATAAGTTTAGGACCACCATTGAAAAGGTCCAGTTCAGAGTTTCTGCCAGCCTGTTTGCCTTCACTAGCAGACACTGAATGTATATCTCAACATATGAGCAGCAGTGCAGGGGTTTAGGCAGTCCTTCAAGAAACTCAGCCTCAGCTGATGGAGGGCTTTAAAGGTCATAACCAGGACTTTGGACTGGGCCCAGAAATACACTGGCAACGAGTGCAACAGATACAAAAATCAGTGTCACATGTTCTGGCCACCTGTCACCCACCAAAAACTAGGCAGTCATATTTGGTACTAGCTGAAGTTTCCAAACTTGAAAGGCAGCCCCACAAAAAGCATGTTAAAGCCATCCAATCTGCATTTAACAAGGGCAGGGAAAACAGAGGTGAGATCATATAAACAAATTTCTTACACACCTTGTCATGCAAGAGCATTCAACACTACAGGATCTTAAGAAGAGTAGAAATGATGACCACTCCCATACCCTGGATGCTTCCGAAATGGCTGAGAGACCAGATCTCCATGTGCTTTTACATTTTGTACTCTCATTAGTACACCCAATCTTATCATTTTGATGCTAAACCTAGTAAGCTAATTGGCTAAATAATATCTCCCTCCCCAAAGGGACAATAGATTGTTTCAATAGGTTTCCATCACTACATCCTGTTTTATGTGGCTTTATTCCACCACAAAAGCTCTGTGGTTTACAAGATGACCTTAACTACTTCTCCCTTTCTTAAAGCATTAGAACTCATGGCCATCAAGTGAAACTGAATGTTCAGGCCAGATAAAATAAACTATGCATGGTGTGAAGAAGTACTAACTGTGGAACTCATTCCCACAGGAGGCAATGGCGGCCACCAACTTGGATGGTTTTAAAAGAGGATTTGGCAAATTTATAGAGGATAAGGCTATCAATGGCTACTAGCCATGATAGCTTTGCTCAACCTTCTCTGTCAGAGACAGTATGCCTCTGAATATCAGTTGCTGGGAATCACAGGTGGGCAGAGAGCTGTTCCACTCAGGTCCTGCTTGCAGGTTGCCCATAGGCATCAGGTTGGCCACTGTGAGAACAGAATGGGCTGTTGACCTGATCCAGCAAGCTCTTCTTAACTACCATCAGTCCCAGTCAGCACCATTCCCAGTTAACACAAGTTAGCCAAGAGTATAGCTAATTTCGCATTTCTGCAAAAAGAAGGAACACAGCTTAGAAAATGATTTTGAGCTCAGAGTTGGCAATCCTCTGCTAGATCTGTTATAAAACAGAAAAGTCTGTACAGTAACCTGACTTTAGCATCCACTGCTTTTTCTCAATCCTGGAATAAAGTATACAATACTTCCAAGGGAATCTCAACAAGCTCCAGATATATATGCTGCTCTCAAGCTACTGTCTCATGTTCTATAATATGCAACAAGTTAAACTCAGTAATATAGTCAAAGGAGGTTGACAAGCTCTTGAACACTAGCACTCAACAACTTCCACTTTTATTTCAAGTGTCCTCTTATAGATTGCAGCCCTTAACTCACCCTTTTATGTTCTTAAGCCTCAGTTACAAGAACCCAGTTAGGTTCAAGGATGGAGCAGATTTAGAATAAAAAAAATGGGGGGCGGGGAATTCTCACAACCAGTACTTACCAAGAATTTCACAAAACAATCTGTTTTGAAATTTCTATACAGCGTTTAAACCACTACTATCCCCTCAAGAGGCAGAAATTGTTTTGTTTCTGCCACTGGGTGATTAAAACAATACCAAATGAATATCCAGCTGTATCCTCCTCCTTAGGTCTATTAATTATCCAACCTGTTATCATAGATCTGCATGCGCACGCACACACACACACCAATACAGCTATAATTCATATAGCTACCCATGCCATATATGAACTACAACTAAAGGAACACCGTATGTGTGCTTCCCATGGCACTAGCTTAAGGTTTTAATGCTAAACGAGTGTGTGTGAAGCAGTTCCTGAACAAATAAATATGGTTACCCAAAAGCGCATATACTAACAATACTCTTTCCCTGCATGGACCATACAGCAAATTAACTGTGCACATGTTTTAAACAGACAGCTGAAGGGCAAACTCTTGCTAAGGGCACTGTATGTTTCACAGGAGAAGGAAGGGGAACTAACAAGCACACCCAACCATGAAACACCTTGGATTCTGAACAATGCAGTCAGTATTTGCTGTTGTACAGTCTCTCTTCATTTCAGAGGGACTTGAGCAGGGCTCATAATACATCCCCAAAAAATTAATAGCAGATTCTCCAGTGTTTTCCCCTCTCTGTCCTGTATTCATGATCCACTTCTTTGTACATTTTAGCAAGTTTTATTCATGACCCCCACTATGGCTCTCCTTTCCTTTCCTCTGAGTTTATATATACTCTTCGCAAGCCATCTTCAAAGAGGCATGAGCTCACCTTATGAGCATGCAACATAAAAATAGGCTAGTTGAGAAATAGCAACAGGTTAAACTCGTCTGCCAGGTCCATTGAAATGCTGTCACACCTCCCCACCCCAGTGCCTCTTAATAATCTCCTATAGCAACCCTTCTTATATGTCAGATTCTGGACACCTATATTTGTCCACCTAACTGATTTGGTTGCAATATGCAAGGGTATGCACCAAGGCAGATGAACTCCCTAATGATGAAGAGAGGAGCCGAAATAGGTCAGATGAAATGGTGCTGCCTAAACATTTAGTTCAACCATTTCACAGGCAGATAAACCCCAGAGAGCTGAGGGGAGAAAACGAGAACAAAATAAGCAAAAAAACGGTGGGGTGAGAAAGCTTACAGTTAAAAAACCACATACATCTTTGAGAGCAGGCTTAGTGGTAGGGATCTCTTTATTTCAACCCAGACTGTGTTACCAATATATTCAACTGACTTAATTTACTTACTGATTGGGTGGCTGGAAGAAACCAGAGGTCTACCTCATCCAACACAGCAGCCAGCCAGGTGCTTATGTGAAGCCCACACAGGTGCACCCTTGATCAGCAAGGAAACAACACAACCTCCCAAGAGGCATTCACAGAGAATTAGCACAGTACTCTTAGGAACAATAGCTCTTTGTGTAAAAGCCACAGAATGGGTGGCAGATACAAAGCAGCACAGAATTTGAAGCTCACATCTATCTTCACTCACCAGAAGTGAGGTTCTCCAACATAGGCCGCATAAATCCAACAACCTAAGTCCCTAACCCAGCTAACTTCCTAGCTACCTTTTCTTCAACATGTTGTCTCTCCATCATTTGGAGAGCATTCCTGTACCCAGTCATATTACAACCCAGCATTCAACATAGACCTTTACCCTACTAACCCCTAAACCAGAAATGAACTCTCCATTTCTCCCTTATGAGGTGACTCTCCTCACCCTCCAGAAATAACCATTCCCCAGCAATGTTGTTTACACACAACCCCTTTACCTCCAATTCCTTCTCCACCTAAGCCTCACCGGCTGCCAGAAGCAGAGCTTCCATCCCCAGAGGGAGACACTACTGTACTTTACTCAGACCCCTTCTACTCATGAGTCACTCACCCCATTTAACTTCCCAGAAATGCAACACCTTTTGGACCAAAACTCATCTTGCACCTCTAACCCCACCCCTCCACCTCCATCACCCAGATGGTGGATACCTGCTCTTTTGGCTCGCAAGGAAATCCACTGGTCCATCAAGTGCTCCTCACCAACATCTTTTCCAATTCCACAAAGGAGGCACCATTCAGGTACATTTGGCTTCAAATGACTAGCCTCTTCTCACCTTCTTTCCCTTGCTCTGAATATGTCACATTTTGTTTTGTGCCAACCTCTCATGTCTATAAGCTGTCTTTTGGGGTGGTGGTGGGGAAAGAGATGTAGAAGGTTTCACCAACTGAAGTTCAAATACTACTATTAATAAGAGAAATAGTAACAAGAGGTAAAATTAAAAAGTATTGCATCTAAGTTAATTTTTTCTCATTGAGATATAACAAAAAAATTTCACCTTATACTCTAGCATACCACTTTTAAAAGGCAGGCTTGCCACTGTGAGCCAGGATCTTGACAAGCAAACACTTACTCACCTGCTTACCTTTCTTCCATTGTGTTAATTTTAATCAAGCCAGGGAAGCTTCACCTGCTGAGCCACTTGTCAAAATGACGAGCCAAGGCTGGTACCCTGAATGGCCCTGCACCTTTGTACCAGCAGTATGGCAACCAAATCCTCAACAAATGAAGCCCCCCCCCCCCCCGCGCCTCACAGGGAGAGAGAGAGATGAAAAAGAGCATCACCCACTTTTTAAAGAAAAGTGGCTTTGCTCCTGCGAGCCACCAGCATGTCAAGCAGAAGTTCAGCAGGTGAAGTTTTATTTTTTAGTTACTCTTTTGCCAGGAAAGGAGGGGGGAAGACTTTGAACTTCTGCTTGTTAAGCTGCTAGCTCAAAAGGCACAGGAAAGGAAGGGATAACACGGGCGCCTTTGCATATGTGCCTTCCAGCTAGCAGAAGTTCAGCAGGTGAACGTCCGTCCGTCCCCCGCCACACCTAATTTCCAATCCCCTCGCTGGCAATTTGGGAGGGATGGAGGGGGAAGGCTCTACCTGCTGGACTTCGGCTTGTCAAGGTGCTGCTGGCTCAAAGTGCAGGCGCCAGGCCAGGTGGACCGAGAGGCACCACGGAACCATTTCCCTCCTCCCTCCTCCAAGGCAACAGCCCTGCCAGGTGAGACCCGTCATACCTGCCTCGGGAGCCCCAGAACCTCTTGGGCACCCACCTTCTTTCCCCTCCATCCCCACCCCCGTTCGCCGTCCCCTCCCCACTCAGCAGACCTTCAGCTTCGAAGGCGGAAACCTCCCGCGCCCGCCACCGCCCTCGAGCGCAGGCCGGGCTGTCAGCTCGAACAAACGCGTTCCTGAGGGAGAGGAAGGAGGACGGGCGGGGGGAGAGAAATCTGGTCCTCCTCAGCCACCGTTGCAAAGGCCGCACCGGGCAGTGCACATGCGCACTCCTCGCCCTCGCGCCCATCCTTCCACCGACTTCACGGCGGGCGGGCCGCGACTCCAGGTAACGCAAGAACACCTCGCCACGCGCACCCCCTGCCTTCCGCCAGCTCACCGCGATCGGCTCGCCTGCCCCAGCCGCTGCTCCTCCTCCCAGCTTGCACCCATCGGAGCTAGGTACTCATCCTTTTGGCCGCGGATTTCCGGCGGAGGTTGGGCACTCTCATTGGTCCGCGCGCGGGCCAATCAGAGGACAAGCCCCTCCCCGCCATCCTTTTGTGACTACCATAGTAACGCCTCGACGCCCCCTTGTGAGGCGAAGAGGGAAACGTGAAGCCGCCTCGGCCTGTTGTTAAGAGGCGACGCCCGGCGACGCCCAGTGCGTGGATCCGGATTGGACAGCGGACCTGTCCACTTCGAAGGGAGGCGGGCGGGAAAAAGAGGTGGGAGCGTTCAGGATTGACGGTCCGGACAGCCAATTTCTGAACGCAGATTGGTTGGCGGGCGCGGGATCTACCAATGGGCAAATGCGCGACGGGAGGAGAAAGGCACTCATTGGTGACGCAGGAGAGGGTGGGACTAGGGAGTCGTGAGGCGGGGCCTGAAGTGTAGCCAAAGGGCTTGGTTCTCCTTCGCTAGTTTATTTTTCAGTACAGATTCAAGCGAATGAAAGCAGCTAATCGGTTGTTATGAACAGTAGCAGTTATTAGTAACAACAATAACATTAATCATAAATCTCTGAAATTAACTGTTGCTGATTATATTGCTTGGTGCCTCATTGCTTTTAATTAAAGAATTAACAATATTTGTTGTCTTTTTTTAATCAAAATTAAATAAATAGCGAAGTTAATGTGCTTATTGTCTTTTATTGCTTTTGATTAAGTAAATAAAGAAGTAACATTGCTTATTGTATTCTACAGTTTTTAAATTAAATAATTAACACTGTTATAGTGACTGTTGTATTCTATTGTTTTTAACTTGCTGCAAACTGGTGCTGGAAACTGATGAAGGCCAGTATAAAAGTCTTGGCAATAAAACAAAAATGCAAGAATGCAAAGAGTACCATATTCATCCTTTCATTATTTTTAATTATTTGGTACCAGGACTCCTAAGGCAAACCTGTCAGCTAGCAGAGGAAGGAATTGAGGAAATTCATTGCTTTTCTCCCTGTTCTGAACTCAGCCAAGTGCTCCACACCAAGAGTTCCCAAATTGTGGGCCATGGACCACATGTGGTCCACAAATTTCATGTAGGTGGACCACGAAAAGTCCACATTAAATATTTGTATTATTTTTAATTGTATTTTTATTGCTTCTTTTATTTCTTATATTGTATTTTATTGTATTACACATTGTACTGTATGCAAATTATAGTACAACAAAATACAATATAAGGAACAAAAGTAGCAATAAAAATACAATCAAGAATCAACACAGCACACAGAGTGGCTGTGGCAACCCAATCAGATGGGCAGGGTATAAAAATATTATTATTATTATTATTATTACAACAAATGCTACAGCAGGCAGAAATGTAATAAAGTGTTCCATGGGGGAGTTTTGGGAAACCATTACTCTCAGGGTCCCACAGATTCCACAAGCCAGTCTTGTATTTTTCTCCTGTTAAAATTGTGTTTATCTCCTGGCTTCAACCACCCTGTGTCATAAAATCTCATTTTACAACGCTTTATTTAAAAATACCCAATAATGGATTATCTTCAGGTTGCTCACAAAAAATTAAAATAATATATATACTATCAAAAATAAAATATGAAACAGTAAGAGCAGCATACAGAATAAAACTTGTCTCATAAAATGGGTAAGTCCAGCTTATTATTGTTTATTTTTTAAAGTTGTTTAAAAGCTGTTTGTGGATAAAAAGGTCTTCACCTGGCACTGTATGGCATAGCAGTTCAAGTGCTGGACTAGGCCATGGGAAACCAAGATTCAGATTCCTACTCAGTCAAGAAACTTGCTGTCACAGTTTCTCAGCCTAGCCTACCTCACAGGACTGTTGTGAGGGTAAAATGGGGAGGAAGAGCTATATACGTCACCTTGAGCTCCTTGGAGGAAAAATGGTATATCCAGGTGAGCTGCTCTGAGGCGGTAGTTCCCAAGTGGTAGTTTCCTCTCCTTCACAACCACCTGCCCCATTCCATCTGATATTCTTGATATACAATGTCTAATAGTTCGTTACTAGCCCTAAACAAATAGTTGGCCCATGCGCTTGCTGTATAATACTGGAGCTTGGTATCAGGTTCCCATAAAAGTAGAAATAAGTCTCCCACCTAATAAAAGTAAAATAACAGTAACATATTTGTGTTTTGGGGGGAAAGGCGTCAAGCACAGCAGGTCTTCACAGTTCATCTGCTAAGTATACTGGAATTTGCATAGATTGTTCTCTTCAAGGTGAAGTAAGGATAAAATCAGAAGGAATTGACAGTCCAGAACGAATAAGATTGTTGATAGCATATTGGAAGTCAGTATGAATGTACAGCAGACCCAGCTGGTTACGTCAATGGCACCACATCCATAAGGAAGAATTTCAATAAATGTCATCCAAGGAAGAAAGGAAGGATTTTATTGTTTCACTACAATACGCTTGCAATTTTATTTTCAAATACCATTTGAAAGTACATTTTCTACTCACTTGTCGCCCCCATATGGACAAATGGATACCTAGCAAGGAAAATCTGTAACTGCAGAAAGTACAATTCTGACGCTTAAGAGATGGGGGAGATTTTCAAACATGAGGGTTAAATGTGTTTGGGTATAAAACATAACTAAACACTATAATACAGGTAGAAGCAGAGATCTTAGGGCAGAGATAAAATTATACATTTTATTTTGTTTATGCATTCAGCTCCACATTTATCACTTCATGCTTGGCACAAAGACTTTTGTGCCTCTCAAAACAGCAATTTTGCAATTTCACACATTACAGGGAGCAAAGCTGGGTATGCCACACAGTGTACACACAACAGGTTGCCACAGGCAGTCCTCTCTGGAGAGTGTAATTGTGTGATACATTTACTTATTTCTTCTATATACTACCTTCTTCAAGGAGCTCAAAGTGATACATATAGTCCTCCATGTTCTCCTCACAACACCCCTGTGATGTAGGTTAGGCTGAGAGGCAGTGATTGGCCCATGTTCACTACAGTAACCTTCATGGGTAAGTAGGGATTCAAATCCTCATCTCCCAGTTCATACATAGTTCAGCACTCAAACCATCACACAGGTCTGTGCTACACTGACTTACAGGTCACGTTTTTGGCCATTTGGGGCTTGCAATTTTGGCCATTTTCTGGCTTCCTGGCCCATGCATCACAATTGGCTCCTGACCAGTGGGTCAGGTCTCTAAAAAATGGACAAGAACGTGACCTGTGAGGGGGGGAAAGCACAAAGTGACTTGCATACGAGGAGCCAAAAAAAATAGTGAAAATGTGACCCACAGTTCAAGAGCCAAAATATGAACAAAAATACCTCCCATGAGAAAGCAAGAATGAGCAAAAACATGGTCTGTGAGTCAGGAATCCAAAAAAATAAGCCAAAACATTATTCAGGGGTCAGAAGCCCCCCCCCCAAAAAAATGGGTGGGTCAGGTGTCAGAAATGAATTCTGGTTGAGCAGGGATTTGAAGTCTGGTTTCCCTGGTCCTAGTCCAAAACTCTAAGTACACTACGCTGGATCCTTGCTCAGTCCCTTTCCTTCTACTCCTTGCTAGCACACTTCCACCAATGTGGTCCTAACATGCAAATTATTTGGGAAGATAGCAACAAAGCATTGGCTGAGAGCTGTCACAATGCCAGTATACAGCTAGTGAGATGACATGATCCTACCATGGAGTCATAAAACTTTGGTGTGTTGACTATTCAGGAATCTGCACCCAAGCCAAAAGGAGCAGGGTAGGGGTTGGCAGATGTCTGATACCAAAAGAGCTGAGATCTAATTTAGAGCTTAGTGGGTCAATCTGGTTATAAGTTTCTTGAGTCTCTAGAGCTCATTTGTTATTCCCAAGGGATACTAGACATAGCATCAATAACTCAAAACAAATGAGGACATCTAAGTGCTTGAACTGCTTCCAGGAGACTATCATCTGCTGCCTTTGCTGTTTTAGGGCAAGAAGAAGGTACCAGATCTGCTTTCTGTTCCAGGGCTTGCTTACAGGGTGTTTTAAGACAGCATCAACTTGAGGTGCTCCTATGAAGATTTACTTAGCTATGTCAATGGTGCCTCTACGGTCATGATTCAACTTAATAATTTGCTTTTAGCATTGTGGCATCAGTGTCTTACCCTATTCAGTGTGAGATAACCGGCATCATATAACCAACATGCTTGGCTCTCATCAACCATTTTTGAGTTCATATACCAATCATTTAGGAACTTTCATCACTGTAACTAAGCCAAATTTTATTGCCTGTGCAACTTTTTCTGAATGCTAGATGAATGCACATGAATCTGAGAGTTTTACCATTTTAAACTTACCAAATGTGTGGTCTTTTTTTCTATGCTAGAGGAAGAGGGCTTTGGAAGGAACTTAGAAGGGTGTATTTTAAAGGTCTAACAGCCTATATTTACACATTTTACTTTGCTGCATCTTTTGTGATTTTAAATCTGTACTTGAGTTCTCTCACCAAAGAGTATTTGCCCCATACCTGGATCTTGATAACCAGGAATTCTCCTTTTATGGCTACTTTATCCTTGCAGCCAACATTCAGGTGCTTTGTACTTTGTACTTACTAAATGCGTAATGGGGTTCCCTAGAACGTGCAGGCTAGACAAGCCCCCCTAGACAGCAACACATGTGCACTGTAGACGCTGGTAGACCACAGAACCCCCTTTGTGGGGTTGGGAACCCTACTCTATTTCCAGCTGCTTAGGCAGGGTTGCAAGCATAGGCCCCATCTGCACCATGCACCTGAAGTGCTAGGAAAACACTTTAAGCAGTCAAAAGAATTATGGGAGCTGTATTTTGTTGAGGATGTTGTGAGTTGGTTGGAGGCCCCCATTCCCTCACATAACGGCAATTCTTGTTAAATCACCCTGGGATTTGTAGCTCTTTTAGGGGAATAGATATCTCCTAACAACTTTCAGTGCCCTTAACAAACTACAGCTCCTATAATTATTTTGGGGGAAGACATGGCTACTTAAAGTGCTTTCAGTATGTGGTGTGAGTGTGGCAGTAAGGCACAGGAGCAAGGTGGCAACATTGTGCCCAATGGCTTCATGGAAAAGATAGGTGTAATGCGAGCAGGAACCAAAGTAATTCAGAAATGGTTATATGGTGGGAATCAATTCTAGAAGACACCAGCAGGGAAAGGAAGCCAATTAGATCTGACTAGCTTCACTTTTGCATATAGTTTGGCAGCAGCCCACAGCTAAAGAAAATTTGTTGCTTCTAATTCAGTCTCTGTGGCTCATTTGTCATCTTGCAAATACAACAGACGCTGAGGAGGAATCTAAGAGGGGGAAGGAGAGAGGTGGCATCCCGTAGGTGTTCTAGGAGTTTGTTGTTGGGATAAAGGGCAGGGAGGGAAAAGTGGGAAGGAGATTGACAGAGCTGAGTGTAGTGCAGCTGGAGCAGTGAAGGCTGGAGCAGCTGGTGCTCATTGGAACTGGTGTGGCAGAAGGAATGGAGGCCAATGGTAGGTGGAGCCTGAAAGTCAAAGACAGACAGGGCCTACTAACTCTAGCTTTGTCCCAAACCTCCTCTCTGCTGAGTTTCACAAGGGAAACTCTGAGACTGAGAAGCAGGAAGCTGCCAGTCAAGGGGCTACTACCCTTGGGCTAGTTGTAAATAAGGAAGTAGGTAGGTGGGAACAAGTTGAAGGCACTCACCTTACCAGCCACCACTGAGTGAAGACAAGGATGTCTTGGCACATACAAGCAGAGAGATAAGGGAGGCCATGGCCACAGCAAGCTTTAAATATTATGATTCCATAGAAAGTGAAGCTAGCTCACCCCAGTCCTTATCCCTTCAGATCTCCATCTGATGATCAATTTGGTTCCTTTGCAGTTCAGTGAAAAGGATGCTTGACTTTTCTGGAACCAAGTGGAACACACGAGGTGTGGAGCCAGTGATAGTCCACGACATCTTATCCAATGACATTCCGGATCTCAGGGATAGCAACAGTTTGGAGATTGCTGCTATGATGCACGGGACAAAGGACGATGAGGATCTGCTTAACAGTGCTTCTGAGCTGTGTCTAGAACAGAACATGGAACAGACAGATGTTCTGGTAAAGCTACATGTGGAAGAGTGGAAGGGCTATGACACACTGGCCAGCAATGAAGCAGAAGCATGTGGCACAACAGAGAAACCAACAGAGCAGGAAATTAAGAAGAAAGAACCTGATGATACCTGTGTGGGTGATGAAGAAGAAAAGAGTCATTCTGGACCAGCAGGAGAAGACTGAGAGAGTGCTGCTTTCCATAAAGACAAAGTCTTCACTGAAGGAAGCATCGATCCAGGCTCTGACAAAGGAGATTTTGCACAGATGTGATGTTGCTCTGGCTCTTGTGGAGGAGCTGCTGACTAGGAATGGACAACTAACTGAAATGGAGCTATGGTTAAGACTTCTGGAAGAGCCAAGTTGGTTAGTCAGCCACATATTCTCTTGCAGGGTGGAACCTGGGGTGAATCTTTGGCCCACTTAGTATCCATGGCTGAATACACACCATATATTTAAAGCACGTGACTTTGCGCAAAGAATCCTGGGTACTTCAATTTGTTAAGGGAGCTGGGAATTCTTTGATTCTTTGGGGGAAATAGTGTGCTTTGAAATGTGTGGTGTGCGCACAACTTCTGTTTCTTCTGCATTACATGGGCTCATACATTTCTCATTGCCAAGTCTGGAAGTGTGTATCAGTTGTCTTTCACTGGCCCTGAATTTCTTCCATTTCACAGAGCCTCTGGAAAGATTTCATATTTATTAAAAGTATTTTTCCAAAAAGGACACTCAAAGCAGCTGACGACAAAATGAAAACACAAAAGCTTACTAAAAGTTAGGCCATTAATATTCTTAGGTTATTTTATTCATTTATTCAGTGGTATGCATATTGGCCCCCCCACGAGCACAATTCTCTGGGCAGCTCCCAAAGAGGTCCATCAATTGGTCCATCTAGCTCAACGTTGTCTACAATGACTGGCAGTGGCTCTCCAGGATTCCAGTCAGGGTGCTTTTCCACCCCTACCTGGAGTTGCTGGGGATTGACCCTGGGACCTTCTGCATGCAAAGCAGATGCTCTCTCACTAAGCAAGACCAATGCTTTACCAATGAGATACAGGCAGGCTCATTTGAGAAGATGTTGAAATGGAGCAATGGTTAAGACTTCTGGGATTCTGTGAGGTTGTGCTATTCTGTTGCTTCATGTGCACATTTCTTATTTTCACATCTCTAGGGTACTTCAGCATTCTTGGTGTACCAAAGAAGAACTTACGTACAGCGTGTCGAAGACAGAGATCCAAGGCTGAATCCCAAAGAGTCCCAAAGACGCTGGTCAGAGGCTGTTTCCTAAAATATTTCCAACCCAACCTTTTTGTCCAGTGTGCTTCATTCTTTCCAGTTTCATTTGCCTCTTCAGCTAAAAACTCTCCATGGAGAGACATCAAAGAACCACCCCACTGGCATATTGGCAACGACTGAGATACTTCTCCCCACCCCCTCAATTCTAGATGAGAAGGAACATTAAATGATTAAATGTATTTCAGTATTGTTTGTTTGCAAGAGCACGTTCTTCATAGTTGACTCCTTTAAGTATCTACTTGTATATTAGATGGGGAGGGAGCATGTTCTTGCTGCTTCCATATATGAGACTGGGTTGGAAGACATGTTTGTATACCTTGTCGAAAGATGGACTTGCTTGCTGCTCTTTGTATAGCGGCAAGTCACAATCTTGCTTTCGTTAAATATGGCAAAGGGGACTCTGCCTGGCTGATCTTTGACAGCATGGCTGATTGTGATGGTGCATCTGTTCATTTAGCCTTGTTTCCTTTTCTGGTTAACATATGAACAGGAGGAGAGTGATGCTGAATCTGACCTAGTTCAGCAACCTGTTCTCACAGTGGCCAACTAGATGCCTATGAGAAGCTCACAAGCAGGACCTGAGCAGCATTCTTCCCACTTACAATTCCCAGCATAGGCACCAGCTCCAGGGGGCTGAGGCTCTTTGGGCCCCCTCAATCTTTTTTTGAGGGGTCCAAACACACACACCCTGTTGCAGTCAAACACAGAGCTGAGCATGGAGCGGTGTCAGGATGTAGTGCAACTTCGTGTGCGCAACATCAAGACGTCACATTGGGGACCCCTCAATGTTCTTCAGAAGATGGCTCCTGTGAATCTCAGTAACTGATAGTCGGAGTCAAAAAATTAACAGTAGACTCATTGAAAAGAATACACCTCAGTTTGTCATATGCTGATGTGCACTAACTTCAGTGCACCTGCTGAGTAGGACTAGACTAGCATAGGATGCAACAACCTAGAATCTTTTGAAGTCACCTGAATTGGTGGCCAGCGCTCTAGCTTGTGGTTTTCATGTTGCTTTGAGACACCATAACTGGTTCCTAGCACTTAACTGTTCACTATTGCAGGGCAGCTTCTGTAATAAGACTCCTCTATTTAATATTGCATTGTGTTAAGATGGTATGAGCAACATTAGCAGAACAACAGGGAGGAAATGCAGCAAAAAAATAAGTGTGAAATAGAATAGTGGCAGTGACAGTCAGACTAGGACTTGACCAACAATGCCTGAGATTTTCTTTATTTAACGTGCCCTTTTACGATATATTGTGCTAGAAATTGAAGCATTGATACAATACCTAAAACACAGTGGGATGGCTCAATTAAATTCTACTCAGAGTATAAATATTTATAAATGTCAGACTAGGACCTGGGAGAGCAGGTTTCAGCCATGAAACTCACTGGGTGGCCTTGGGCCAGTCACAGTCTCTCAGCCTAACCTACATCACAGGGTTGCTGTGAAGATAAAACAGGGAAGAAGAATGCCACTTTGTGTGCCATTCTGTGTGCCACTTTGAGCTCTTTAGAAGAAATGTTTTTACATATGTGGGGAGAGCAATCGTCCCATAATCTTTCTAAGCAAGTATCTTGGGAACTGCTTAAACATGCTTTAAGCCATAGCCACTTACCAAAAAAAAAAAGCATCCACTTTTTGAAATTTGAAAATAAGGTTTTATATTGTACGTCCTATATAAACAAAGGTCTTGGAGGAAATGAATTTTTCATAAATCTGAACAGTAAATTGGTACTCATCAGTCTTCTGTTATTACACTAACCCGTTTTCTAATCCGCATTTTCTTTCACCGATCGACCTCATTGCAGATGTGATCATCGAGAAGATTTCTACCACCCCTTTTTGTGGTTTTTGACAGGAAGCCATTTGAAAATTATATTTATAGTTGAGGAACTGTCTGCTCACACATCTGTAGAGCTTATTTTAACAGTGACCTGCTTATCAGGCAATAACCAAGCCACTGAGCCTTCAAATTGCTGAGTACAGTGAAAAGAAGAAAAAGGAGATTCTTTGCTCCTCCGTTTCCTTTTGCTTTAGAGAGATCAAGGAGGCTTTGTGCAGCCTGGAAATATTCCTTCTTGGTTACATATCCATTGGCAGATTTAGGATAAGTTTCAGATGGCATGCCACCGGCACGCTCGTTGAGTGGCAAACAGCAAGCAGGATCAAACACAAAACTCCCGACGAAGAACTCCAAGGAGGAGGAAAGGAAAATAAATTCTGTGTTAAGTTTGGCCTTTAGTCTGGGTCTAGTACTCTAGGGCTGCACACATCCTAGAGAAAACTCCACTGAACTAAGAGTTACATCTGTGTAAACATTTATTTATGTTGAAATAAGCATGGATTTCAGAGTGGTGGTAATAATAATAATAATAATAATAATAATAACAACAACAACAATAATATTTATGAATCGCTTCCCATGAAGCACCCCAAAGTGATTTACGATATAATAACATATTTTTAAAACTGTTACATATATGCAGTTAAAACAACTACAGTTAAAACAACTGCATATATAAAACCATATTTTTATAAAACTATTGAAATATAAAAACCAGTTTAGAACAACAGCACATACCTACAAAAATTTAAATCCAAGACAGATGCCAAATGAGATAATATATAAAAAACACCAAATATCAATCCAATATTAAAGAATACAATAATAAAAATCAAAGCACAATAAATTCCGAACAGTGATACACTAAGGGTGCATCCAGGCAACATTCATATTAAGCATTCATTGTTGAATGCTCTCCCCAGGGAGGCTCACCTGGCGCCTTCATTACATATCTTTAGGCACCAGGTGAAAATGTTTCTCTATAACCAGGACTTTGGCTGATTAAACATTCTATGGGCTTTTAAATGTGTTTGAGGGAGGGGGGATTACTGGTTTGTTTTTGTTTGTTTTTGTTTTATTATGTATTTTCTGTTCTTATTTTGTATTTTGATGCTGTGAACTGCCCTGTGATCTTCGAGTAAAGGGAGGTATACAAATTTAATAAATAATAATTTAATAATAATAATAATTTGTTCGCACAAAATTTGCAGAAGCTTGTAAGACACTGGTAATTTAGTGAGCATGCATCAAGCAATCATTATCCCACACTTTCCAGTGCGTATTCTGACACTTTCCAGACCAGAAAAAGGACCACCCCCCCAAAAAAGTAGGTTTGTTGCATAAGAGCGCCAAGCCCATTTTAATTATGCGACCTCAATTTGACATTATGCAATTGAATCCTGCTCACAAAATGGCAGCAGTCCAGAAGTGGTCCAAAATTGTTCAGCCAGCTCAAATAATATGGAAAATGTTTTTTAAAATCCCGGGCAAATAAAATCAACTGGTGCCAAAAAGAATTCAATGTTGAGGGCCACCACTGAAAAGGTCCTCTCCTTCATGGATGCATAATGCCTCTGGCCCTATAGAACATTCTTACAATTGCACTGTAGAAGGCTTAAAAGAGGAGCAGGGAATCTCAGGCCCGGAGGTCAAAAGCATCTCTGCAGTGTCCTGTAACTGCTCCTTGGAGCTCTCCTTAGGCCACACCCCTTCCCTCCAGGCCACACCCCTCACCTATCCTTGCTTCACACCTTGAGTGCTTTTGCCTGGCTGGAATCCATCCATGCCTGTACTTTGAGAATGCCTTTTGCTTGTCTGGATGGAGGGCAGAAAGAGGAATGTGAAAGTATGGAGAAACTCACCTGTATGAAAGGTTAAAAAATAATGATGATTTATTGCCCTACCCACTTTTCTCTCTGGCCCCACCAATCCCTGGCATATGATCCTCAGAAAGTTGCCCAGAAGGGAAAGCGGCTCCCAGACTAAAAAAAGCTTCCCAATTCCTGCTTTTATGTATTTAATTGGGCTCCGTGGATTGTAGTACTATTTGCTTGCCTAGTTTTCATGTGGGACAGGCCATGTTTGGCTCATCATATTAATGTAATTAGCAGGGAAACTAATTGTACTAATAGAGACATAATGGGGGGAAGGACACACTAGTCCCCTATTCCAACGCAGAGCAAGAAAACAGGCACCATCTCACACAGAATATGTGGAACAGCACACACTGAAGCTTCTCTCCTGGTTTCATTACTGCAGCAAGCACCTTCTCGACAAAGAGCAAATAAACTGAACCAGGAAGTCCAAACACAGCTTCCTTCTTTGGTACAGTAAAAAAGAGAAGTTGGCTGATGAGATGTAAAGTGAAACTTAGTACTCTGGACATTTTGAGAAAGCAGCAACGCAGCTGCCATGAAGTTCTGGAGACTCTAAAAACCATTGTCAAGGAAACAATTTCTAGATTATTAACCAGGTCAGTATTTTATGTCTGTGATCTGTGGGTGGCCAGGTAGCAGTTAGTAAAATTAGTTAGGTATTTGTTACAAAAATGTGTGATATATATATATGAGGAGAGGGGGGTGGGTAGGTGGGTTTCTGCCTTTTATTAATTCCTTTGTTAGCTAGATCACTGAATAATTGAGCAGTCCTTGCTTGCTCTCTGGCCATGTCTGGGAAGAGCAAGATGGCAGAAACAGTGTGGCAGAGGAGAGCAGCTGAATACAGTGGCAATGAAGGGGAAAACTGACTCAAAAAGGGGCCCCTGAAGGAGCCCCCCCCCCAAAAAAGAACTTTGAACCAGCTCTGTGTTCAGGGTTCCTGCCAACCAGTCTCCTCCACAATACTGTTGGCAGTAAAAAGCTCAAGCAGGGGCTTTCCAGAAATGTATGGCTGTCCTCTGGATAGTGGGTAACATAGAACCTTGCATGGTTGTGACCAAGATTTATTTTAATGGGGGCAGGCTTTATGTTAGGGAGGGCAGAACTGAGTTATCTGTGACGCAACTGATCAGTTAATTAAGGATTTTTTATTTACTTACTTTAAGGGGGCAGCTGCCCCCCTGACCACACCCACGGAACCATGGAGTCTGATCCAGACCTCTAGAATGTGGGGCTATACTAGGATACATAGATTACTTTAGAGATGATTGCAAGTGTGAACATTAATGAGCAGGAGGTGGGAGGAAAGGGAGAGAAAAAAATGGTCTGCGAGTTAGTAGGCTAACTGCTTTTTTTTTCTTCCACATCTTAAAGGTGAAATTCTTGTTAATGACCATTTGTGGAAGCTGCTGCTTTTGCAAGTTTAAAGCTGATTGTTTGCACTGATTTCCCCTCCCTCCATTAATGTGCCACCTATGCCAAAATGACAGGCTCTTTATTCATGCTGCTTTTGAACACCTTCAGAAACGTGGGCTTAGCTATTTGAACTATTGCAATTACTAGCATGTCACCGGTTCGGCGGCCGACTGCGGCTATGAAAGGTTGAAGGCTCGAACGTGAAACCTACTTTTAAAAATGGCTCGTTTTTCATCTGAAGTGGCTTTGGGGGAGGAGGGGACCTGGTCCCAGTTTGCTTAGTTAAATCACAATGACAGTTTGATGTTGTGTTACATGTCGGGGAAGAGACGTAGGTGGCTGTCTCTGCGTTCCACCATACGGAGGCACATTTATAACAACAAGCTGTCATGATCCGCACACCTAGGGGAGTGGTGCCACCCTCTCTCGCTCCTTTCTATATGAGTCTTCGCCTGGGTTTGCTCACAGAGGCAGGGATCTGCCTCCACTCTCTATACGCCAGGATAGGGAAACCTTTTTCAGTTCAGGGGCTGCGTTACCTTGTGGGTCACATACTAGTGATGGATGGGGCCGGAGGTAGACTTATGACAGACATTTGTCCAGCTGCTATTTTTCTTTTCTTCTCTGTACAATTACTAAGCTCTGTTTTCCTTGTTTGGGTATCTTTTGCTACCTGAAATATAAAATCATTTTAAAAATGAAATAATTGCCTGCCCTTCACCAGCAAGTCCCAGGGGGGATTGTGATAATCTGAAAATCAGAATTTAAAAGTTAAGAGTACAGTAACAGGAGTAGGGTGGGCCCTGAAAACAAGTGTCAGAAGAGGTCCCTTTGCTTGCCTGCACTGAAGATAGAGAGATGTATGAAGGTGTATGTTGAGACCCATTTTTAGGGAAGATTTTTATGGGGCCCAGAGAAATGGCGTATGGCACAGTACACGATTTGCCTGAATCCTTATATCCCAGCTCCATCACTGAGATAATCTGCAAGAGCATCACTGATCATTTCTCGAGTTGGTGAGATTCAGTTGACAACAACCAGAAACTGTGTCCTTAAGAGTCATCAGTTCAGTAATGTGGAATACTCTGCAAACAGAGATTCAGCACACACCTTCTGTTTTAACTTTTAAATGCCTGCTGAAAACTTTTCTACTCCATCAGGCCTATGCAGGCAATTAAGAGGGCATCTTCCCACAATGGTTAATTGATGTCTGTTTTAAATTTTAATCTGTTTCTACTGTATGGTCTTTTACATATTTTTGTTGTAAACAACTTTGATTTTTTAAAAAATGAAATAGCAGTCTATTTCTGACAGCTCCACAATGGAGGAAGGCCAACCTTGCTTACAAGACCATCAGAAGGAGGTCCAAGGGGTTATAGCCGAGTCTGCTGAAGACACCCATTCAGATGAAGGAGATGGCTATGAAACCCTAACTTCATTTCAGCCAACCCAGGAGCAGACAGAACCCACTGATATCTCAGGTAAGGCCTGGACAGGTAACTATGCAAGTCAGGGATGAGGAAACATCAGGTCCAGAGACCAATTGTGACCCTCATAGAAGCCAATTCCTAGTGGTCAATAAAATAAATGAGGGGGCCAGCCCCTCAAAAAAGTTGATGGGCAATGCCATTCAAATGGTGTGCGTGCACCGTGTCAAATGATTGATTATGTGGGGCAGGGCTTACCTGCCCCCCCCCCCGATTTATTCAAGTTAGCACCGCTGGTGTCCCTACAGACCACTCTGGACATTGTGACCCTCCCCAGGCCACATTCTTCCCCGAAAAATCCCGAGAACTGTAGTCTTTTACTGGTGCTGAGAGTTGCTAGGAGACCCTTATTCCTCTCACAGAGCTCTCACTATTCCCAGAGTGGTTTAACAATCAATCCCTCTTTCCGAGGGACTCTGGAGTAGCCCTATAATGTTCTACTTTTAGTGCAATAAAACTGTTGTCTATGGAAATGGTTTCATATTGGAGGAGTCATCAAATTAGGAGAAAGGTTTCTATTATGTCTGAAAACAGGACCCATACCTAAGCAATTTCCCAAGGATCTATCTGTCTGCGTACAGCTGCATACACACTTTAGAGCACTTTAGAACATATTCCCCAAAAGGACTCAGTAAATATATACATTCTTTTAGGTGACGAAAGAGTCCAAAGTCCCAACTCTTCCATGACAACTAAGGAACTCCAAGAATACTGGCGGAATGAGAAGCGCAATTTCAGAGAAGTCAAGGTCCTTTTCGAAATCCCGTCAGCCAGAATTGTAGAGAAGCCCTTCTCTAAATATGTGGTAAGCAAATGTAAGCCTGTACGGGTGAAAACATTTGGAGACATTTTGGCCAAACCACACCACTGTTCTACATGTGATGTCATACGATGTCAGGTGCGAGGCATGGCTCAGCCAAAAGGGGTTTGGCAGGCACCACCAATCCACCCTTTGCAAAGTAATGCGCACACAGCTTTGTGTGAACCAACGATCAGCTTGCAAAGTGCTCTGAAAAACCATCACTCTGAAAAATAGTGCTCTGCCGGGGGCTTCAGAATGCCATTGGAAAGCATTCTGCAATATAACGCTCCCTGACCACCTGTCAAACATGGCTTGCAATGCAGGGGGGAGGAGATAACGGTCTAGCAGCTCTAGCCCATCAGCCAAATCCAGTTTCCTACCTCAGGCTTCGACAAATTCATGGAGAATCAGGTTATCACCAGCTAAGAACCACCATGGCTATGTTGTACATTATACCTAAATTGTCGGAGGCAGTAGGTCCCTGAGCACCAGTTGCTGGAAATCCTAGTGCGCAGAGCGCTATTGCATTCAGGACTTCTTGCTGGCTTCCCACGGGGATCTGGTTGGCCACTGAGAACAGGATGCTAGACTAGATGGGCCTTTTCCAAACAGGGATATTTATGATCATTTCTGCAGAGTTCAGAATCTGCACTGAATGGGGCACCACAACTACCCCTCTTTGAGACTATTTCAAAACGTGTTAAGGCAGCCCTACTAAGTTTGGGGGGCCCTCCTGCTCATTCTGCTGAGTGGGGGCCTGGGCATCTGCTCCAAAGTCCATGTCCTGATGGTGCTGCTGGCTTCAGTAGTGCCAGCCTTCTTCCTGAGCCACCAAAGCTTTTCTCAATTGTTTTGTTTGTGTGTTGCCCACTAGACGTACCAGATCCTCATCATTCAGACGGGCAGCTTTGACAGCAACAGATCAGTGATTGAGCGTCGGTATTCAGATTTCGAAAAGCTGCACATGAATCTTCTGAAGGAGTTTTATGATGAAATGGAGGATATTACATTTCCCAAGAAGTGTATGACGGGGAACTTCACAGACGAAATCATCATCGAGAGGAAGCTAGCCTTCCAAGATTACTTGCGGCTTCTGTATTCCATGGAATACACTCGGACATCTAGAATATTTATTGACTTCTTAGTGAGACCGGAACTGGAGGAGGCCTATAGTTGCCTCCGGGGAGGACAGTTTACCAAAGCTTTGGAGGTACTTCTGGGGGTTATAGCTCTGCAAGAGAAACTTGTCAAGCATCGGCCCACCCTATTGGTCCCAACTCTCTGTGCCATAGTCGTCTGTCACAAAGATCTGGAAAACTCCAGAGGTGCCTACGAATTTGGAGAGAAAGCTTTGCTACGCCTTGAGAAGCATCCTGGTCACAGGTACTACATGCCCCTGCTGGAAACAATGATTTCCTTAGCATACGAACTTGGCAAGGACTTTCTATACTTCCAAGAGAAGATGGAGGAAAGGAAGGCCAAAAAACGGCTAACTAAAATGGTGTCCCTAAAAGAACTTGCAGTTCAAGAGTACATAGACTGAGAGGAGCTGGGAAAGGTGCAGAAAAGGCGTAAAGTCAATAACACTGGTCAACAACAAATTTGTTGTCTGCATTTTTTCAGTTGATTTAGGACAAATCTGATGCGCTGAATCCAAAAATCACATTGGTTTTGCTCTATCAGGTCAAGTTTTTAAGCTATGGCCACATGTCATTTTTTTACGTTTTTGTTCACATGTACGCTTGTGTGGAGCATTTTAGAACAAGTTGGTGGGGGTAAAATGCCATGTCAAATAATTGTTTTGATTGGAAATGATTATTTTAATGACGAGAAGTATTCAGGTCCGATAGTTCTGGGTGATTATGTCGAAAAGGGATCAGTTTGAAGTCATAAAACCTCGAAATCTTCCATAAATTGATGTGGCAAAGCATAAAGTTGGGGGATTAAAACTAAGTTAATCCTGATCTTCAATCAGCACGTCGTCCTGTAGCTCATTGTGATGAAATTCCAGTGCCTATCTTCGGAGAACTTCCTGACATTAGTGACGAAGATGCCTCCAGTGTTGAAGGACATGAAGAAGAAGAAGAAGTGGTTCTTGAAGATGATGCTCCACATCCATTTTCCCAAAAGGAGTTGAATGATCTAGTTCGCGACCTCAGCTTGTCAAAGGACTCTGCCGAACTGTTGGCATCCAGATTGAAGGAAAAAAACCTCCTCTCTGACAGTGCTCGCATCAGCTTCTTCCGCAACAGGCATCAAGGGTACCTCCGTTTTTTCTCAGAAGAGAAGGACTTGGTGTACTGTGCAGATATTGCGCAGCTTCTGCTCAAGCTTGGAGTGCCACAGTACGAGCCCAAAGATTGGAGACTGTTCAATGACAGCAGCAAGCGATCACTGAAATGTGTTTTGCTACACAACGGCAACCAGTTTGCCTCTATACCCCTGGCTCACTCGAGTACACTGAAGGAGAACTATGAAGCGGTGAAGTATGTGCTGGAGAAAATTGGTTATGATCAGCATAAGTGGTTTATTTGTGTTGACCTGAAGATGGTGAACTTTTTGTTGGGACAACAGTCTGGCTTCACCAAGTACCCATGTTTTCTGTGCATGTGGGATAGTAGGGACCGTGCTCAGCATTACACGAAGGAGGACTGGCCTGTGAGGGAGGAACTGGTGCCTTGCAAAAAAAGGAACGTCATCAACGACCCTCTGGTGGACAGAGACAGAATACTCTTCCCACCGCTGCACATCAAGCTCGGCTTAATCAAGCAGTTCACCAAGGTTTTGGACAAGGATGGGGACTGCTTCACTTACTTGTGCCAGGTCCGCCAGAGCAGCTTCGTCACGCTGGCCACGTGACCCAGAAGTGTCTGCGGACAGTGCTGGCTCCCGGCCTCTAGAGTGAGATGAGCGCACAACCCTAGAGTCTGTCAAGACTGGCCCGTACGGGCAGGGGTACCTTTACCTTTACTTTTTACCTTTATCAATGCCCACCATTCAGTTTACAGTAAACCTGACCTGATGGAGAGAAACAGATGCCATTTCCTCATTCAGCAGTGCAAAAATACCCTAAATCAGTTGTAGAAATCTAGACAACATTCAAAAAGTAAAAAATTGTTGCCCAGTGTAATTAAGCAATTGGCACACCTTATAGAAGGATGAAAGGTGAAAGCTTGTTTGGGACTTTTTTGATTAGGCCAGAGGCAGGGAGCCTTCTTCAGGCCAAGGGCCACATTTCCTGATGGGCAACTTTCTGGGAGCCAAACTTATTTCATTTATTTAATACAATTTATATCCCGCTTGAGTGTAAAAAAAACCACAACAACCTCAAAGCAGTTTGTAAAAAGAAAAAAAACTATTAGATTATCAGCAGCAACAGTTAAAAACAACTTTTTAAGACATTCAAAAAAAACAAAAAACAGTAGAAAGCTAAAAACCAAATTAAAGCACATGTCAGCATTCTGCATTTCTAGATAGGCTTACGTAAACATAAATGTTTTTTAGCAGACACTGAGAAGAGTACAGTGAAGGGACCTGCCTAATGTCAATAGGCAGGGAGTTCCAAAGTGTGTGTGTTGCCACAAAAAAGCACTGATCTCTTACAGATGTGGAACAGGTATTATGTGGCACCTGCAACATGCCACTGGCGGGTGGGGCTAGAGGTAAAGGTGTGTGATGATACAGGTGCAGTATAAGGCACAGATTTCAACATAAAATGTACCCACATTAAATATAATATCCACATACCCATGTTTGCATCTGGCTCCATCCACCACCATCATGTGGCCCCTAAATGGTTGCCCGGGAGGGAATGTGGCCCTTGGGCTGATAAAGGTTTCCCATCCCTATTATATGTGAATAGTATTTGCTGCTTTCCTTTTCTATGAATTATCGATAATTGTTTTGTATTGTTTTGTATTGCGAGGAATCCTATTAGAACCTCCCCTTAGAAGCTGGTTGGTTGGTTTTTATTAAGCAGTTTAGACATTTTTCTAAATGAATAAATAACATCCATATTGACCACACTGGTTGGAGTTTAAGTCCAGCAATATCTGGAGGGCCGCAGGTTCCCCAGACTGAGGAGAAAAGCAGTTTAACAGCCAGCATTTCCCCGAAGAACACTTGGGATTTGTAGTTTGGTGAGATTTCTGCATGAGGGCTCCTGGGCATAGAACTACGGTACCCAGAATTCCCTAGGAATCACTCTCATACCAATTTACATCTGAGATGAAGATACGCCTTCTGTCTGGCTTTTGTGTGTGGGGGGGGTAATGTTTGCACCACCTGGAGCCTCAGCTATGTTGACTCTCTCTTGACATATTAATAATCGGTGTCAGTCAGAACACCAGTCTGGAGCCGTTTCATCTCAAAAGAAACAGGAGATGGCTAACATCTGTCTCGTGCTCTTTGCAAACCTCAGAAAAGCACATTACAAACAAACCGCCACGGCTGCACAAACCCCGCTCCCCAAAAAGGAAATTTAAATAAAATCTGGGCAGACAGTTTTGAGCAGCCTCTGGGATTTGAACTACAAGCAAGTTAGTTTGGGCCTATTTCCATATCAATTATTACATCATTTGGGCCATTAAGTAGATAATAGTGCAGGCATCTCTCTCTCAAACAGCAGATGACGTCCCTGAGGCAGCTTCTGAAACACTAGCAGGCAAGTTATTCCCTGCACAAGGTATCATTTCACATACACAGGCTCCTGCGCTCTTCCCCACTTTTGCCTCACAATCAGTGCTCATTAGCTGGTTATTCATTTTGTGCTCCCCCTGCCCGCCCAGCCCTCCTCACTGTTTGTTGAAGAATGCTAATGAGTATCACTAGAGTCATCTGGAACTATTGCTGTGCCTGGCAATCCATACACTGTCCATAGCACATTGATCTCTGAACCTGTTTGTTAGGGGAATCACTTGCTAGGTTGAAAACTAGGGTGCAGCGGACCATGTAATTTCCCCAAGGCCCCCAGCATTGCAAGACTGGGTTGGGAAATTTTCCCAGGGTTCCCTAAGACAAACTTTGCAAACCAAGCTCCTAGATCAGGGGTCAGCAAACTTTTTCAGCAGGGAGCCAGTCCACTGTCCCTCAGACCTTGTGGGGGGCCAGACTATATTTTTTGGGGGGAAATGAACGAATTCCTATGCCCCACAAATAACCCAGAGATGCATTTTAAATAAAAGCACACATTCTACTCATGTAAAAACACCAGGCAGGCCCCACAAATAACCCAGAGATGCATTTTAAAGAAAAGGACACATTCTACTCATGTAAAAACACGCTGATTCCCGGACCGTCCGCAGGCCGGATTTAGAAGGCGATTGGACCAGATCCGGCCCCTGGGCCTTAGTTTGCCTACTCATGTCCTAGATGCTTTTCTAGATGTAATGTCTCCCATTCCTAGATGCAATGCGACACTTTATATCTCCAATAGAGGGAGCTGTGTCAAACATTTTTTATAAGAAGGGAAATTAAGAATTAGTTCCAATTTAATCCACCTACCCCAATTCATTCTTGCTCTTGTTTCCAATAAATCAGTAATTCCAACACTACCAGCTGGGGCAGGACTGAGCCATGGGCAGAGGTCTGGAGTGAGCCAGAATTAGGAGTCATGAAAAACTGGCCGATAGAACTGAAGAGTAGACCTGATCCGAAGGACAAACCAGGCACTGGGAAAGAAAAGCAAGTCAAGGATCAAGACTGGTGAATAACCATAAATGCAAGAACACACCAGAGTTCAGGAAGGCCCTGCTGGTCAAGCCAAGCTCAGTTATTACAGGAAGCCCTTTTATGTTCCTCCTTGTCTAAGAGGCTCCAATGGCCAGCCTGGCTGTGTGGAGTCAGTCTAGGAACTGAAGGTATTTCATTACAAACCGGCCACATGCAGTTCAATGGCTCACCACAAGGGGGAGCTGTACATAGATCCAGTAGTTTCTGGTTCATAGATCATAGAAGGGACCCTGAGAGTCTTCTAGTCCAACCCCTTGCAATGCAAGACTATGCCCCTTGGCATTATTAGAACCACGATCTAACCAATTGAGTTGTTTCAGGACACCCACCTACTTCCAAAGTAAATGGAAGAGTGTGCCCACTGTGTCTCTGGATGATTCATTGCTATAGATTGGTCTCCTTCGCACCAAATACGGAGAAGAAGAAGAAGAGTTTGGATTTGATATCCCGCTTTATCACTACCCGAAGGAGTCTCAAAGCGGCTAACATTCTCCTTTCCCTTCCTCCCCCACAACAAACACTCTGTGAGGTGAGTGAGGCTGAGAGACTTCGGAGAAGTGTGACTAGCCCAAGGTCACCCAGCAGCTCATATGGAGGAGCGGGGAATCAAACCCGGTTCACCAGATTACAAGTCTACCGCTCTTAACCACTACACCACACTGGCTTTCTCTGAGAGACATCCTCAGAGAAATCACACCCAGAACAGTTACTCACACTGAAACACAGCGGGTGAACTCTTCAAAGACAGTTCTTACTTTTAAATGTGTTAAAGTAAAACCTTTTCTAGTATCAGCACGGAGCGTGCCTCCCACC